TTGAGTCTTCATAATATTTATGAATATGTTTACTGCACTGTCATTTCTGATGTATTTACTAATATACTTTTTTTCTAATAGAGGTATATGCATCACATACAAGTAAAACATGAATCTCGTCTTCTAAGTACATTTTGTCATTTAGCCTACAATGAGGGCATAGTCTTAAATGGTATGGTATATTAGTGTATCTTCCTGTTTCTGTCATAAGTCTAAAATTGCCGCATCTAAATCTTGTGAAACATATTCTCAAATGTAAAGGAATAGCAATGCATAAGTATGTTTCCACGTGTAAAAGTGTCTTATATAACACATAGTTAGCACATTTATGAGAAGAGTGTAGTGTAGAATACCAGTTTTGTTTAAAAGTATCAAGAAGTCTTATTTTAAATAATCTGATAAAAACGTTAATATTTCCAACATCCTGGCTAATCCATATAAAACCAAACTCAAATTGAAATAGAATATGTTTGATATGTGTAGCCGATGTGACTCTGCCAGCATCATCAAGAGACTTTAGTATTAAATAACATTGATGAGGTAGCCTATTTCTATCTAGAGTGATTAGTCTACACCAGTACTTAACTACCCGTGACATGTATGTAAGCTGAAGTGGAGCTCTACCACATTCACCCAGTACCATACTATTGCATGTACTTTTACCAACTTTCAGGAAATATTTGCAAATTCTTATCTGAACATTTTCAGTAGTTTTACAATATGTTGTTCCCCAGATTTCTGACCCATAGCACAATATTGGTGTAACCATTGCATCAAAAATCCTGAAAAGATCAGTACAATTAATATCATCTACTCTCTTTTGATACCTGTATATTGCCATTTTGGCTTGAAAGCTTGTGATGCAAGGCAGGACTGTGCTTTAGTCCAAACTAGTCTGGGTGTAAATACTATACCTAAATATGTATAAAATGACACCACCTCAAGCTTCTGGTCGTGAAGAGACCAATTCTCATAGTGTCGCAGTGGGCCGCTCTTACAAAACACCATAACCTTTGTCTTTTTCAAGTTTACTTTCAAACCAGTTAATTCTCAATAAAATTCCAAACCAATTATCTTTTTTTGTCACTGTAATGCAGTATCAGCGACTGCAGAAACATCAGCAGCAAACATGAGAGCAAATAGATTTTTTGCATCAGGAGATATATATATATATATATATATATATATATATATATATATATATATATATACCTTGTCCACCATATTCTTCCATCATACTAATAAGTTGATTGTTGAAAATAATAAACATCTGGGGACTCAAGATGCACCCTTGACGAGTACCAACATTGGAAGTAACTAGACAATCCATTTGAAGTTCTTACACAGGCTGATAGCTGTGAATACATTCATGAAAGAATATTGAAGATTTTCCCATTTATACCCACATATTTAAGGCTTGACAGTAATACATCATGTTTAACAGTATCAAAAGCTTTTGAAAAATCAATAAACAAACAGTAGAATCTACCTTTCTTTTTGCAGGCATATTTCTGGATCATTGCATGGAGTGAAAATATTTGATCAGCAGTGGAATAATTTGATCTGAATCCTGCTTGTGTCTCATGAATAATATGATTTTGATCACACCACTGTCGTAAACGATTGTTTAAAATAGAAGTGAATATCTTACACATAGAGTCTATCAGTGATATGCCTCTGTAATTGTTGGGGTCAGCCTTCACACCAGATTTGAAGATGGGACAAATAATACTTTTCCCCAGATATCAAGAAAAGATCCATCTTGGGATATTTTATTAAATAGTAATGTAAAGAGAGAAAGTGTGTAAGGTTTTGATGCTTTAAAGAACTCAGTTGAGATGCCATCTGGTCCTGGAGATTTATTGTTTGCAAGATTATCAATACAGCTAGACACTTGGGCACGCCAGAAACCTATGATTGTGGGTTCGAATCCCGGTTCGCCCCGATTATGTTTCTAGGTTCGTAAGCACCATAACCGTGCTCGTGGGTTTCACCGAAAGGGTAAACGTCTGAGACCTGCATCATTTCTGGCTTTCCTCCAACATTAAGCTGAAACGCCGTGCCATGACTGGAATACTGTTAAAAGTTAAACCCAACTCACTTTCTTTACAGCTATTGGTTGTTTCATTGGCGCAAATAAACTTGTTTTGTGACTCACGTTCGCCCTTTGACCTTTACAACTGCTGGATCTCACATATAATCGTTTTGCCGTGAAAGGAAATTTAATAAAAAAACACCTATATGTAAAAGCAAATTATGTGTCATGTAATGTAGCAAATATAACACCCATTAACAATTTGGTCCGTGTGGACATCTAGAAGTGAGCACTGGGGAAATTGATTCATCGAAACACACGCCCTCAACAATTCTTTCGACAGCTTTTAAAACCTTTTTTAGATATGTTTTTAGGAGGCAATATTTCCTGTATTTGAAATTCGTCTCGAACATATGTTCTGATTATTACTACAACCTTTAAAAAAACACGCTGACACATGCGGAAACACTAATTCTACTGCTTTGTTATTCGTTGTAAAGTCATTCGGAAACAAATTAATTAGCCTCTCCTTGACATCGTGGTCCTGACTCTGAGCCCCAGCCGTGGCGGAAGCCTCCTAGTACGCCAGATGAGGCTCACAGCGCGGCACGGGAAGTGTATGAAACTAGCGAGAGAAACCGTATTGGATCTATTCAAATAACTTTCACATGCATGATATATTATAGAAATGTCACTGGGTTAAAAATAAAATAAAAATCGCAATGTACACCATATGAGTGAGTGAGTATGGTTTTACGCCGCTTTTTGTAGCAATATTCCAGCAACATCACGGCGGGGGACACCAGAAATGGGCTTCACACATTGTACCCATGTCGGGAATCGAACCCGGGTCTTCGGCGTGACGAGCGAACGCTTTAACCACTAGGCTACCCGACCGCCCCGTACACCATATGAACGCCGTGTAGTTGAATTTACTTTCATGATATACCAGTACTGTTACTAGCCCAACAACAAAAACACTGTCGGGAAGAGGTAAATATTATACACTTCAAAATTAGATTTGACCAAAATATTGCACGTTATCAAAACGCTAAACGACTGAAATGGTCGCTGAAACACTGCAAATTTAAGGTCCAAAAAGCAACTATGATACCATTATCAACTACATCGTCATCGATCGAATTACCATTTTTTGTTTGTTGATTTTTCACCACCATCAAACTTAGTTGTATACTTTCTTTTGCCCGTCTGTTTACTATCTGTATACTCCGATTTTTCAAAGTCAAAACTAACGAATTGTTGCCGTTCTTAGCGAAGCTAAATCTAAACCCAAGGAATGCCAATGGCGCGCCATTGCCCATGCGAATAACGACTTTGGTGAAATTGATTCCTAAACAGTCTACACACCATCGTACACATCAACGGGCAATCAATAACATGTGCACATCTTTCAGGATGCGGATTTGCTTAAAAGCCTAATGTAAAGCCAGTTTTCACCTCGTGTGAATTTGTAATCCGATCAACATGTTATTTACTCATAAACAAAGACATAAAATTAAGGGTTTGTTTGATGTGTTTTCTATTCTTTATGTTTTTGTGATACTCACAAATTTTCAGCTCTGTTGAACACAACGTCATTCTTTAAGAATTTTGAAAATGCAATACTTCTTACCAAACCCGTTATAAGACGAAAATAGATGTCATACAAAAAGTAGTTTGGATCCGATTTCTGTAAATAATCTATTTTACAACTTCTTGTAAAGTCTACATGATAATTCGTTGAAGGATACATGTCTTGTAATCACGTGGTAAAGAAAGGCGATGAGGTTTATGCTTGATCACATGTTTCAAGCGATTAGAACTTAAATGTCAAACCTGGTTAAACCTGTGCTGCATTCTTGAATCAAGGTCCCCCTCGTATAATGCAACTCGGTCAAGACGCCCACGCAAGATGGAGCTATATCTTTCATGGAAGCATGTATGATGTATACACCCATGCAGCGAATCCTTTAACGCCCATGAGTAACCTTAAAGAAACAAAACGTCTGAGTAGCGTTAATGTAGGTCAGGAAGTGTCTACGCGTGTATATGCCCACACATTGGCATTTATCGGCTGGGTCAGGCAAACCAGTGGTTGATAGCATGAGCAACAGTCCACGCTGTCGGGATACAATGACACACAACCACCCAGGTAACAAATTAGTCGTTCGTATGACGATACTGGACACTGGATATGTATTCTGCCCCCGATTTGTCACGTTGAAAAACACGTGACAATTCACGGGAGGCAGTTTGGGGGAAGGTTTCGGGCAACATTTACTGTTCATTAATATTAGCTTCAGAGGAGAGTCATCATATAAATGACACAATCACAAGGGTGATAATACACTCATCTCCACCATGAGCTGGACGGTGGGGTAGTCTAGTGGTAAAAGCGTTGGCTCGGCCCGCCGAAAACCCGGGTTCGATTCACCAAATTGGTATAATGTGTGAAGCCCATTTCTGGTGTCCCCCGCCGTGATATTGCACAAATAATGCTACAGGCGGCGTAAAACCACACTCACTCACTCAGTCACTCACTCCACCACGAACTCCATATTACACCACTGATAGCAATATATTAGTAATCGGCATTAGACCGAGGAACGTATTTTCAGAGCAAAGTAAATCAGCAGATATCTAATAAAAACTATCTACTTTTTGGGAAGACAATATATAGGTGTCAACTTCTTAATTACGAGGAACACAACGTATATACGTACTCCTTCATAGGGTGAATAGATGCTATGAGACAGAGAACATATATATGTACATGTAAGAACAACTATAAGGTTAAAAAGGTGGAAACTTTACAAGGGAATCCAACAGTTAATTGGCGCTGAAGGGAGATTAGCAATGGACACATGGAAGCCGACACTTAACAGTAAATGTTACAGAGCTGATAGAGGATCTACGTTTTGCTTTGTATTAACAACTGCAATAATTATAAAGCTCCTGTTTTCAGACCAATGCATGATCACGTGACCCGGAACCTGTGTCTGGGACTGCTGTGTGTGGCTGCTGTGTGTAGCGGTACGTACATCCTTTAAACATGCTTACATGCATGCCACATCCATCATATAGTTATAACACACCATCACACGTCGTGAACGGTTCGTAAACAGCATGAATTTCAACGTGCAGACTTCGGTTGCCTGCATTATTTGCAAACAAATATGTACCGGCGATATATACACAGTAAGGATAGGAATTTATGGATGAATGTTTACAAGCAAGTGACATACGGAGTGTTATCCACAGAAAAACACCCGTCAGCAAGTTTAGAAACCATCAGTAAGCATTATGGCACTGAATTTGGACATACCATAGGAAAATCGACAATTGGTGACAGTTCAAACTTCCATGACAGACTTTTTGAAACGTGTATGAATAAAGATTGAGTGGATGTATCTGTTTGCTCTGTCATCTGTCATGAGTTGCATAATTGAAGGGAAGTAACTCTTCCAGTAAGAAGCTGGTTTCAGTTATACGGAAATTTGTTTATACGGACGAATTGTGAAATGACGCAAGTGTCCGTATAAACGAGGCACGACTGTATATCACTTGCTTGATAACGGTGTTAGAACCTACACCGAAACGTCGCTCTTAAATGTAATAAAGAAGTTGTTCAACCATAAATTCTTATCCTTACTTAGTACTCCAACTTTTAAATGCCTAAGAAGATATAAACATAAGTCGTAATATCCACTGGTGGCGCTACGATCAAGCCCAGAAATTCCAATCTAGCTCGGCAACTGTGAAAACTGGACTTTTAAGAGACAGTTAACTCTATTGCCTCGGGAAGATGGGTTAAATGAGTGTAAAACGATGGTATTTAAATCTAGGAGCTAAGCCGTGACCCGAGATGTTTTTGCAGTATGGTTGTACTGCCCTAATCTACATTCCCTTGGATAATCAGTTTGGATTAGCGACTAACACAGCGACAAATATTAGAAAAATATATACCCCCAATACCCCTTAAATCAGTCTTTATGACAGCGTATTTGACTCTGCATTTGTTGAACATACAAGTGTAAGAAAAAAGATATCTTGTAGTCCAAGTAGGTTCCTTTCATGCAATGTATTTTGTGGAATGGAGTTTCGCTTAAAACGTTGAAAATTTTGACTTATCAACTGTTTCGCCCATGGTGAATCCGAGATAGAATTGATTCCCAAAAACGTATGCTTTTCGTAAAAGACGACTAAATGGATGGGGTGGTCAGTTCTGTTGCTGGATTGATTGCGTGTCATCGTACGCCGACAGTGTCGTTGCTGATAATATCAATCACTGGTTTGTCTGGTCCAGATTCAGTTATTTACACGTTGCAGACAACAAAGACTCACTCTAAGGATCCACAATATGCAAATACTCAATGTGACATATCACCAACATCAGAAGACTCAGATAGATAAAGGGACCAATAGTTTCCCTACTCTTTCATCTCTGTACTCGTATCCCAACTACGTAGGTCGATGCTCATGATGTCAATCACTGGATTGCCTCGTCCAGACACGATTATTTAAAGACCGCCGTCATATAGCTGTAATATTGAGTGCGGCGTTAAACAACAAACAAACAAAACCCGTGTACCCTTAAAGGAATGGATCTGCAAAGTCTAAACGTGTATATTAATAGACAGCAGTGTGGCCTGGATGCTTGGAAAACATATGTACAAATAATGATTTGAAATTCTTTTCAAATAAGTCCTTTCAATCCAATCAATATTTTAGACTTTCTTCATTGTTCATTGTGTAACTGTCTAATGGTGTACTTACAGGTAAACAAGTCTGTACCTTCACTGGGCTCGCGGACACTGCCGGAAATAACAATGACTGGAGAGATTACAAGTTTATGGCGAATCCTGACAACTGTAAGGAGATTTGTCGCTCCGAACCGTGGTGCACTGCTGCAGAGTTCAACTTCTACAGCCGCTCTTGTTACCTGTTCAAAGGAGACACGCCCCTGTCCCACAAAAAAGACAGCGTATTCATGAAGAAAAGATGCACCGAAGGTGTGTATTGGTATGGGACCTCAAACAACAGACAGAACACAGTTTGAGTAATATTATATATGTGCCTGGGCACCGTTCCACAAAACGACCTTAGCGCTACGACTATCCTCAGCCAGTGTCAAAGTATGGGAGTTACGATCACCTTAGCGCTAAGATGGCTTTGTGGATCGGTGCCCTGGTCCTATATTAGCCCCCGTTTTGCTGTTTGTGCAACACGCGACTGAAAGTCCTTTATGCATATAAAAGTTGGATAAAAGTATGACAAGAAATATTATGGATAACACCTTCTTTGGTGGTATATATACACATGGTACCACAGAGCCACCTTAGCGCTACGACTACCGTAAGCCAGTGTTAAAGTATGAGAGTTACGATCACCTTAGCGCTAAGTTGGCTTTGTGGAACGGGGCCCTGATTCTACATTAGTCCTAATATGCCTAGAAGTTGGATAAAATGATGACAAGGAATATTATGGCCAACAGATTATTGGGTATTATACATACACACTGTTCCACAAAACGGTCTCAGAGCAACGACTGTCCTAAGCCAATGTTAAGGTATGCGAGTTACGATAGTCTTAGCATTAATATAAGATCGCTTAGTGTGTATTATGTGTTGCATCATTATTGTCACATGTATGTAACCCGTGAAGATCCGGGGTAGGAGAGGTCTTCAGCAACCCATACTTACCGTTAGAGGCGACTATGCTTGTCCTGTCTTCTTACGCATAGATGGAAATTTACCTCTGTTCACCCTGTAGTGACTGGGTACCCCAAAGGGTGTGATAAAAAGACTGTTAATCCTCCAAGCGCCTCTTACTGCAGCTTGGTTTGTATACTCCCCAGGGAGCTGAGACTGAAACTTGACAGCACATTGAAATTAATGTAGTGTCATGAACATTCACAATGAATATAGGATAAAAGAGCAAGCAACACAGAAGCTGTTTCATTATAATGTCTTGTAGCTCCTTATGTATGCCTCGGTACAAAGTGTTGTATATATTTTCAGTTACAACGACTTCCCCGCCGGTGGAGCCAACACCTGAATCCAAAACACAAATGTCGACATCCACAGAAACCATTACCCGAGCGCGGAGAGCGTCCAAGAGCTTGACAACTGAGAAAGTTCGTCCACCCAAAAGGAAGAAAAAGGGAAGTAAGCCAGTGTCGCTCATGGTTAAAATGCTGTATCGACAGTCTGTAGAGGATCGAATAACCTCAACGGTAGAATTCACAACTACGGCAGCACCAACTACTCCCATATCAACATTTTCAATCACAAAGAAATTACAAGTGTCCACAACATCCAAACCGATTCACGTTAAACGATCCAGGAAGAGGATATTTGTCCGCAAGTCGCGGAGGAGACAACATTCACGAAAGACAAAGAAGAAGCCAAAAAAATTCCGAAGGATTATAAAGTCAAGGAAACCAACCCAGCCTCCTAAAACAGTTGTCAAGAAAACGTCAGCGCCAAGGCTCATTGCATCGTACGCTACCCGAAAAAGCCCCCTCCTATCAAAATTAACACAAACTCGCAAGACAGTAAATATCGCTCCAACAACGGCTGTTCCATTTTTAGATCTCAATATAGAAGATTCATCGAAAGAAATTCGCATAAAGCCAGAAAATGGAACAGAAAGAAAACAGCAATCTACCTATCGTATGCCTGTGATAAGAGTACGCTCAAAGGTATCAGTTAATCCGATTGCCAGGGATGCCAACAGAGTGGATGCTTCTCGTCAACACAGTGGAATGACGTCAGCGAGACGTGGTTGTTTCTACCGTTGCACGCCCGCGTGGTACACAAGGTATGGACAATTTGTTCCGTTCACGGGGAGAAGTTATTTTCAGTCACTATATCGTATACGGATTCCAGTAAGGCTACGAATTCCAGCTTTTCACCAGAAACACCCGGTACAACATCCTCAAATGACTGATAAAAAACATTTGCAAAATGCGAATAAAAACCAAAGACAGATCCCTTGCAAAAACTCAACACTGCATCAAGTACAGAAATCAGTTACGAATCCTGTCCGGAATCCTGGTCACAAGCCTGTCCAGAATCATGGTTACAAGCCTGTCCAGAATCATGGTTACAAGCCTGTCCAGAATCACGGTTACAAGCCTGTCCAGAATCCTGTCCAGAATCATGGTTACAAGCCTGTCCAGAATCCTGTCCAGAATCATGGTTACAAGCCTGTCCAGAATCATGGTTACAAGCCTGTCCAGAATCATGGTTACAAGCCTGTCCAGAATCATGGTTACAAGCCTGTCCAGAATCATGGTTACAAGCCTGTCCAGAATCCTGTCCAGAATCATGGTTACAAGCCTGTCCAGAATCATGGTTACAAGCCTGTCCAGAATCATGGTTACAATCCTGTCCGGAATCATGGTTACAATCCTGTGTATTATCCTGTTCAACAATACTGGCGGCAACAGATAGCGCATGTCAACTTCAACCCTTGGTATCCACCTCGACATTCAGCCGTAGCTTATTATACTCCTCAAAGAAACCCATGGGCCAACAACTTTCAGAAAGCTCAGCTGGTTCCCAAAAAGACGCACCATGTAGCTGTGATTCCCGGAGGCCTTTACCAGCCCGTTCCTACAAGAAGACGGGTTTACAAGCAGCCTTATACATACAAGCCTAAACCAACCGCAACACACACTCCAAAACCACCGAAGCAGGACGCAAAAACAACTGCTGAAGCAAAGACCACCCCAAAACCACCACCTAGGCCGAAGCAAGTCAAGAGATACCAGAAGTCACACGTATTGAGGGTTCAAGAAAAACAAAAGAGACTTGATACAAGCACCCCACAGAATGACCAGCAGGGACAGTTAAAGCCGCATTACAACACATACACCCTAAGACTACGCCTTCAAAGTCCTATTTCGGGACACAAGAGATGTTACTTAAGACAGCAGTTGCCCTCTCCACCAAAGATCCTCGTGGTGTCCTTCAAAGTCGATGGTAGTTTTAATGCCAAATCGCTTCCAGTCACGTACCCTAGACGGATATGTGCATTCATCCAGCCAGGACAAAGGTACCCTGAGTTTAGACTGCCCTCGCCGCTGGTAATTTTCACAGGCACATCCTTTATCAGAAATCCAGATGAAGTCAAGAAAATATATGCGGCCACTGCTCCCAAAGCAGAGTACGACCTGAAATCAATAAAACTGAAAACAAGTCAATATCAATACATTGCAGTGTACAATAGTCCACCGATATTCAGACAGTTGAAGGTTCCTATGGATATTACTTCAGCTGTGGTCAGTTTTGATATGACAAGAATGGGATTCCTTTACCACTTCACTGTCAGGTTACCAATGACTCTTCGCAGTAGAAACATTATGGTGGAGGATTATCTGCCAAGGGACCTTACCTCCTTAAAGGTGCATCCACAACCCTTTGTTCGAAGGGGATGAATGTAGCTCATTTGAGAAGATAGAATGCGTCACAGCCCAGGTCCTCCACACATGTTACTGGCACGTTGTACATATAACACTATTCCAGATCATTCGATACAAACGTGCGTGGAATGGTTTACACAGTGCACCCCAAGCTTCCAGGCGATTAGACTGAGAGCGTCTATATACAAAGGGGCATTACTCCTTTTGAAAATGTGTCATTACGGTTGTTAGGGAAGACCATGTGATTGTCAGGGGCTTGGAACGCTTTGTTCCAGAACGAAAAGTGACAAAAAATGTTCTACCACCAAAAACTGTTGCTGGACGCTTAATGTCCTGATAAAAATATCTTGAGAATGTTATTAGATTGATCGGCTACTCCCAAAATCCCCACCCCCTCCCTACCCCCTACCCTCAGAAGACCCGATGGTGGTTCACTTTTGGGGGTTAACGCATTGCTGATAACGGTATTCATCATGTATACAGCCAGATGGAGTGTTATTAGGAATATTGTTGTCATTATGATGAATCATTGTATATTTTTCCTGTGAATAGTGCAATAATTGTATTCCAGCTTTATGATTAGACCATATCGAAAGATGTTAATGTTTTTAATTTATGTTTTAAAGTCGGGATGAAAGGTTCCCAGGTGTATTATATTTGCAGCAGATGTATCAGTTTATTATTCGGATTTTGGTGTCAAATTGTAGACATAGCTTGAGTAGAAATAGTAGACTGAATAGTCATGGTGTTCGTGGCTCTCTTTCGAAGCCTAAGATACATATGTAAAGTATGATAGTCTTACAGCCAATGGAACTTGTTTCGATGGATCATCGAGACTGATTTCTGGAGTTAAGGGTTTATATTTAAATTTCCATGCTCATTCATCCAACGTTGGATGCATCACAGGTGACACTTGTTTTCACACCACAATGAGCATTAATATACATGGGGATAGCAGTGTGTCTCACTATGATTCTTTTCTTCGTCGGATTGGTGAGCTGTGTCCATCGATATTGTTTTAATCGTCGTATAAACATTATAAATAAATGTTCTTTTCTCATCAATGATTATCAATTATAATTATTTTCCCCTAACACGCACCTAGAGATGTAATGCCAGTGAATAGACATCAATGAATGGTCTACGCGTTTAGTGTTTTAACTTATAGAATTTCCTTTCCCATATGTCACATTACACATGGCCATGTATGCCTAACCATAAAGTTATCAAAAGTGCTTTGTATCACGACCCGTGCCATAATCATCTAAGGCAACGAAATTCGATGTGCAGAGTTGCGTCCCTTGGGCACGATAGGAATCTATGATCTTGGTCATCATACCCGTGTTCGTGGGTTCAATGGTTAACGTCTGAGGCATCATTACTTCGGTTTTTCCGCCATACAGGATGATACGCCGTGATATAACTGAAATACTCTTCAAAGCGGCGTTAAACCCAACTCACTCACTCACTTGTATCACAAATTTGACACAAACGAGTTGCTGATACCAACGAACGCATAAAGAATATGTTGCAACCTAGACTTCTATATCAACTGGATAGCCCTATTTCATTTTTGCTATCTTTAATAAATATATCGAATTTATGGAAAACACTGCATTGACAGAATAAATGAAATCCGAAAGACAAAAGGCTATGGTGTTCAAATATAATAATTTATTTTTCACGGTGATACGACCATCCCTCCTAACGTTAAAGACGTCATAGCGTCAGTTATCATATAATGGATAGTCTTATAGATGCAGTAAGCCAGCCCGATAAACTTGATTTAGTTACATTTGCAAATGAGCTCACCTAGCATGAGCTATTTTTTGATAAGCTACAAACACCGATATGATGCGCTCGGGCGAAATAAACTATTGCCTAGAGTTCCGAGATAGTTCCGACGTGTGAGGGATTCTGTAAACAAACATGGCTGCAAATCACCTGGCAATATTGTATAAATGGGGCGATTCACTAATGCATTGTATTCATACGCTGGTTGTAAAGTTACTTCAGTGAGTGACCATTTAAAGAATGATTTTAAAATGATAAATTTATTATAACCCGTGTTTCCGTATCGTAAATATCATGCATTAAGAATTAAAAAATATGTTTTTAAGTATGCCACCACCATCAACACCTGCCCCACAGGCGTATCTGCTCCGACTCATGCCCGAGGTTCCCCGAACTTTCTCGAGCTTCATGCTCGGGGACCATTCGTCACTACTCGCCCCTTTCCGTAACCTGCAAGAAGTCGGTTTGTCCCGGAATAACACGAGTTGTTCACGAATGGCTCGGGGACCTCTCCTCGTTGCGGTGTGACCCTATATCCTACCTATTTGTCTACGATATTGACATGGATAATTATTACTTACGTGATACCTCAGATATACACATGACCACTCTCCATATATGAACTTTTTATATATTTTTCTTTCATAGTTTCCAGGAAAACACTGGTTTCGACTATAACGACGTCTTATCACACATGTACATCCAGACAATGTTTATAATTTGCTTCCTTCTTTTGTAATAAAATGGTAGAAAATTGATAATTATTTAACTCATTTGTAGTTTGCATAGATACAGCTTGAGACTACGGATCAGTCACGAGTTATCTTCCATTAGCATCTCTTCGTCGGTTTGCATTCCAGATTGGCTCCGATTATGTAGCATCTGGTGTCATCCCTGATTTTCAGTGATCCATTCATATTATTGTCTCCACTATTTTGCGTTTTACGCCCAAAAGAATCTGTTTCTGTGGATAATCGGTTACTTTTTTACGTTTACGTTCCAAACTTGTTTAACGCCTTACTGAGAATTACTCCTGTAAATAATCGTGTTTAGACCATACAATCCGGTGATTGATATCATGAGCCTCACCACGCCGTTGGGGTACTGCGCCATGCATCACCCAAGTCATCGAGCCTCACCACGCTATCCATTTGTCGCCACTTACGACTAGCACATGTTGCTGGGAACGAAATCCTACCGGGTCCGATTATCGGGGAATTACGGTAATGGAGACTGCTAATATGTTTCAACAAACTGGAACCTTGGTCCACATAGTGATGATCACAGATGAATGATAATAATTAAACCGTTGCATAGAGGAATTAAGACATCACAGATCGTACAGAATAGACACAATGGGTTAAATTTCCATAAGCTTGCATCTTTTTTGTATACTGTATAATTATTAATCTGTTATAAAAATAATCATGAACTTTGTCCCATGCAACCGCAGATATATACTTACCGCCAAAGGAACCGCGAACACCCTACATGTTGGTTTATATATGAATAATTACTCATAGTCAAGTGAGTGAGTGAGTGAGTGAGTGAGTGAGTGAGTATGGTTTTACGCCGCTTTTAGCAATATTCCAGCAATATCACGGCGGGGGACACCAGAAATGGGCTTCACACAATGTACCCATGTCGGGAATCGAACCCGGGTCTTCGGCGTGACGAGCGAACGCTTTAACCACTATAGGCTACCTGACCGCCCGGACATGAAGTGAACTATAGGTTGATATGGTATACTATACGTAATATACTACTCAAAAGAAGTTGCAGAAATCCTTTCTCATGTGACAAAAAATAATCTGACTGTGAATGTGAACCTTCAATCGCCTGACAAGGTACTTTGGAATTATTACAGGGAGCTGAGAAAAAGACATTCGAGTGCACACTGATCCAATTGGCAGGGTAGGAATGTTACTGCCCCTACTCATATTCAAGAGAAATTAGATTGGTTCGATGCACAAACGAACAAACTTTTATGTTGCGTGAACCGACGCTCATGAACGCATCACATGTGACGTCATAGATCCATGACTCGAGATGCACCATTTGTCTCGTGCAGGATTAACGTGTGAAGTTTTGTAATCACGTGCATCATATCACGATAAGAATAAAGACACACTGTGGTAACACTAACTGATTGTGAGTTTTGTCATTGAATGGTACACATTGGAAACATCTCTTCTCAATGTACACACGTCTCTATATGTGTCTATGGTTCGCGTTTCTTTTGGCGGTGAGTATATATCAAGTCAACCTGATAGGTGAGCGGTTCCTTGGCCCGCATACCCCATTATCTGCACTGTCGGTGACACAATGGTGTTAAGCTAACACAGCGTATCTCACCAGGGGAGGTATGTAGAAGTATATTTATGATCACACGTGACCTTTTTAACACATAAAGTATAATGGTCATTGAGGTCCGTTGAATAGCTTTCACTGGAATGAACATAATGAAATCACAGATCCAATGCATTTTGCTCCTCTCTTTACTGCTGATGTCCACAGTACAATGCGATCAGCAGAAGACACAAGTATACAGTGAGTATTCATGTTGTTTGAATTAAACCACAACCATAAGCCTCTTTATTGGGAGTCCTGGGGTTGAGTTTTCAAAATGTCGTGGTTGACGTGAGGAGGCCATTTCCAAATTTGAGGATCAGTGGACAAAATGATGTCCGATGAAATTCATTAATTTGACTTGGACCATACACTTATGTTCCCGTGTGTTTGTTCATGTGAATAACTGTCTTGCCTTTGCATGTGTTTGTGATGCGTACCGCCGGTTGGGCAAGATACACTCCCCTTTTCGTGAACACCTGGTATCAATACTATTTGATAGTGATTCATAAACATATGTTTATGATATAGTCGGAATCGTACGACGGACTCTGCTTATAACATAAGTTTCTTACGATGACGGAATGGTTTGTCACTGTTATTTCCCATACAGTATTACCGTAGTTCGTTTTTCATTAATGAAAGGGAACCAAACGGAAAACAACAATCAAATTTGATCCCCATTTAAGAGAGCTTTGGTCGCTAGGTCCTTAAATCAATTACCGATTATTAAACATCAATCCCCTCGTTTTGTCAGTCAGGATAAGCTGGTCATTGGATCGAATAACAGTTTGGACCCGACTATGACCCTTGGTTTCTTGGCGCCATTCGTTTTGGTGTTTACGTCTCTAGCATAGTAAACATCTTCGATCCTAGGAACCATCTCCTAGACTTATAACCTACATTTAATATCGTATCATTAAAGTCATATGCAGTGCGTTTGTGTTTGTGTGCGTGTATTCGCTTGTTTTTGTGTTTAACAGGCTAGTGTATTGACGAGGTCTCATCTACAGATTGACATAATTTTATATTATTATTGATCTTTATTATCTATACATGTACCTACATGTATCTATATGTACCTACATGTACAGTGTATCTATATAGATCTGCTCATACAGGCAGCAAAACACAAATGAGCAAAGGGTAGGCATTATCAAGATACTTCGACAGGAATGAGTAAGGATGTGTTGGTATGAGTGAGGATGTGTTGGTATGGTTAAGGATGTGTTTGTGTGAGTGAGGATGTGTTGGTAGTAGTAAGGATGTGTTTGTATGAGTGTGGATGTGTTGGTGAGATGAGGATGTGGTGGTATGGGTGAGGATGTGTTGGTATGAGTGAGGATGTGTTGGTATGAGTGTGGATGTGTTGGTGTGAGTGAGGATGTGTTGGTGTGAGTGAGGATGTGTTGGTATGAGTGAGGATGTGTTGGTATTAGTAAGGATGTGTTAGTATTAGTAAGGATGTGTTGGTATGAGTGATGATGTGTTGGTATGGGAAAGGATGAGTTGGTATGACTGAGGATGTGTTGGTATGAGTGAGGATGTGTTGGTATGAGTGTGGATGTGTTGGTGTGAGTGAGGATGTGTTGGTATGAGTTAGGATGTGTTGGTATGAGTGTGGATGTGTTGGTATGGTGAAGGATGTGTTGGTATGAGAGAGGATGTGTTGGTATGGTTAAGGATGTGTTTGTGTGAGTGAGGATGTGTTGGTATTAGTAAGGATGTGTTTGTATGAGTGTGGATGTGTTGGTGAGATGAGGATGTGGTGGTATGGGTGAGGATGTGTTGGTATGGTAAGGATGTGTTGGTATGAGTGAGGATGTGTTGGTATGAGTGAGGATGTGTTGGTATGAGTGTGGATGTGTTGGTGTGAGTGAGGATGTGTTGGTGTGAGTGAGGATGTGTTGGTATGAGTGAGGATGTGTTGGTATTAGTAAGGATGTGTTAGTATTAGTAAGGATGTGTTGGTATGAGTGATGATGTGTTGGTATGGGAAAGGATGAGTTGGTATGACTGAGGATGTGTTGGTATGAGTGAGGATGTGTTGGTGTGAGTGTGGATGTGTTGGTATGGTGAAGGATGTGTTGGTATGAGAGTGGATGTGTTGGAATGGTTAATGATGTGTTGGTATGAGTGAGGGTGTGTTGATATGAGTGTGGATGTGTTGATGTGAGTGAGGATGTGTTTGTGTGAGTGAGGATGTGTTGGTATTAGTAAGGATGTGTTGGTATTAGTAAGGATGTGTTGGTATGAGTGAGGATGTGTTGGTATGGGAAAGGATGTGTTGGTATGAGTGAGGATGTGTTGGTATGAGTGAGGATGTGTTGGTATGGTTAAGGATGTGTTGGTATGAGTGAGGATGTGTTGGTATGAGTGAGATTGTGTTGGTATTAGTAAGGATGTGTTGGTATGAGTGAGGATGTGTTGGTATGGTTAAGGATGTGTTGGTATGAGTGAGGATGTGTTGGTATGGGAAAGGATGTGTTGGTATGAGTAAGGATGTGTTGGTATGAGTGTGGATGTGTTGGTGTGAATGAGGATGTGTTGGTATGAGTGAGGATGTGTTGGTCTGAGTGTGGATGTGTTGGTGTGAGTGAGGATGTGTTGGTATGAGTGAGGATGTGTTGGTATGAGTGAGGATGTGTTGGTATGGTTAAGGATGTGTTGGTATGAGTGAGGATGTGTTGGTGTGAGTGAGGATGTGTTCGTGTGAGCGAGGATGTGTTGGTATCAGTGAGATTGTGTTGGTATTAGTAAGGATGTGTTGGTATGAGTGAGGATGTGTTGGTATGGTTAAGGATGTGTTGGTATAAATGAGGATGTGTTGGTGTGAGTGAGGATGTGTTGGTATGAGTGAGGATGTGTTGGTATAAGAAAGGATGTGTTGGTATGAGTGAGGATATGTTGGTGTGAGTGAGGATGTGTTGGTATGAGTAAGGATGTGTTAGTATTAGTAAGGATGTGTTGGTATAAGTGAGGATGTGTTGGTTTGAGTGAGGATGTGTTGGTATGAGTGTGGATGTGTTGGTATGAGTGTGGATGTGTTGCTGTGAGTGAGGATGTGTTGGTGTGAGTGAGGATGTGTTGGTATGAGTGAGGATGTGAGGATGTGTTGGTATGAGTGAGGATGTGTTGGTATGAGTGAGGAAGTGTTGGTATGAGTGAGGATGTGTCGGTTTGGTTAAGGATGTGTTGGTATGAGTGAGGATGTGTTGGTGTGAGTGAAGATGTGTTTGTATAAGTGAGGATGTGTTGGTATGAGTGAGGATGTGTTGGTATGGTTAAGGATGTGTTGGTATAAATGAGGATGTGTTGGTGTGAGTGAGTATGTGTTGGTATGAGTGAGGATGTGTTGGTATAAGTAAGGATGTGTTGGTATGAGTGAGGATATGTTGGTGTGAGTAAGGATGTGTTGGTATGAGTAAGGATGTGTTAGTATTAGTAAGGATGTGTTGGTATGAGTGAGGATGTGTTGGTATGGGTGAGGATGTGTTGGTATGGTTAAGGATGTGTTGGTATGAGTGAGGATGTGTTGGTATGGTTAAGGATGTGTTGGTATGAGTGAGGATGTGTTGGTATGAGTGAGGATATGTTGGTATGAGTGAGGATGTGTTGTTATGAGTGAGGATGTGTTGGTATGAGTGTGGATGTGTTGGTGAGATGAGGATGTGTTGGTATGAGTGAGGATGTGTGAGAATGGTTTGGGATGAGTGTGGATGCGTTGGGATGAGTGTGAATGCGTCGGGGTGAGTATGGATGGTGTTGGTATGAGTGAGGATATGTTGGTATGTTGGTATGTGTGATAATTTATGGGTATGAGTGTGAATGTGTTGGTATGTGTGGATGTATTGGTATGAGTGAGAATGTGTTGGTATGGTTAAGGATGTGTTTGTGTGAGTAAGGATGTGTTGGTATTAGTAAGGATGTGTTGGTATGAGTGTGGATGTGTTGGTGAGATGAGGATGTGTTGGTATGAGTGAGGATGTGTTGGTATGGTTAAGGATGTGTTGGTATGAGTGAGGATGTGTTGGTGTGAGTGAGGATGTGTTGGTGTGAGTAAGGATGTGTTTGTGTGAGTGAGGATGTGTTGGTATGAGTGAGGATATGTTGGTGTGAGTGAGGATGTGTTGGTATGAGTAAGGATGTGTTAGTATTAGTAAGGATGTGTTGGTATGAGTGAGGATGTGTTGGTATGAGTGAGGATGTGTTGGTATGGTTAAGGATGTGTTGGTATGAGTGAGGATGTGTTGGTATGGTTAAGGATGTGTTGGTATGGTTAAGGATGTGTTGGTATTGGTAAGGATGTGTTGGTATGAGTGAGGATGTGTTGATATGGTTAAGGATGTGTTGGTATGAGTGAGAATGTGTTGGTATGAGTGAGGATGTGTTGGTATGAGTGAGGATGTGTTGATATGTGTGAGGATGTGTTGGTATGAGTGAGGATGTGTTGGTGAGATGAGGATGTGTTGGTATGAGTGAGGATGTGTTGGTATGGTTAAGGATGTGTTGGTATGAGTGAGGATGTGTTGGTATGAGTGAGGATGTGTTTGTATGGTTAAGGATGTGTTGGTATGAGTGAGGATGTGTTGGTATGAGTGTGGATGTATTTGAGTGAGTGAGAGTGTGTTGGTATGAATGAGAATGGTTTGGGATGAGTGTGGATGCGTTGGGATGAGTGTGAATGCGTCGGGGTGAGTATGGATGGTGTTGGTATGAGTGAGGATATGTTGGTATGTTGGTATGTGTGAAAATTTATGGGTATGAGTGTGAATGTGTTGGTATGTGTGGATGTATTGGTATGAGTGAGAATGTTTTGGTATGGTTAAGGATGTGTTTGTGTGAGTAAGGATGTGTTGGTATTAGTAAGGATGTGTTGGTATGAGTGTAGATGTGTTGGTGAGATGAGGATGTGTTGGTATGAGTGAGGATGTGTTGGTATGGTTAAGGATGTGTTGGTATGAGTGAGGATGTGTTGGTGTGAGTGAGGATGTGTTGGTATGAGTGAGGATGTGTTTGTGTGAGTGAGGATGTGTTGGTATGAGTGAGGATATGTTGGTGTGAGTGAGGATGTGTTGGTATGAGTAAGGATGTGTTAGTATTAGTAAGAATGTGTTGGTATGAGTGAGGATGTGTTGGTATGAGTAAGGATGTGTTGGTATGGTTAAGGATGTGTTGGTATGAGTGAGGATGTGTTGGTATGGTTAAGGATGTGTTGGTATTGGTAAGGATGTGTTGGTATGAGTGAGGATGTGTTTATATGGTTAAGGATGTGTTGATATGAGTGAGGATGTGTTGGTATGAGTGAGGATGTGTTGGTATGAGTGAGGATGTGTTGATATGAGTGAGGATGTGTTGGTATGAGTGAGGATTTGTTGGTGAGATGAGGATGTGTTGATATGAGTGAGGATGTGTTGGTATGGTTAAGGATGTGTTGGTATGAGTGAGGATGTGTTTGTATGAGTGAGGATGTGTTTGTATGGTTAAGGATGTGTTGGTATGAGTGAGGATGTGTTGGTATGAGTGTGGATGCGTTGGGATGAGTGTGAATGCGTCGGGGTGAGTATGGATGGTGTTGGTATGAGTGAGGATATGTTGGTATGTTGGTATGTGTGATAATTTATGGGTATGAGTGTGAATGTGTTGGTATGTGTGGATGTATTGGTATGAGTGAGAATGTGTTAGTATGAGTGTGAATGTTTCGGTATAAGTAAGGATGTGTTGGTATGAGTAAAGATGTGTTGGTATGAGTGAGGATATGTTGGTATGTTGGTGTGAGTGTGAATGTGTTGGTATGAGTAAGAATGTGTTGGTATGTGTGGATGTGTTGGTATGAGTGTGAATGTTTTGGTAGGAGTGTGAATGTGTTGGTATGAGTAAGGATGTGTTGGTATGTGTGGATGTGTTGGTATGAGTGAGAATATGTTGGTTTGTGTGAGAATGTATGTGTATGAATGATGATATGTTGGTTTGAGTGAGGATGTGTTGGTAAGAGTGAGGATGTGAGGGGGATGGGGGTGGGGGCACACGTGTTACCGTAGTGATGTACAGAACTTGTAGTACAAGCTTACTTCTCGATCTTCTATGCGGGACAGATGCAGGAAACTGTATTATCATATTATTCCAGCATCCTGCAGCCAGCTCTCGGCCATTGGGACATTACGAACTTCCGTTCCAGAATCTAATTCCTTGCAGGAAATTGAAAGTACGTATAACTGTGTCTGCTTTCAAACGCTTATCTAATTTTGTCAGACCCGTTGTGATTGCGGAATTGATGTTTTCCCTAGCAAACTTACTATGCTGGTCGCATGAGGCGTTGTTTAATGTCATCGTACCCCGACAGTGTTGATCGTTGCTCATGATATCAATCACTGGATGGTTGATTCAGACTCGCCGTTGCAGACCGCCGTCATACCGCTGCAATAGTATTGAGTGCGACGTTGAACAACTAACAATTTGAAAGAAGTACAAGTATCGTTAATTTCTTCTATTTAGACAATCCATGTCAGACTAAATGGCATCGCTGATTCATGCTCTGGGGATGCTTTGGATATGTTCAATAAGGCATTATCCGACAATAAAAGATATTATTAAAAATAACAATTGTGACAACAAAATATTCGAGAGAAGCTTCGAAAAATCGTTATTTTACAAGTTGCAAAGAAATTAAACACACTTCATTCCCACTTTGATCCTGAACAAGATGACCAGCATGGTCTGCAAGATGACATGACCGTCCATTGTGAATGATTTCTCCGTGTTGTTGTGCAATGTGTATCTAGGCAACAAACAACGCTATGATGTAGATCTGGGAATAACTACCAATAACGACCTGACATTCACGCACATTAACCCGTACTTCAACCTGACCAGGGCACCACGGACAGATGGACAAACAGGAAGCACGTGGCACCTACAGGTGGTCCGTCCACTGGACAGAGAGGTAAACAAATGTAGTGCAACTTTGTAAGGTTGCAGTTTTTGGCTTGTGCAACATTCTGCTTGCATCTTTTGGTCTTAACACTTGGTCTCTGTACTGCACAGTGTTCAGGTTTCCCTGTATAATCACCTTATCAGTCTTCTGATCTCCACAAATACCGCCCCACATCATGACACATCCCCCGTTGAATGGATGGACCTCTCGAATACACGCCGGAGCCAAACGTTCCCCTCTGCGTCGATTAACTCGTTCTCTGCCGTCATTTCGAAACAAGTTAAACCGACTTTCATCAGTAAACAGCACTCGACGCCAATTTCTCAGTTGTCCTCGGAAAGGACGATACTTTCGGATTCCAGCAGCACGAAGTCGTTGTAGTACTGTACGTTGGCTAATGGGATGTCCCAACGACGTTGCTGCCGTTCGCCGTGGCCGTTACAAATCTGTTTCGCAGGTGAATGAGCCGCATCTGACCGTCTTCCAGTGGTGTCGTCACTCGGGGTCGTCCGGTTCTAGGCCTGTCCTGTGTCCTCCCTGGATGCCTGTACCGTTGAATCAGCCTGGCCACTGTCAGTGGTGTACAACCAAACCTTCTGGCAATTTGGACCTGTGTTGCCCCCATTTCGGCCATATCTTTATCATTTATACAGCTAACATGCACGTGCAGTTTATGCCATAAGCGGGAAACCTGTTTCACCATTTTTTTGTCACCGCACGAGCGCCGTCAAAGGTGGCGCGTTCGGGTGAGCTGTTTTTTGGTACCTGTTCCTGGGCAGTCATATTCCCAATACCCACTTTCCACTAGTTATCGCGGTTTTTAGGAAAATTACAAATTGCCAACCTATACTTTCTTTTGCCGCTTAGTTTATTTCTAATCAACTTGCTATCGTTCTTGCAGGGTGCTACCCCACTGGAAAATAAGAATGTGATTGAATACACTCTGAAATGTACCGCAAACCATATCACGGTAAGCTTTAGACAGTACGTACATAAATGTGAATGAATAAAAGCATGAATGCATGAACGAACGAACGAACGAACGAAGAAAGAACGAAAGAACGAATGGATGTTTTTATTTCCTCAACTTGTTTCGGAGAGTGTCATGCATTTGTAATCATGTTAATACAGCAAATACCACATATTTACATAGCATGTTCCTGGTATGAGATATGTTACTGTCTATAGATAGATCATTGATCTTAGGTTCCAGGTGGGTATGTCTCTTGATACAGATGATATGTATTCAGCTGTGGATTATAGTGAGTGAGTGAGTTGGGTTTAACGCCGCTTTTAACATTATTACAGTCATATCGCGGCGTGTCAGCTTAATGTGGGAGGAAAGCCCGAAGTGATGCAGGTTTCAGACGTTTACCACTTCGGTGAAACCCACGAGCACGGGTAAGGTGCTGACAAACCTAGAAACATAATTGGGGCGAACCGGGATTCGAACCCACAATTATAGGTTTCTGGCATGCTCAAGGGACGCAACTCTGCACAGCGAATCGCGGCGCCTTAGACGACTGGGCTACCCGTGCCCCCCTGTGGATTATAACACCTGGCAATGTCACAATTTTAACCTCATTATCTGTACAGTCTTCAATGTATTGCTGTAGGTTTAGAGTCAAATAGATGCTCACACTTTTCCCTGTTCCCTGCATCAGCTGAAGGTGTCTCACATAGCAGTTGGTGTTTTATTGTGTCATCGCACATTACGCACTGCCCAGGGTGCCGTTGTACAAAGCGATCTTAGGTGATGTAACTCCCATACCTTAACATTGACTAACGACAGCTGTAGCGCTGAGCTTGTTTGTACAACGGCACCCAGGTGATATTGCCAGTAGATAAAAGCCTAGTTGGCATATCATATATGTTACACTATTCCAGTCCACGTGCTTCAACCTTACTGTTGTTTATTTTCACATCGGTTAAATTAGGGTGATCGTGCAGACATCTGTGTCAATGCAATGATCAGTTTCATGTTCTTTTATCTTGATATTTACGGTATTGTTCCACACATCCTTGGATGGGAACTGTTCCACTGTAGTCCATTATTCATGTCTTTATTACAATGGGGGGCACGGGTGGCCCAGTCGTCTAAGGCGCCGATTTTCGCTGTGCAGAGTTACGTCCCTTGGGCACGCCAGAAACCTATCATTGTGGGTTCGAATCCCGGTTCGCCCCGATTATGTTTCTAGGTTTGTCAGCACCATACCCGTGGGTTTCACCGAAGAGGTAAACGTCTGAGACCTGCATCACTTTGGGCTTTCCTCCCACTTTAAGCTGACACGCCGTGATATAACTGGAATACTGTTAAAAGTGGCGTTAAACCCAACTCATTAACCTTATTACAGTGATCTGATCATGTGTGACATATGTATTTTTGTGACTGCCTGTAACATATTGAGCACACATATTGAACACTTTTTCAAGGTATATAATTAGGTGATTACTGATGCATAGCCTCCCAAGGAACGTCAGCTTCATTTTGTATATACCTTCATAGCGGACGAACCTAGAGTCTGAATAGTTGCAACGATCGGAGATCTTAAATGAAAATTGTTTACAGTGCGATGGAGAGCTGAAGTTTTTCAAGGTTTTTGTATTGCTGTACTGGTTGCCGTTGTACAAAACAACCTGAGCGCTACGACTGTCGTAAGCCTATGTTAGGATATGGGAGTTACGATCATCTTGGTAGTAGTAGTGGTTTATTTCAGTAAATCAGGCCACAGGCCCATTTTACAATATATATTCAAGCATTCAAACATGTTGCGCCACAAGTGCATGTAGTAATATCAAGACTAATCAGTACAAGGGTATCTGAGACCATATACATATGGTGGTAGAATTAGTAGTTTATATAATGGACAACTGTTGCTCCTCATTGTAAGAGCAAAGAATGTAAACTTGGCAAGAGTATTGATTGTGAAAGCATTACTGGTGGTAAATAAAACTTTACATTTATGCTCTGATGGAGATGTATAATAATAACTTGGCAGAACGTTTCTTCTAAGATCGTCATAAAACGGACAAACTAAACAAACATGGTATTCTGTTTCTACATTTGGAATGATACAAAATGGACAAAGCTTTTTTTTTAAGTCTTTCACATTTTGGAATACCTAACTTTCTACACTGTGATACCATAAGATCACTGCTCGACGTGAGAAACTGTGAGAGAGTAATCCTAAATGCAGCAATATTCACAACACTTAAATAATTTTCATATTCATTTTATAGCTTAATTGGTTTATACAAATATAATGAAGATAATTTGTCAAAAGATTCAAAGAGACACTGGTTATCAATATCAATACATCTTGTTCTAAAAGAGGATATAAATGAATGAATACAAGAAACTGACTGTCTATTCCAAATTTCACCATATCCAAAGGAAAATAACAGAATTTTAACTTTCAGTGCCCAGCAATCTAGACCCTTTTCTGCCCGGTCATACTGGTACACATACGTGTGATACAAAATACTGTTTTCGTTCTGAGTTAATAAACGCAGCCAGTACTTAACAATTTTCAGATGTTGATTTACTTTTAACGAGTATCTCCCAAGTTCAGCTCTTGCTACAACATTAGGAAAAGTTCTTCTCAGTTTCAAAATAAGCTTGCAGAATTTATCATGAACATTTACAATATCTTTAGAGGGATGAAATCCACTTATCTCTGAGCCATATATTAATATGGGCAGTACTTTAACATAAAAAATACGAAGTAACATTTTCAGGGGAAGTTTGTGAAAATTGTACATATGTGATTGTAACAATAATATTACCTTCCAAGCTTGTTGGGATAATATCTTTTGAGTTTTAAACCAGGAACCCGAGCTAGAAAAGTGTACTCCAAGATATTTATAACTGGGGACTATCTCAAGAGGGCTGACATTAAGAAAAAACTTTTCATAGCTTTTAAGCCTATCTGCCTTACGAAAAATAATGATTTTACTCTTGGTAAAATTAACTCTTAATTGCCACTTATTGCAATAATCCACCAACTTATCTAAACGTTTTTGTAACCCGAGAACAGTGCTATCAAATTGGATAATGTCATCTGCAAATAAGAGTATAAAGAGATCCAGCAAGTCTAAATTAACACAGTATTGCTTATCCACACTCAAAAACTGTACTATATCATTTACAAAAAATGAAAATAGGAAAGGTGACAACTGGCAACCTTGCCGTACACCAAAAGGACAGTCAAAGAAGGGAGTACATCTATTGTTAACCAAAACACATGACTTCACATTTTGATACATATCATTCAAAAGTCTAAACATTTTCCCCTTTACATTACCAATCCACAATTTATAAAATAAAGATGGTCTATGAACAGAGTCGAAGGCTACTTTCAAATCTATAAAAGCACAATAAAGTCTACCTTTATATAATGATAAGTATTTCTGTATGATAGTATCAATTACAAAAAAACATTATCTACCGTTTGAAAACCTTTTCTAACCCCTGACTGTTCAGGAATAATAATTTTTTTATTTTCAGCCCATTTAGAAAGTCTAGTGCACAGAATTTTAGAAAAGATTTTACTCGAGACTTCGAGTAAAGTGATTGGTCTGAAGCCAATGGGAAGCCATTGTACCCCGGGGCTTTTCCACAGTGCATACTGGAGATTGCATCCTGTATATCAGACATAGTAATGTCATAGTCAAGTTCATTATCAATATCAGTAGTTGCATCAATGAGATTGTCAGTTATACCTGTAATGAAATCATTTACATGAACATAAAAATCAAGTGAGTATGGATCATGGTTTGTTCCACTAAACAGTTCTTTATAATGTTCAATCCACGCAAGTGGTGTAATGTTTATTAATTGTGATTTTGTTTTTAGTCTCAATAACGACCAAAAAAGTTTCACATTATTAGATTGGAGTAATTGTTCCAGTTTGTTTACAAACACATGTGTCGAGACAGCTGACTTGCGCGAGCAGAGTTCCTTGTAGTGTTTACGTGCAGAAATGTAGGTCAGCCGGTCGCATGCCTCGTTGCTTGCATGAAATGCACGCAGCAATTGACGAGCTGTCAATCTTGCCAGCAAACATTCCTCATCGAACCAGTCACAATGTTTTTTGTCCAGTTCTAGCTCTTACACGGTTTTCTAAATTTAACACAGCAATTTTCAAGAGTGTTCTGAAAACAGTTAAAAGCATTATCTACATCATTGTTAATGAATTGATTTGATCATCTTGGTGCTGAGATCGCTTTGTACAACGCCACCCTGGACGACAGTTCAAAAGAGAAGAAGGCACTGGAATTATTAATCTACGCCATATGCTCACACAACAGCATGGGATCAGACAACCTGCTCTTTGTCCAATATCTCTCTCAGGGAATACCAATTATGTCTTGCCTCATTGATTTTCACATAATAACAGAAGATGCATTTTTTTTTCTTGGTTTCATGCCATACATATAAGTCCCCTGTGAAGATCGTGTTTGAATTTATCTTTAGAAATCCATGCTTGTGTGGGGATGCGATACTAACGGGATCGGGTTGTAAGGCTCGCTGACTTAGCTTGGTTGATGCATGTCATCATATCCCAATTGTGTAGATCGATGCTCATGATGTCAATCCCTTGATTGTGTGGTCCAGATTCGATTATTTACAGACCGCAAATATATATTTATATATGTTTCTTGTTTAACGTCGCACGAGAGAGAGAGAGAGAGATAGAGCGAGAGAGAGAGAGAGAGAGAGAGAGAGAGAGAGAGAGAGGCTCTAAACAGACAAAACAGATCATATTTAGTTTCCATTTAGTTTAACATATGCAGTTTTAACTCCTACTGTCTTGGTGGCTATTGTTGGTAGCTGACAGTACCTTACACGGAATCCTTCATGTACATTAACATGTTTCGTTTTGCAAGGTCTACTTTCTATTGTTGAGAGTCAATGTTGCTGACGTCAACGACTGCAGCCCTGTTTTCATCAACGTGCCATACAGTTTCAGCATCAACGAGGTAACACTGCAACACCATCCTTGAAATATCATATAGACAGGATTGTCTTGTCCATATCAACTTTTTTATTCCTTTATTGTATCAAGAAAATGTGACCCTTCTGGATAAGTAAACTACGGTTATACCGAACTCGAAGGGACCACTAGTCGTAAGTTCGTAATAACCGTAGTTCGTTATATGCGTATGAACAGCATTTATACAACAAATGGTCGTTATAAGCGTGTTCGTTTTAAACGTAGTTTACTGTACCAGCATCTGGACGAAAAACGGTACATTTTAAGGAAAACGAGAAGTTGAAATCCAGAAGACAACACTGAAAATCTGTAGAATATTCCTGTACAATTCTCGACGATCCTAAATTAGCAATCCTGCGACGGGTTAACAGTTTCTGTCCGATTGACCATCAGTTATCAGGCAAATATGCATTCGTATTTGCAAGATGGCAACACAACTAGAGAGAACAGTTACATCGCGATTTATGGAATCAAAAACACTTTAAGAATGCACCTAAAATATCTATATATAATAACAGCGAACTCCTGGTGTATAGGCACACTTAGTAAACTGCATGATTTTTTATCTTGAACCATCGTGTCTGTTTAATTTCTACTGGTCGTGGTCTCTGAATGTCAATTAAATATTAAAATGCGTGTTTATCCTGTTCTTCGCAATCATTAACAACATTCGGTGCATAATGTGTTTTTTTAAAAACCATTCGGGAAACAACCAAGCCCGTTGGTCATATAGTAACAAATCTTGCCATTTTAATGTAAGAACTATTTTGTGCTTGCGTGCGTGCGTGCGTGCGTGCGTGCGTGCGTGCGTGCGTGCGTGTGTGCTTGCATGGCTTGAAAAAGATTGGTGGTATAAGAAACAAAGTATTTGAGTCTAAGAGAGACATACATTATTTCAGCTCACCCCGATTGGCACAACCGTTTTCTCCGCAATAACTGCCACAGACCGTGACATGGGTGACAATGGACGGATCACGTACCACATAAGACCTGGATCGGTATGTTGGGATGAACAACTGCTAAATCAGAACCAAGCATTTCTTCACTTTTCAGTGTTTCGTAGGCGACAGTATTTTTTAAAACGGTGGTCATGTTAAAGAAATATCATTGTTGGTATTTTTGTAAATTATTCTGAAGGATATAGCGGTTGTCACACTATTATATTGCTTGACAATAGGGTCTCCCATAGATATTGTGTGTCTCACTACCGAATGTTCTTCTTCTCAGAATAGCGGGGCCGACCTGTTCTCGCTACCTGACCCCAACGTTGGAGTGGTTACCCTCAAGTCCACGCTTGACTTTACCAAACACGACCATGTTGTCTTGGAGGTCGAAGCACGGGTACACAAACTACTAGTTTCAGTGGATCAATTTCAGTCAGTTAAACATTATCATGGTTGCCTTGGGGTGGAAATGCCTGTCTGAGTGAATAAGCCAAGCGTCGTATAAGTTCATTTTAATGCTTTCAGCAGAATCACCCGGTGAAGATCCGGATTAGAATTGGTCTTCAGCATCCCATGTTTGTCTTAAGACTAACTGGATCGGGTGTCCAGGCTCCCTGACTTGGTTGATGCATGTCATCGTATCCCAATTGCGTAGATCGATGTTCATGACGTCAATCACAGGATTGATTACATACCGACGTCTTATAGCTGGGATATTGATAAGTGCGGCGGTAAACAGCCAATAAACAAAATATTTGGCACAATCATGTCATTGAAATGTGAAGAGTGAGTGAGTGAATCAGCTTGGTCCACGATTAACAGTATTTCAACAAAATCTCAAAATGATTCGCGGTTTGTTTTATATATAAACGTGGTACTAAGCGTCTCTGGCATACAAGGATATCATTGTCTGTCAATGTCCATGTCAAATGTATCTCCATGTACTGCTGTTTAATGTTGGTTGTTTCAGGTCATAGCCATAAACGGCTTAGAACTTTTAGTTGTCACACATGCTTCATGCTTCGTGAGATAATCATTATATAAAAGTAAATGTATTTGTATTAACATGTACAATGCAATTTGTTTATTTTATGCTGAAATTATTCGTTGAAACTTTAACTTGATAGGACAACCCTTCGACTGGCTATTCTCATTACGCCTACACAGCGATCAACGTCAATATCGTGGACGGGGACGACCAAGGCCCTCAGTTTATCTACCCATCCTGCATCAAAGAGGATGGGATATGCTTCAACCCAAGTTACACCGCTACCATTACTGCCGGCGTCACTGTATGTACCGACATCTGTTGTACCGATAACATATGTTAAAAATATTCACCTGTAACGACTTGCCTGGAATTATGTAAACAGGCAAAAGAAAAGATACACCCTAGCTTGATGGTGTCTATAACTGAAAAAAAGAAAGAAATATTTTTTCAATGGTGATGCATTTGTTATGGGTATTATAGCTATGTCTTGGCCTGAACTTTGCAGAGTTTCGGCGACTGTCTTCAGCGTAGTAATGTAAAAAAGATTTTTTGGATTCATTCGTCAAACTTTTCGTGTACTTTCGTTTGAGTTTACGATCAGCCTTTTCACATTTATTAGATGACTTACACATCGCCATCTTATAGCGCTCGGGTGAGGTGAGGTGAAATTGGGTTTAACGTCGCGTCCAAGATTATTGCACTAATATAGCGACGTGCATGCACGTGTGTGTGTGTGTGTGGCTGCTTGTACTAGGCCGGACTGATGCCGATTTATAGTGCTAGCCCACTGAGATACCATGCCGCAGTTTAACATGAATACCCCACTCAGACACAGTATACTGACTCCGAGCCGACCAGTCCTTGTTTTACCCCCTTAATGCCGAGCGCCAGACAGGTTAACAACAAGTACCATCTTTTAACGTCTTTTGGTATGACGCGGCCGGGGATCGAACCCCGGACCTTCCGCTCTCCGGGCGGACGCTCTACCACTAGACCACGGAGGCAGTCTATAGCGCTCGGGTGACTTGGCTGATTGTGCGTCAAGTCGATTATTTTCCGTCCGTGCGATATTACTGATCGCGGCCTCGATCAACACTCACTTCACTACATATCGGGCGGTGGGGTGGCCTTTCGATAAAGTGTTAGCTCACCACTCCGGAGGACCGGGTTCGATACCCACATGGGTACAATAAGTATATCCCTCTCTTGATGACCAATATATTATTGTTATCAGCGGCGTAGAATCAGTCCCGTACTTCACTGAACAATGAGAGCACAAGCCACTTTCAGCCCACATGTACAAGCGGTCACGAGTGACTATCTTCATTCATAACTGTGTTATACATTCAAAGATAATGCCGTAAATCAAGTCAGATGCTGTGACGATAAACTCGACTGTTAGTTTTATTTGAAAAACATGTCCGATTCCTATTGCTTAATCAAAGGTAGGGGGCACGGGTGGCCCAGTCGTCTAAGGCGCCGCGATTCGCTGTGCAGAGTTGCGTCCCTTGGGCACGCCAGAAACCTATGATTGTGGGATCGAATCCCGGTTCGCCCCGATTATGTTTCTAGGTTTGTCAGCACCATACCCGTGCTCGTGGGTTTCACCGAAGTGGTAACGTCTAAGACCTGCATCACTTCGGGCTTTCTTCCCACATTAATCTGACACGCCGTGATATGACTGGAATCCTGTTAAAAACGGCGTTAAACCCAACTCACTCACTCACTAAGCAAAGGTATGGTCGCCTATTAGAAGATCTGAAATTCAAGTGACACCCAACACTAAGCGGTTCCTACGTCAGTTATTTGAAGCCCTGTACATGGTACAAACTGTTTTACAGACATAACCAAACACATGTATTGTAAACTGCAGAGACACGCTGCAACGATGTGTTTTATAGAACGTGATGAGATGTATATGCCGTTCGTGCTTTCACCGATAAGCATTTCTAATACTGGTTCTGCCATTATCTCCCGATTGTACCGGTGTTGTCTGCAACCTACTGGTTAAGTAAGGCCTGAACAATGCCAAATCACCCATCGCATTCGCCATCTGCAAATAACCTTCTTTAAAAAAGTAAACAATTTACGGAATTTTCAATTTACTGAGTTTAGTTGGATCATCTGGCCGCGTCATCCACAAAGATGATAAAAGATACTCTGCCTGGCGTTCGGTTTTACGGGGATAAAACAAGGACCTGTCGGCTCGGAGTCTCTGTATCCGAGTGGGATATCCATGTTAAACTGCCGCATGGTATCTCAGTGGGAGGGGGAACGGGCGACCAAGTCGTCTAAGGCGCCAAGATTCGCTGTGCAGAGTTGCGTCCCTTGGGCACGCCAGAAACCTATGATTGTTGGTTCGAATCCCGGTTCGCCCCGATTATGTTTCTAGGTTTGTCAGCACCATACACGTGCTCGTGGGTTTCACCGAAGTGGTAAACGTCTGAGACCTGCATCACTTCGGGCTTTCCTCCCACATTAAGCTGACACGCCGCGATATAACTGGAATCCTGTTAAAAGCGGCGTTAAACCCAACTCACTCACTCACTATCTCAGTGGACTAGCACAACAAAACAGGAATGAGAACAGGCATGAAAACAGCAGCCACACACACATGCATACATGTCCCTATTTAAGTGAACTAATCTTGAACGCGACAATAAACTTCATTTCACCTTCAAGCCACCATTTTAGAAAGAAAAATTTAATTAAAAATATATCAACGATAATATCAATATGCCGTCAAAGTAAAACGCATTTTAGTTCCTGAATGATCAGCTGATAATGAACTTGTATTTATCTTTTAAATTCAGCATGGCGAGCTGCACGTGCTGCCAGATCCTGTCGACACTGACAACCCGCACAACCCAGTCGTGATCTCGGCCAGGGACAGGGACACGTTAAACATGCCACTCACCTTCTCGATCGTACAGAGTAAGTCAAAGCGTCTTGTGAAACTCCAGTTGAATGTAGTTACATGTTCTTGTATGTATGCCTCGCGTATTGGACGAAAACGGAAACCATGGCGATGTAGTATGATGTCACTCTCAACCTGCTACCGCCGAATAAAGCAGCTGGGATTGTATACACCCCAGGGAGCTGAGAATGAATTTCGGATGCACACAGAACCATTGACCGGGGTTATAATGCAGCGCTTTGAGCATGCTTTAGGCGTAGATATGGCGCAATACAGATATGAACATTCTTCTTCTTCTTCTTCTTCTTCTTAAAATGTACAGATTAACATAAAAAAATGCAGCAAAGAGGGTTTGGGTGATCCTGGCACAGTCAGGCTGGTTAGGCTCATCATCAGCTCAGGGCCCTTGCCCCCTCTATACCAAGTCCAGACAGCAAATGAGACTTCTCCCAGGAAGCGCTGCCTAGTCAAACCGACCCAGAATTTTTCGGAGAATGTGAAGACTGCAGCCTACGGTTTTACCCAGAAGGGCAGCAAACCCGGGTACTCTCCCAATGTCAGTCAACAGATTGGGAGGTACCAAACCTAAGGGACCGAGAACAATAAGGAGTCGGGCAACTTGGTTCTTGGGATGCAAGCGTAACGTTTCGAAAGCGAGATCCTTATATTTGCCATGTTTTTCCTGAATCTTGTCAATCACATTAGTGTCAAAGGGGACAGAAACTTCAATGATATAAATGATTTCATTGGATTGATAAAAAAAAGAACAAGATCAGGTTTGTTGGCCTGGATAGGTCTGAGTCTGTATACGGGCATATTCCAAAGAATTTTGAATTTATCATTTTCCATGACGCCCTCTACACGCCCTCTCCATGACGGTCGTACAATGGATGGACCTCTGTATCAAAACCACAAGCATGGCGAAGACGGTAATAAAGGGATCGAGACATTCCCTCATGTCGCTTAAGATTCTGTGTTTGTGCCAAAGCTGGGCAGCTACAGACAATGTGTTGGACAGGCTTATTAAATTCATTGCATGACCTACATTTCACATTTACATTTTTTATGCAAAATTACACACTGAAGGATTCGAGTGGGAAGTACCAGTAGTAGTAGTAGTAGTAGTAGTAGAAGAATCATTATTAAAATTATTATTAGTTGTAGTCGTCGGAATCGTACAACAGACTCTGCTTTTAATGCTTTTGTCGCTTATATGTTCAATATTTATTCATGACACATTTTTATGGATAGCAATTCAGTCTAAATATATTTATTATAAATGTCTCGTCACGACATGGCTGAAATATTGCCGATATGACGTTAAATTTCACTCCCTCAGCCACTATGGACAGCAACTACTATTCTTATACGTGTCAGAGCTACCTCTTGCTCCTTCATCTGAGTCTCCTTTGTATAAGAAAAAGAAGCTGCTCTCCACACAAAAATGTCATGTGTTCATGTTCTCCCAAGTTCTAAATGCCTATGAAAGACTTTGTTCTAGATTTAAATATTTAAACTCAGTTTCTGCGAAACCGATCGGAGTGAGTGAGTGAGTTGGGTTTAACGCCGCTTTTAACAGTATTCCAGTTATATCACGGCGTGTCAGCTTAATGTGGGAGGAAAGCCCGAAGAGATGCAGTCCTCAGACGTTTACCACTTCGGTGAAACCCACGAGCACGGGTATGGTGCTGACAAACCTAGAAACATAATCGGGGCGAACCGGGATTCGAACCCACAATCATAGGTTTCTGGCGTGCCCAAGGGACGCAACTCTGCACAGCGAATCGCGGCGCCTTAGACGACTGGGCCACTCGTGCCCCCGAAACCGATCGGAAGAAATAAAACAATTTGATCCACATTTATAAAGTTTTGGTCGCAAGGTCCTTTAATCAATTACCGGTAATTAAACAACACCCCCCTCGTTTTGTCAGTCAGGAAAAGCTGGTCATTGGATCGAATAACACGTTCGACCCGACTATGATCCTTGGTTTCCTGGCGCCATTCCTTTGGGGGTTTACGTCTTTTACGTGTACACATCTGTGACATGTTGGGCTTTCCGTCCCTATTGAGTTCACATGCCGTGATACAGCCAGACATGTAATGGGAGTTATGGCAACAGTATGCAGTGTGACATTGGGCCTGCTTCACTTCAGCCGAACCCGAGGGGTACGCCAGCTACTTCAGCATCGCCACAAGGAAGGCAGCTGGGGCAACATACACTGGCATCCTACACATGACGTCCCCCCTCCCAGCCCCTGCTAACATGACACAGCTGAGGGTCCTGATCAAGGTGAGTAGTTCAGTAGTGGTATGATTCAAGACTGGGTGGAGGGGCGTGGTTCGGTCATGGCATATGAGAGAGAGAGAGAGAGAGAGAGAGAGAGAGAGAGAGAGAGAGAGAGAGACTGAGTAAGAGTAAGAGTGAGAGAGTAAGAAAGAGATAAGAGATAAGATAGAGTAAAAGAGAGAGAGATAAGAGAAAGAGTAAGAGACGGCTGAGAGAGAGTAAGAGAGAGAGCAAGAGTGGAAGACGGTGAGATTAAGAGACTGTTAAGAGAGAGAGAGCAAGAGAGAGAGTAAGAGAGTAAGAGAGATAAGAGTAAGAGTAAGAGAGAGTTATGAGAGAGAGTAAGAGATAGGAGAGAGAGTAAGAGTAAGAGAGAGCTGTGAGAGAGAGAGAGAGAGAGAGAGAGAGAGAGAGAGAGAGCACATCTCGTATCATACACAAGTATCAGGCCACGAACAAGGTCAATGTTTCACCATGGCCAGCCCTTTCAACCAACTTCTCATCCATAGACCATCTGGACCAGAACATAATACGCCGCTATTCTCCAATGGACAGAAAACAGATAGTATAGGGAGGGGGAGCAATACCTGATGACGCCAAACGAACTGTCCGACGTCGTGCGCACATCTCCATGTTACACGTGTAGGCCATACACATTATTGGCTCATTGGCGTTCATTTTGTGACAGTAATGATCATGTTAACTCACATGTCGTCCTGAGTGGAAACTGTGAAATCGCCCATTTTACCCCCAGTGCTGTGTGGGATCTGTGATGTTGAGACGTGATGGTCAATTGTGTGTATATCAGAGTTTTATATCTCAACAAATGATTATGCTTTCGTAATATATTAACATCAACATGATGTTGGTGTACTTATGATCGTCAATTTAAATGTGATTCCCTGCATTATTCCAACATTATTGTCTCCAACATACAATTACGATGGTCATATTGGCAAAATAAATAGTCGTGTCATAATTCAGTTACGAATCCACCCGGGGGTACGGGTGGCCCAGGCGTCTAAGGCGCCGCGGTTCGCTGTGCAGAGTTGCGTACCTTGGGCACGCCAGAAACCTATGATTGTTGGTTCGAATCCCGGTTCGCCCCGATTATGTTTCTAGGTTTGTCAGCACCATACCCGTGCCCGTGGGTTTCACCGAAGTGGTAAACGTCTGAGACCTGCATCACTTCGGGCTCTCCTCCCACATTAAGCTGACACGCCGTGATATAACTGGAATACTGTTAAAAGCGGCGTAAAACCCAACTCACTCACTCACTCACCCAAAACCTCAAAACTGGTTAGCATGGGTGCGAAGTAACCCCTTTTTAAAGCTTATATTGTGCAACCTTTCGACATTACTTTTCAAAGATCACTTTTTAAGCATATTTTTAGGGGTAAATACACATTAGAACATTGAGAAGTTACCTCTCTGTCCAAGCTGAACCAAATAAATACATGAATCTAATAAACATAGAAATGAATTCAAATTTTGTGAAAATAATTATCTCACATTTACCGAGTATTTTCACTGGTGTCTGCCTACTTTCATTGGTTAGATCTGTTTTCCTTACAGGCAACGGAAACCTCTGAAAAGCGGCACTACGAGCGAGCCATCGTCTATATCAACGTTAAACCCTCTTCGCCTCTGATTGGGTGACCACAACATTAAGCACCAGTAGAGATGGGGGATTCATTTCCTGTGACTTGTTTTCTCGGAGAGTCCCGTTGCTCGCATGAACTGTGATAATTTGCCTCATGTGCTGTGAATGGAACAATCAAAACCACAACCGTTTGTTTTCGGTAAACATTTAATCACATATCTTCTCAACTGTATTTGATGAGTCACGCAGCTGAAATCTATACATAGTGTATGTACATCAAATCGAAATAAAATACACACGTAAAATTAAAAAAATATAAAATAGCAAAATATATCAGATTTGAGCAATTTCATTTGTCAATAATTGTCTATGTCAATATACCAGTATAAGAGACATGATTGACAGCAATAAAGTTGGTGAACGATAACCTTTCCACTTCATTCTTGAGATGAAACAAGATCACTCAAAAGAGAGCGTTCCAGTAATATCATGTGTTTTTCATGATAAAATCTCATCCACCCAGGCTGTGTCCGGGTGTGTTGCATAATTGTATACATTTCAATTCCTAGGCATAAGCTGTTGGAGACTTTGAGACGGAAGCCTTTTAGGGCCATTTGTTTTCTTGAAATTTCGAGATACTAACTTGAAATTTCAAGCTAATGAGCAACCTCGGAATGAGTTAAAATCTTGAAATTTCAAGATAATGAGCAACCTCGGAATGAGTTGAAATCTTGAAATTTCAGCTTAGTATGGATCTTGAAATTTCCTCATAACATCTTGAAATTTCAAGTTAGTATCATGAAGTTTCAAGGGAAACAAATGTCCTTAAATGGCTTCCGTAACGATGTGAGAACATGATTTTGTTTACAATCTATACTTATATTTGTAATATATATAATACAACACAATAAACTAAACATGTGCTTTGAGGTCAAGGGATTTAAATAAAGTTCAAAATAGTACTTGCGATAAAAAATAATTTTGTCATTCTAAATGTTACACCATTAACTAAATAATACTGAAACCTTACCAAAATCGCTTTCATCACTATTTTTATTCAAATAAAAAGAATAAGCGCCAGTGAATTATAAAGTATTTCTTTGATCAGTACATGTGTTACACTATGACATAACAACACAACCATTTTACCATTTAAACCTGTTTTCAGGGAAATATACCTCTGCCTGTATTTAAATGGAATGCACTAACGGTGGCTGTTCCACCAACGTAACTACATGTATTTACATCATGTGATATAATTACTCGACGGCAAGGACGGCAGATTCTTATAACACAGTCTAAAATATTACTGATATTTATATATACTTCATGAATAAAACGAGTAGTATGGTAGGTAGATATCGGGCCAGCCTACTAGCGGTACACGCCCACGTTCCACTCGTGGGTTTGTTACAGTCACACGTGCTCGCGGGGGGCGGGGTCTTGATGACACTGACTGTCAGGGACACCGTGGCAGACCGCCTGAGGGCCGTGTCTCTCTCACTAACCGTCACCTGTATTAAACCAAAATCGGGAATAAGTTGGATTTGAAATCAAGCAGAATTCTTCTGGCAACATCCTCTAGAAAATCCTGACAAATATAAATTTGCATGTCGTTGGCAGGTAGACGACAAGGAATCGCCATTACACCATTCCTAAATCTTCAGTATAATGTGGCCCATCATAGGACTGTTTTTTTCCTGATGATGACGACTCGATTGTTTATTTCTTTGTTTACCAAATTTGATGCCACTGACGCAATGACGAATAGTCGTAACAATAATCGTACTTCAATAACTTTCCTAGCCGGTCAATCAGTTTCCTAACTGGTCAATAAGTTTTCTAACCGGTCTATCAGTTTCCTAACTGGACAATCAGTTTTCTAACCGGTCTATCAGTTTCCTAACTGGTCAATAAATTTCCTAACTGGTCAGTGAGGTTCCTAACTTATCTATCAGTGTCATAACTGGTCTATCAGTTTTCTAACTGGTCAATCAGTTTCCTAACTTGTCTATATGTGTCATACCTGGTCAATCAGTTTCCTAACTGGTCTATCAGTGTCATACCTGGTGAATCAGTTTCCTAACTGGTCTATCAGTTTCCTAGCTGGTCAATCAGTTTTCTAACCGGTCTATCAGTTTCCGAACTGGTAAATCAGTTTCCTAACTGGTCAATAAGTTTCCTAACTTGTCTATCAGTGTCATAACTGGTCTATCAGTGTCATAACTGGTCAGTCAGTTTCCTAACTGGTCCATCAGTTTCCTAACTGGTCAATACGTTTCCTAAATGGTCCATCAGTTTCCTAACTGGTCAGGCAGTTTCAAATGAGGAAGAAAATCAAAGTGATACAGCTGTCCGTGCTCATGATGGATGGAAAAGGAAGCGGACTTTATCATCTAAATTAGAAAAGTCTCGCGACCAATACAAAAAGAGAAATATTCATGGAATCGGAGTCTAAACCTTATTAGGCACCGGCGAAAACGAACACATGACTGACTGGACTATCACATCAAAGAAAACTGCACATAACCAGGAAAGTAAGTATTCGATACGGAAGGAGAGCAGCGCTCCAATGCCCATGCGTGCAGAGGCACACAATAACCCGGATGAGGACAGGTTTGCTGATGAATGGTGGATGAACGGGACTGTAGGCATCTTTAAACAGTATTTTAGATTTAATTAATTTGTCAAGAGACACCACGAATGGATTATACACATTAAGTAAGGATAAGATATATGGATGAAGAACTTGTTTATAACAATTAGGAGCGATGTTTTGGTGTAGGTTCCAACACCGTTATCAAGCAAGTGATAACGGTGTTGGAACTTACACCACAACGTCGCTCCTAATTGTAATAAACAAGTTCTTCATCCATATATCTTATCCTTACATAGTACTCCAACTTCTAAATGCCTCTTAAAGAGGTTACACACTTTTCCCATTGAAGGAATCAAACCGGGATCTCTGCTTCACCCCAGAGAGAGGATATGTGTGAGACTTGCCTGGAAGGTATATCTGTTCTTGGTGTCGTAGTCTAGTGTCCTGGCCAGTCGGATGTAACCATCTGGATCCACACTGAAGCTGTCTGTGCCCTGCACTGAACTCACGTAGTTCTGCACAGGGTCACCGAGCACCTGGAACACAGAACAGAGGTGAGGTGAGGTTTAATGGGGGTTCAACGTCGACTTCAAGATTATTGCACTTATTTTGCGAGGTGAATGCACGTGTGTGTGTGTGTGCGTGCGTGCGTGCGTGCGTGCGTGCGTGCGTGCGTGCGTGAGTGTGTGTTTGCGCGTGTGTATGCTTGCACTGGTCAGGACTAATGCAGGTTTTATACTGCTAGCCTACCGAGATACCATGCCACAGTTTAACATGAATATCCCAATCAGACACAGTATACTGACTCCGAGCTGACCAGTCCTTGCTTGAGCCCTTAATGCCGAGTGCCAGGCAGGCAAGTAACATCTTTAAACGTCGTTTGGTGTGACATGGCTTGGGATTGAACTAGAGACCTTCCATTCTCCGGGTAGACACTCCGCCCACTAGACCACAGAGGTGGTGTACTGAACGTAGAGGGACTCTATGAGTGAATGAGGCAGTGGGTAGGTGATTGGAAGAGGTGTAAGTTGGCGTGAGGGGGGAAGGTGAGTGAGTGGGTTGGATCACTGTTCTGTGCATGCTGATTAGGGTGTCTTAGAATTGAAATACCCGACCTCGAAATAGTAACAAAAAAAAAGAAAATAACCACAGGGAATAAGAGTTACGTCCCTTGAAATGATGGCGTCTATTTTTTGTACTAACAGTGATGTGATAAATGTAAAAAGAGGTACGTTTATTTATAAGGTGTTTGTTTACTGAATTTGGACGACTGTCTAAAAAAAATTCAACGTTTTATACAGGGCAACTAAATTCAAAAGAAATATTCTGCCGCATGACGAGTTATAATTAACGATCACACAATCATAGCCACCCGCCTCCCTCAAAAACTTGCGTGGATCGATGCTCATGATATTAATCACCGGTTTGTCTGGTCCAGATTCGATTATTTACAGACCGCCGTCATATTGCGGGAATATTGCTGAGTGCGGCGTTAAACAACAAACCAACCAACCCTCCAAAACATCCCACCTCACCTAATCTTATATGTGGTTATGACAAGACTCAGTTTAGAACAAATATGTGAAAACAATTGACAATTAGGCTTTCTCAACGTCACAAGGTTAAATCAGTGTCACGAAGTCACGTGACTTGAAGAAGTCCAAGGTCACATAGCAAATGGGGTCCGGTGCTACTTACAACATCCTGGTCACTGTATGTCAATCTCATCGCGTTTTGAAGAGGGCTGTCTTTCACGAAGAAAGAGGTTTCCGCGTCTTCCCTGATGTATCCTGTGAAACTATTGGTTGAACTTCCAATGATAGGAGGATTGTCATTGGATGATCCAATCGTCACATAGACGAGGGCTATTGCAGACATTCCAACTGACGATCTTTCCCTGGCCTGTTGATAAGATCATTCAATTTCAGACCAGAAACAGACGTGTATGCTATCAGCGATTGTGTAACTTGGGTGTGACGCCGCTTCTCTGCACTTTAATGTCACGCATGTGCAGGTTGAATCTGTTAACTGCTTGGTTAAACCCGCATGCGCATGGGTGCTTACAAAACCAAGGAATCATAATAAAGGCTAATTGGGAATTCTGGCCCTACCACAGGATATTTGCACAGCTTTTGGCGCACCCCTGCACACAACATTAAGTTGGTGGTTGGTTCGTTGTTTAACGCCGCATTTAGCACTATTCAGGCTATATGACGGCGGCCTGTAAATAATCGAGTCTGGACCAGACAATCCAGTGATTGATATCATGAGCATCGATCTACAATTGGGATCGATGACATGCAACAACCAAGTCAGCGAGCCTGACCACCCGATCCCGTTAGTCGCCTCTTACGACAAGCTTAGTAGCCTTTTACAGCAAGCATGGGTTGATGAAGAGCTATTCTATCCCGGATCTTCACGGGTTACTTAACATTAAGTGAAACATACGATAGGTAATGGACATTTTTAACAAGAAAAACAAGATTACCCTGGCAACACTTAACTGTGAACTTCAGTAACTGTTTACTGCAAATGGTGAATAATTTACGTTGCAGGAGCCATCAATTTCATTTAAGGCTCCCTGATCAGCATAGTCAAACCCGAACAGATGCAGCGGTACTCCACATTACATGAAACCATCAGGTACGCTGGCACACAGTTGCAATTACCCTGGTGGGAGCCCGGTTCCCTGGGTATCCATATGCATAGCGTCAGCGCAGCATACCAAGGGAACCAGGCTGCTCAGGTGTGACAATATCCGCAGCCTTATGACGTGGCCATCGTACTCTTTTTATTTCGTGACACATGCTACTCTGCCCTTCGAAATATTGGTAAAAAGTCAATCGGAATATCAAGACTAGTCCTATGTTGCCAGGTTACTTGCCGTGAGGACGAGTGTCAGGTCTCTGACATTGCGTCTGTTGATTGGAATGATTTGGGTCAAGGTTGCTCTGTAGAGGTCAGAGGTCGAGGTCACCACGGAGGAGGTCACGTTGAAGAAAATTGCATAGCCAGCCGGATCAGCTGATAACAAGAAAACGATTCATTGTATTGTTGTATCTAAAAAAAAGTACCCTACGACCGTAGTGTATTTTTCTACTTTTACGGCTGTTATGCATCAGACAGTCATGATGAATCCATTACAATAATAGCAGTCTTGATGGTTATGAGTAAATGGGTTGTTTAACAGTAAGATTAGACTATTCTAAGGCAAATTAAGGCCCAAAACTTCAGATCACTAGGTCGAAAAAATTGAAAAAGGAAACAAATTTCAAAAATAATAAATGATGTAGGGAGTTTCTAAGATACATTTTCAGCAGCCTGAATTAAACATATTAAATGATATATTTATTTTGATATCAACAGTAAATGAATTTTAAAACATTTTCCTGGTCGGCGGAATAAAAAACAACACCGCTTTTCTTTTTTTTCATATTTCAGTTTGATCGAAAACAAAGTTTATATAACATCTGCCTTAAATATTTCAATTATACGACGGAGTGTCAGCTTCATGTGAAAGGAAAACCCGACATGATTCAGTCGTGTTTAAAGTTGATAAAACCCTCACTAACCAGGGTTCTTAATCTCAGTAACCAGGGATCGTAATCCGGACGGAGTATTTACATCGTGGTTAATGTGATTACATTGCATGATTTTTTGTTTGTGTTGTTTGTTGTTTAACACCGCACTCAGCAATATTCCAATAATGACGGCAGTATGTAAATTATCGAGTCTGTACTAGACAATCCAGTGATTGACATCATGAGAATCGATCCACGCAGTTGGGATACGATGAAATCCATCAACCAAGTCAGCGAGCCTGACCACCTGATCTCGATAGTCGCCTTTTACGACAAGCATGGATTGCTGAAGACCCATACCTATTCTACCCCGGATCTTCACGGGTCACATCACATGATACTGTGTATATCATCAAAGTATTGAATCTTTAAAGGTGGGAACACAAACCTAACCAGACTACAGTGCAATATTAATTTTTAATACGACCCCTGTACCCTCTTTCACAACTGTGACGATGTCTTCAGGTTTGTCTCAGATGATCATGCATCTGGGATTCGAACCCACGACCATGGTACGCCTTAACGACGTCTTAGGCTATCTGGGTCATAAGTACCATAGCTCTTCACATCCAATAGTAACGACACAAAAATATATTACATGAAGTAGTGTTTCTCTCGAGACTTGGGGCAGTCGGGGAGCCTAGTGGTTAAAGCGTTCGCTCGTCACGCCGAAGCCTCGGGTTCGATTCCCGACATGGGTACAATGTGTGAAGCCCATTTCTGGTGTCCCCCGCCGTGATATTGCTGGAATATTGCTTAAAGCAGCGTAAAACCATACTCACTCACTCACACACTCTCCCGAAACTTACTCTGCTCCACCGTGTACACAATACGTTTGCCACCATCAGTGTCCCTGGCGAGGATGTCGGTGGGGGCAGGGGGGTTGACCCCGGGGCTGGGATACACTGTCAGTCCACCCTGGGAGGAAGAGATTGTCTATTAAGTTAAGTACATTTCTTTCAATGATACAGATGTGCATGCCTTTGGTCGCACTCAACAATATTCCAGCTATGAGGGCGGTCTTTAAATAATCGAATCTGGACCAGGCAATCCAGTGATTGACATTATGAACATCGTTCCGCACAATTGGGATACGATGACATGATCAACCAAGTCAGCGAATCCGACCACCGATCCATCTATTTGCCTCCAACGACAAGCATAGGATGCTGGGGACGTATATTCTTACCGTGAATTCCTACGACGTTGCATACTGATAGGATACTGTAGAGTAGTATTTGCTCATACAATTCTTCACGGGTATCCATGACGATGTATCAATATGCAGAATGTTGGATAAAAGACATAGCATGTTAAATGTTCCTATTTCATATCTATATATTTGTATATTGTATATCATATATATATATATATATATATATATATATATATATATATATATATATATATATATATATACACACACACACCTAGTGAGCGAATCCGACCACCGCATATAAAGAGGTTATCACGCGAGTGTGTTTGGGGATGGTAAATATCCTGCATTAGGAATAAACATTGTATTCAGCGAGCCTTGGCGAGCTTAATACATAGTGTTTATTCCTAATACAGGATATTTACCATCCCCAAACACACAAGCGTGATAACCTCTTTATCATTTAATGTCTTTCTTTAATTCTGTGCTTCAAAATCGCTTTCCCTCTCTCACAAACATTAGCGAAACATTGCAAGTTTTCCTGGAATGTGCGCATTAATATTTATTACGTCACAGGGTAAGTGATGTGTCAGACGGAGAGTGACAGTAGCCAATAAAGTTCCAACTGGAATCTGTTTCTTATACACCGGCGAAGCAACATATACGCAAAACAACAATTGTTTTTAATTGCCTTTCGCGGCAATCCATCAGTCTGTCCGCTAGAGTAACTGCCCTGTGTCAAAGGGAAGCTACTCTTACCCTAGTCTCTGAGACGTCACGGCCACGGTCAGACGTTGTTGACAGTCGGCCTGTTTTGTCATAACGTTAGAAGTGCAGTCAAATGTACACACAGCGACAAAACGAACAAGATAACAATTCGAACATATTTCGGCCAAACCCAACTGTTTCAATTTGTGGAAAAGGTTCCAAGCCGCAGAGGTCTACATGAACAGATATGCAAAGTGATCCCGCTTGGCTAGTGCCCTCGCTAAATTGTTTCGCAAATTATATCTCCAAAGTTGCCAAAACTTGTAAAATGCCTTAGCTACTTCACAGTTAGACACTGATTTTCAGTACATTAGACTCTTTTTCATAATGATAACAATTATCGATGTAGTTTCTCCACACTCCCGATGGTTAAATCTGACTCGATCCCCGAATGACGAGGGCGACGCCGTGTTTATTTATAAACAGTGAAAGTAGTCCCTACTTGACCTTTGATATTTGCATCTCTATCCGCATATGACCCCAACGGATATCGTTTTTATCCGTTGGCTTTATCCTGCCGAGAAACCTACCCATTATATGATAAATATATATATTCTATGAAAGCTGAAACTTGAACAAATACGATGTGTTTCTCACACAAATCACACAAAACAATACGTTTTGATATTGCTAGATTTCTTTATCAAAACAGGGCGAAGAACATACCGTAGTTCCTGAAGTTATGGTGGCTGAGTAGGTAGGGTTGACACACTTTCCTGAGGAGTCTTTATTACATGTGGAATATTCAAATGACGGCCTCTTATCCTATAATACACAAATATATTTTAAATAAACTGCCGGGCAAAAGAAAGAATACACCTATGTTTGCTGATGGCTAGAAATGAAAGAAGCAGGAAATGGTTATCTGATGCGGGTATCAAAGTTGTGTGCGGTGAACCTAAGTGTGTAGTGTTTCCGCGACTGCTTTCAGCCTTCCAACGTTTTGATGAATCCAATTTTCAAGTGTATTCTTTCTTTTGTCCGGCAGTGTACATGTGTTAAAGAGGCAGATCAGGATTTGATCGCTGGTCACACACTCACACAATCGGGATACGATGACATGCATCAACCAAGTCACCGAGCCTGACCATCCGATCCCGTTCGTCGCCTCTTACGACAAGGATAGTCGCCTTTTATGGCAAGCGTAAGTTGCTGAAGACCTATTCTACCCTGGATCTTCACGGGTCATCATTCGATGTAGGACTTTGACCAGTGTTGTTCGTAACAGGGTAATTGTGACTCATCTGCTAGCTCTACAAAGGTTGACACACCTACCTGGGTTTGTATGGAGATGGTCACTAAAGCTTGTGAAGATTTTCGTGGATATCCATCATCGGTAGCAGCAACAACAAACTGAAATGTGTACATGCATCAATAGCCGATATGGATCTCTTTTCGCGAACACCTGGTGTCATCACTGACCTTCAGTGACCTATTCCAAATTTCATCACTATTTATCGTTTACGCCCAATGGAATATGTTTCGACAGAAAATCAAGACTGATTATTATGTGGTGTTGACTTTTGAATTTATGTGAATCACATGATTTGTGCTTTAAATTAACGATATTACCCACATCTACATTTCACCATACATTTTCGTGGTAAATGCAAAAGAATACAAGAAAATATCTCAATCATCTCAAATTTCCAAACCAATTTTGAATATTATACAACTATTCTTTTGTTATAGTCTGTGCTGGATTTTGATTTGCAAAGGTGGATCTGATATACTACCCAAAAGAACGACCGATTTTTTTTAATTACTATAGTTAATATGTTTGTTTGTTTATTTATTGTTAATCTGTCATGGCATGATTAACTATGGCAATACAAACGAATCGGGTGTTCTTAACTTTCGTTTAGTAGTTTAGCATGACAAATGTATGTTGCAAGACGAGAGCAGTTATTATTTGGAAATTGTGTTGGGACAGGGAGCATCAAGTAGTCCCTTTAAACCGATTCTGCTTACCATCTGCCCATCTGTGAAGATGAAGGAAGAACGGCCTACCTAGATGATATCACACTCGTATAGCAATGTATGGCTTTTCTTTTTCCTAACTCAAGAATAAAAAGGGTCTGATGTAGAATAAAAAGGGTCTGACGTGGAATAAAATGGGTCTGATGTGGAATAAAAAGGGTCTGATGTAGAATAAAAAAGGTCTGACGTGGAATAAAATGGGTCTGGTGTGGAATAAAAAGGGTCTGATGTGGAATAAAAAGATGACATATCTTGTTCCGTTAACAACTTACACTGAATCTAGACTCTGTAGATGCTGTCAAGTCGTTGATGAGAGTGATATCGCCATTCCTCGGGTTCACAAAGAAATACTTCCGGGTCAGATTAGTCCCGCGGTCACTGTAGGTCACATTGTCCTGCAGTAAATGAACAGTTTTACAACCAATCATTAACTACGTTCATGCTGCAGGAAATTACAAAGTACATGAATGAGCTTTTCGCCACAAATTTGCTTTTTGCGCCCAATGGAAAATGTGTCGACAGATAATCGAGAATGATTACTCTCTGGCGTTGACGTTTTGTTTTAACTTACTGTTTACAAATGTACACAGAATGATGGACTTACCCCATCCTGGTCCAGGGCAGTGAGGGTGTAGACTTTTCCGCCAATGGGTAAAAGCTGGGATAATGTCACATTGTAGTCAGGTTGGGAGAAGATGGGGCTAGTTGGGTTCGTTGCCACCACTGTGATTATCACTTCCGTTGCTGCCTCGGAGCTAAGTTCCCCGGTATCATAGGCAACCACTATAAGCTGGGGATAAAGTTAATGTGTAATTTAATAAAGTATAATACATGGAACTTTTGTTTTTAAAGGGTCATGTGTGGGCCACATTATAGTATTGATATGTGGCATAATACCCCAGACAAATGTGATTATTTGCATAAGCATTTATAATATTTGGCTCTAGAGGCCGATCATATTAGAAAAGGTCCTAAAAATTAACCTTTTAAATGTAAACAAATCGTCAAAAAATGAAAGGAATTCGTATGGTATTATGGACGTCTAAGTTTCACGAGTCTAAGAAAAATATTAGATATATGTTTTAACTTCTTTGATAGGCATTTAGAAGTTGGAGTACTAAGTAAGGATAAGAATTTATGGATGAACAACTTCTTTATTACAATTAAGAGCGATGTTTCGGTGTAGGTTCTAACACCGTTATCAAGCAAGTGATTTACAGAGTGTGGTGGGCAAGTATTATACAAGTAGGAGGCAATGTTTATACAGTAGAGTAGATATTGTTATACTGGAGTAGAGAATCCTGTTGTGTACACACAAGGGCAGTGATGACAATCATCGGTGAAGTCAGTGCCTTAAACAAAGGATGAAGTCAGTAATGTAAACAACGGGATTATGGCTGATTGGGGTCTTTGATGAGTTGATGGTACGCCGGGGGTATGTAATAGCCTTGGTCACGGTTTGTTGAGGGCTAAAGTCTTTTGATGTTGATGGCTTCTTGTAGTTTCCTGATCTTGAAGTCTTTGAGGTTGGTGGCGAGGGTTGTGACTCCCTTTGTGATCAGCCTCCCCTACTTTGGAGTGAGTGAGTGAATATGGTTTTACGCCGCTTTTAGCAATATTCCAGCAATATCACGGCGGGGGACACCAGAAATGGGCTTCACACATTGTACCCATGTCGGGAATCGAACCCGGGTCTTCGGCGTGACGAGCGAACGCTTTAACCACTAGGCTACCCGACCGCCCCCCCTACTTTGGAATAGTTATCCACAAAATCCGTCGCTCTTAATTGTAATAAAGAACTTGTTCATCCATATATTCTTATCCTTACTTAGATATATGTTTTCTTGAAAAATATAACGAGTAAGCAAAGAGTTGGGTTAAATACTTCTTTGATTACTCTTACTGTGTATCACGTGAAATTTGGATATATGTAAGGTTTACAATAACTGAATATTCCTAATCGCCAACTGATTATGATCTGTAATGGTACTTGAAATATGAGAAGATCAGTTTGTGAAAAACACTGTTTGGTTATGATATAAATTTGGGTAAAAACTGTAAAAAGGTTAACCTTCATAGACATAAACGATGCAAAAACCTAACTGCCGGGCAAAAGAAAGTATACACACACGTTTGATGGTGACTAAAATATCAAGTGTATTTGACACGGGTATCAATTTGTGTTTTGGACCTCAGCTTGTTTCAGCTGAGGAACATTTCGATAACATTTGTAAATTTTTGTCAACTCTATTTTTTGTCTATTTTCTTTGGGCCGGCAGTTCAGTAAATATCTTACCTTATGGCGCGTGATTAATGTATCGTCCGAGAGTAGAGTTTTGTTGACAGAGAGCTCCCCAGTGACTTCATTGAGAATGAAATAATCTATAGATGGGAAGACTCCCGTTAACTTGTACAGTAAGATTCCCTGAAACACACAATAGACATGAAGTGAGAGAGTGAGTATGGTTTTACGCCGCTTATAGCAATATTCCAGCAATATCACGGCGGGGGACACCAATGGGCTTCACACATTGTACCCATGTCGGGTATCGAACCCGGGTCTTCGGCATGACGAGCGAACGCTTTAACCACCAGGCTACCCGACCGCCCCCTGCATCTTAGAGGAGAGGTGTCTGGAGAGACTATGTAATACTTGTTAAACAATGGGCACTATATTTTCCAGATCATGGGGGAACAGCCCCCTGCACACGCAGTGCACGTTTTGTCCGTTCAGGGCAAAGTATGCTAAACCCAGGGACAAAAGAAAACTATATCCATGTTGGGAATCGAACCCGGGTCTTCGCGGTGACGAGCGAACGCTTTAACTACTAGGCTACCCGACCGCCCGGACATGAAGTGAATACAATTAATGGCTTAACTATAGGTTGAAAATGTATACTATACGTAATATTCTACAGTAACTCCTTCCTCATATGACAGAATCTGACTGTGATTGTTAACCTTCTAGCGCCTGACAAAGTAGTTTTGGATTATTATGGAGAGCTGAGAAAGACATTCGAGTGCACACTGATTCAATTGGCAGGGTAAGAATGTTAGTGCTCTGATGACACATCTTGTGCATGGAGGCTATCGCAATATATGTACATCATGTATTATCATGATGTTAACAAAAGGAAATAGCGCCGGTTACTTCCCTTACCTTCAGGTCAGCCTTTCTAGCGGCGATCGTAGTAATTGTCTGCCCTGGGGCTACTGCAGCCGGCACAGTGACCATGTAGGATCCCTGGGAGAAGACCGGTAGCTGCAGAGGCTGGACGGTGATGTACACTGTAGTGGTGGACTGACCACCGTACGGGTCGGTAGCGGCAACCCTCAGCTGGAACAAGTTGGTGACGTCAGCAGCGGTATATGTATGGCTATCGCTCTGCGTTTACAGGAGCAGTCTCCCGTTGGTTATAATAAAAGTCAAAACGTTGCATATACCTATATTATGCCACCTATAAAATAATTTTTAAAGCTGTTTCATAAAATTTAACGCTATAGAAAAATGACTATAATGGCTATTTAAATTGGGTTAATAAGCATATGGAATAATATTTTTTAGAGTAAACCTTAAGGATCTTAAATTTTTCTTCCCCTCATAATCTAATAAGTTAGTGAGTTTGGTTTAACGCGGCTTTGTAAAGTGTTTCAGTAATATCACGACTGCATCACGATGTGGGTGTCGGGTGGAGTCCCGAGTCACGCATCTTCCCCAGGCAAGGGCGTCAACTGAGTATAAAAGTCCAGTTTCCACCCTTGCCGAACCAGCGCCACCAGTCTCTATTACGAGTTATCTCCCTTCTATGTTTCTCCTACTGACCAATCAGATTCCATCTCTCATATCACTTGCATTTACTTCAAACAAAATGGCGGCGCCCAGTCAAGACGATCTGCTCAAGAATCAAGATTTACATTGTAATAAAACGGGTCTTACCACGCGAAGTGCATTAAATCACGTGAGCACCTTGATTAAAAGCATGAAAGAATTTGCAAAATATATGTCGACGCCCTGTTGGCGGTGCACATGCTTTGCAAATCCTGCAGTCGGCCGAAATCTGCACTTGAAATCCATTTTGTTTAGGAACCGGAGGTCTTGTTCCGAATCGTTAAGCGATTTTGATTGGACTATGCATAGACCCGTCAGTCCAGCTAAAATGTAACTCAATAATTGCAGCCTAGTTTTGCAAGGGTGGAAACTGGACTTTTATAGTCAGTTAACTCCCTTGTCTCGGGAAGATGACAGTCACGCAGACCGCATATATACCACCTTCCATGGGTATTGTGCTGGAAAAAAACGGAATCGGAGCGAAAATAGGATTCGAACCCACGTCAAGCGGATCCCAACAGGTATTAACGGGGGAAAACTCTGCCTAACATGACTTAGATTACTGGGCGATCAGTGCACCCAGTACACACTGGGAAATCATGCTGCTACTACTACATATACAGTCCATACTACTACCAATACTACCGCAACTACTAAACTTCAATAAAGTATATTGTTGTTCTCACATTATAGGAGACATCGTTCTGATTCGTATCCTCAGCCAGCTTGGAGTTACGCGTGATGATCTGACCAGTCACAGGGTCCAAGTAGAAATAACTCAAAGCTCCGATCGATGACGTCAGAACAGAGTAACGAATAACATCCTGTAGAAAAAAATTATTTCAATCAGTGAAACAGGACAATTTTATCATCACAGGATAATATAACAATCAGACTTCATATCTGCAAAACACCATTGCTGTACAGCCACGTCTCACAGTAATGTTACCTTTTCCCAACACAGGGGATATTACAGATACCTGTCTTTACAGGAAAACATAGCCTGCCTCAGTGTCACATGGTGGAGGGGCCGGGTTTGAATCCGGTTGCTGCGATGTTTGACCTTGTGATCTAATATGTACACTTGGGATACTCTTTGATGAAGTAGCGACCATGGTGATGTGACTGATAACTTTGACAGACTGATGACTGACCGTTAATGTAGAGGGGTCTCAGCCATGGTGCGTATAGAAGTATTACTCTTTTGTTAATTAACCGCCCCTCATGGTTTATTCTCCCTGCAGTGTTTTATTCTACGATAAACAACGACGAGTTTATTATTATTATTATTATTATTTTTATTATATTGTTGTTGTTGTTGTTTGAGATATCAACATTATGTACCGCCTCTTTTAGGATGATGGTAAAATGTACAAGCCTTAAAATATTTACCAGTATTTTAATAATGATTACTCCCTCAATAGAATCCGACCATGGCAATGTCGTTAATGCACAGGTGGGTAGTTTCTCACATATTCTCACAATCCTCACGTCGATTACCTGTACCTCTTCTCCCAATACCGATTGTCACATCGCTCCTGCTTTTGGTATGATCTTTCGGCCATCGCGTTCATCTGAACTGCCGAGTGTCACAAGCTAAGACATCACCAAGTTGCGAGCGAATGTTCGAATCTCCAGAAATGACGTCATGATAGAGCAATGTTTTATCGTGAAATCAACCACGCTCTGTTCTTTATTGTTCTTTGAGATTTATCACGTAGCTATCTTGTATACTGGGATAATATATAATGCTGCATAATGGGAAAGAAGCAATTGACCCTGTACGGTGTGGTATGAGTGGCCTTTCTGTAATCTATCGCTATACATTAATCTACCGAAATAATATTTGAATTCATACTGGGTCATTAAATGCCTATGCCAAATGTAATAAATTTGATAAAAATGAAAAAAATGACAGAATTTTGTTTTCTTGAAGATTCACTGATATAACGGGAGTATAACGGGATCGGACCCGGTTAGAATAGGTCATCAGCAACCCTGCTTGTCGTAGAAGGCGACTAATGGATCGGGTGGTCAGGCTCACTGACTTGTTTGATGCATGAGTTCGGCGTTAAACAACAAACAAACACAAATCATGTTGGCATGTAAATAAGGGAGTCAGGTGAGGTGAGGTGAAATTGGGTTTAACGTCGCGTCCAAGATTATTGCACTTATATAGCGACGTAACGGAGTCAGGACCAGGCAACTAAGCGACTGAAAACCGTGCCGTCAGTGGGTGTTGATCTTTCGATCAGAGTGAGCGTGGGGGCTTGTACAGTATTGCTGTGAGAGGTATTTTGTAGTAGTTGAGATAATTTATGGAAAGGTCTAGGGGAGATAATCCCGTTGTCCTTTACCAATGATGAGGATGTACCAATGAGAGTTACTCCCCTTGGGCAGACTAAAAGCAAACTCCTTCCCAGCGCGTGACACCTTCGTTACACTCTCGGTAATAGTATAGAGAGCTCCGCGAACAGATTATCGCTGTGAGGAGCTTGGACTAAAAGAAGCCCGTCTGAATTCCTCTCATGGGATTGGTAATAATTAGCGCCCTAATACGTAGTATGGGGGAGCCAGACTGAGCAGTGCCTTGTAAACCAGAATGAGGGTTTGGAATGTCACACTTTGTTGAAAAGGCAGCTGGTGTAGTTTAGTCCAGTGGTCGGAGTGGTGTTCTTTCTCTAAAGTCGGACTTACCCCATCTGAATCAGTGGCGCTGATACCAATGATCACCTCCCCTGGGCTGGCTGACCTGGACACTCTGGCAACGTACGTTGGTACGGAGAACACTGGTGCATTATTGTTTGTCGTCGCGTTACAATCGGATGGCGTCGTGCTTGTCCGGCTGACACTCACCGTCAACTCACCATCGACAGTGTGTGTCGGCCATGCTGTATCATAGCAGCGAACTCGGACCTGAGGATAGGAGATCACACTCAATCAATCTGCCAGAGAACTGGGTTGTTCAATACAATGACCCAATAACAGCATAGTTGGGACTGAATACCATGATCTAATTTTTTAATTTGAGTGTCATTGCTCATCCCTGAATCCTGAATACCACACGTACATTAGTCAAATCTCTAAATTATTGAAAAAAGGTGCGATTTGAAGTTAAATTAGTGAACAAATATGATGTAGAAAGAACATGAATGAATCTGCATACCAAATACGATAACAGTGAGTGAGAGTTTTACGCCGCTTTTAGCAATATTCCAGCAATATCACGGCGGGGGACACAAGAAATGGGCTTCACACATTGTACCCATGTCGGGAATCGAACCTGGGTCTTCGGCGGGACGAGCGAACGCTTTAACCACTAGGCTACCCGACCGCCCCAAATACGATTATATTTTTGGGCCACGTGACACCCTGCTGAGTCCTAAATACCCTTCAAATAGACCCCTGTGAGGAGGTTGGCAGCCTCCTCCTTGACATCACGGGCAAATGAGTGAGTTAGGTTTAACGCCGCTTTTAACATTATTTCAGTTTTATCGCGGCCCGACAGCTTAATGTGGGAAAAGCCCGAAGTGATGCAGGTCTCAGACGTTTACCATTTCGGTGAAACCCACGAGCACGGGTATGGTGCTGACAAACCTAGAAACATATTCGGGGTGAACCAGGATTCGAACCCACAACAAAGGCGTGTCTAGGGGGCGCAACTCTGAACAGCGACTCGGGGCGCAACTCTGAACAGCAACTCGGGGCGCGTCAGACGACTGGGCCACCTGTGTCCGAAGAGGATCTTAGAAGAGCACATGGTCAGATTTGGTTTGTTTTGACCAGCCGGATCTAAGCCGGATCCCTATGGAGGCACATTGTCAGGGTTGGCGGTACTTACAACATAGGATATGGAACTGCGGCTGTCGACGGTCAACGATGTCCTCAGTGTTATTCGATTGAGGTTGTCGATTTGAAACAGGGCCGTGGCCAATCCGTCGCCGATGATGTCACATTTTCGATCACCCTGCCAGTCGGAATATATTTGTTATATGAACAATAAACTAGATATCAAGACAATATACGAGGGCCGGTAAAAAAGTCCTAAGTCTGACTAACTTTCAACTATGGGCCAAACAAAGTGAACTAGTCAATGTAGTACATTGTTTGAGTAGTTTATTGCAAGTTTATTATGTCTGTTGAGGAAGTTTGTATATTAGTGACAGCCAGGTGAACGTGATAGGGGTCAAATGGACACAGAAATGAAAAAGAACGAATACCGAGCAGTCACCAAGTTTTTTACTTTGGAGAAAGTACTCCCCAAGAAATTCATGACCGCATGTCACAAGTGTATTGGGATAAGTGCCCTAGCTATTCCACTGTTAACTGTTGGGCAGCTAGGTTTAATCCTAGGAAAACAAGCCTTGATGATGACTCTAGGTCTGACCGTCCCTCAACTTCCATCTTTAAAGAATTTCGCAACTTGAAATCTATACAGGGACAAGAACTTGCTCTCTAAACAATCGGTCATTTTATGACAGAGTTCGAAGTGTGCCTCTGTTCACCCAGCAGTGAATGGGTACCCGGTAGGATGAGATGGTTGTTAACCTTCTAGCGCCTACCAGGCAGCATGGGTTGTATACTCCCCAGGGAGCTGAGAATGATTATTAAGTGCACACTGATCCATTGACCGGGATACTAATAGCGCTTTGAGCATGCCCCTGTATGGTGATATGCGCAATATAAAAGACCTTTTATTATCATCATCATCATCATCATCATCATCATTACTTTCGCTAATATAGAATAAAGACTATGGCAAAGTAGATTGTAGTTTGACCATCGCCCCAAGAGAGTACAGTACGACAGGCCCAAACATGAGACAAGCAGCCCCATACACAATCAGGTAGATTAAAGCCGTGTTGGCGAAAACGCTCAGTCGCCATGTAGGCATATGCATGTGACTTCTCCCAGGTGTAAAGTGTTACCTGCACATCAGGGTCGGAGACGGACACTGTGTATACTGGACTCCCCACGGCATCAGTGTCCCGTTTATTGACGGACGTGGGCAGGTTGACAATGCTTGGCATAAAACCATCACGGGCAACATTGACAATTAACACCATGGTGGCCACCCTGGGCGGACGTCCGTCATCAGTGGCCATTATGTTCATCTAAAACAATAGTTGTAAAATTATGATGATTCATGAATGAATGGTCAAACGTTTCCTAGCGATATCGAATTATGAGTGGGATTTAAACACCGCATTAAACAGTATTTCTGCCTGTCAGAAAGCCCGATCCAAATAAGGTCGTATTTACCACTTTGGACAAACCCACGAGCAGGGCTTTGGTGCTGACATAAATGGGGATTCAAACCCATGATCGTAGGTTCCTGGCACGCCAAAGGACGAAACTGAATAGCAAATTGTGGCGCCTTAGGCAATCGGGCCACCTTTCGCTTGCCCATAGGGATTCGGTTAATGATGGTATATTTTGTACAATTCACTCTTGACAAAAGATGTATGGGTGTGGCGCTCACAAATATAGTTTATAATATTACAGGTATCTTAATTGTGATCACCCGCGAAGGTCCAGGATAGAACAACCCATGCTTGTCGTACGATGCGCTTTGAGTGAAAGGTTCACTTGTTTGATGATTCGGTGACTTGTTTGATGCATGTCATCGCAACCCAATTGCGTTGATGGATGTTCATGATGTCAATCACTTGATTGTCTGGTTTACACACCGCCGTCATATGGCTTGAACAGTGCGGCGTGCGACGTTAGACAACAAAAAAACAATTGTTCCAATATGTTTACCATCCTGCTAAATATGTGCTCAGGTCTTAGAGGCCGAGGCAGAGGTTCAGCTAAAGAGCCCTACCCTGAACCTGTTCGTGGTGGCGTTGTCCGCTGTCAATGATTGATTCAGCGTCACCACACAGGTCCGGGGATCTATGGTGAAGAAGTCGGCGTAAACTGCTGTCAGATCGCTGAATGTACACGTGACGACATCCTGGAATCACAGAAACCTCGTTATAACACTACACCCTCGGCATACAGTGACATTACAAATACCATTTACCTGTGACGATCCGGGTTATGATTGGTCTTCAGCAACCTATCCTTGTCGTAAGAGACGACTAACGGGATGATGTCTATCACTTGATTGACTGGTCCATACTCGATCCATGCTCCATCTACAGACCACCCTCAAACATAATCGGGTCTGGACTATACAATACAGTGATTGACGTCATGGGCATCGATCTACGCAATGATCATCCGATCCCGTTAGTCGCCTGTCACAACAAGCATGCGTTGTTGAAGACCATTTCTATAACCCAGATCTTCACGATAATGCCAAGAAATTAAGATACAATCTAGAACCACACATACATATATCCCCAAAGGGACGACTTTCACATTACTTGCTCTCAGCATATTGTTGTCGAGAAATCTATCGTCTACAAAATATTCCAGACTACATATGGACATACCCGTGAAGATCCGGGGTAAAATAGGTCTTCAGCAACCTTTGCTTGCCGTAAACGGCGACTATGCTTGTCGTAAGAGGCTACTAACGGGAACGGGTGGTCTTCACCAACCCATGCTTGCCGTAAAAGGTGACTATGCTTATCATAAAAGGCGACTAACGGGATCGGTTGGTCAGGCTCGCTGACTTGGTTGATGCATGTCATCGATCTCAATTACGTGGATCGATGCTCATGATATCAATCACTGGATTGTCTGTTCCAGACTCGCTTATTGAAAGTCCACCGTAATATAGCTGGAATATTGCTGAATGCGGCGTTAAACAACAAACAGACAAATAAACAAACATATGGGACGAGCAACTGTTCTCGCAACAGTGCAGGGAGACGATCTTGAGGACATGTATTGTCTTGCCAGCGTTAATAATAATAGGACACGTGGTAAAGCATGTAGGTTCGGTACTTACGTTGTCCCTATCGGCGACGGTGACGGGGAAACACCACGTTTCAATGTCGACGTCGAAGTCAACTTTGGTCTGCACTACAGTCGACGCGAATTCCGGACCGTAGACATTGCGCGTGACCACCACGGTGCCGTCGACTGTAGCCCGACGTGACGGGTTGCTGGAGTCGTAGGCCACCAGTTTCAGCTGGGAAAATACAAAAAAAGGTTTCTGCAATTGGCACACCATACATTTTTTTCAGTTGTCCACTTGATATAATTTTCACCGCTATTTTTGTATTTTTGCCCTTTACGTCAAATGGAATTCGACGGATGATAGAGACTGGTTATTCTCTGGCGCTAACGTTTAATATCAAATCTTATTTATATAACCATTTTTTTTCAATAATTGCGAAAGCTTCCTGTCAAAATTGTTGGCAAATAGTTGGCAGAGTACCACGAACATCTGAGAAAATCTGCAAAACTGCTCATTCTGAAGTTTGTCCCAGAACTTTCGAGCCATATACAAACCACTGTACAACCATATACGCATTAAATCATTGTACAACCTTATATGTCTTAAATCATTGTACAATCATATACACATTAAATCATTATAATTTATAAGTCATATACGCATTAAATCATTGTATAGTCATATACGCATTAAATCATTGTACAGTCATATACGCGTTAAATCATTGTACAACCATTTACGCATTAAATCATTGTACAATCATATACGCATTAAATCATTGTACAGTCATATACGCATTATATCATTGTACAATCATATACGCATTAAATCATTGTACAGTCATATAAGCATTAAATCATTGTACAGCCATATTCGTATTTAATCATTGTACAACCATGTACGCATTAAATCGTTGTACAGCCATGTACGCATTAAATCGTTGTACACACAAATACGGCGTTTGATGGACTCACATTGTACTGGGGTGTTGCTGCTGCATCAGTCTGCAAGTCGGTCCTGATGCTGACGTCTCCGGTGGTTATGTTGACGAAGAAGAAGTTGGGAGCTGGGTAGACACCGATCAGCTCGTACATCATCGTACCCTGACATAGACACAGGAACAATTAGATGTCGCCCTTATTTTTTAAGATGATACAATGTTATGCGTGGGATACAAAGATGATACAATGCGACAAATATGATACAAAGGTGGTATTTATTAAGATAAATGGTACAATATAGTAAGAATGTGTACACGTGGTACCATGGCATGATGAATGTAAAGACATATTGTACTGATACAATGTTATGAGTAGATACAAAGGTGATACAATGCCACTCTGATTTATTAAAAAGATTGAACAGTGTAATAAGTACGATACAAAAGTGAGACAATGTTACTTTTACTCATTAGGGTAAATGGTACACTGAATATCACTGGATTGTCTGATCCGGACTCGATTATTTACAGACCGTAGACATATAGCGGAATATTGCTGATATATATATAGTTTTTGATTTGAGAAAGTTACATGGGGATGAGTAAAAGTTTTTAAAGAAACCGTATATTTTTCTCACACAAGTGTAATGATATGTGTACATACGAAATACATAAATCATTATGAAAAAATATTTTAAAACATTCCTAACTGTAAATTGTTACACTCAACAGGTTGGAGTTAGTTGGGGCTCAATGGGAGGCAAGCTCAATGGGAGGCAAGCTCAATGGGAGGCAAGTTCTGTCACGGGGAGTGGCGGGAAACGTTGACCCAGTTTCCGTGTAGCGAGCTTTCGGCGCTTTTGTACAGCGTGAATAATTGACGTGTCTTAACATACAGTACGCTATTTAGTAAGCATTAGGGAGGTAGAGATGTATGGTTCACGATCATATAAAAACTACGCACTCACAACGTTGTGGATATAGAGGTTATCGCGCGAGTGTGTTTGGGGATGGTAAATATCCTGCATAAGGAATAAACATTGTATTTAGCGAGCCTTGGCGAGCTAAATACATAGTGTTTATTCCTAATACAGGATATTTACCATCCCCAAACACACAAGCGTGATAACCTCTTTATCATATAATGTCATTCTTTAATTCTGTGCTTCAAAATTGCTTTCCCTCTCTCACAAACATTACCGAAACATTGCGAGTTTTCCTGGAATGCGCGCATTAATATTATTACCTCACAGGGTAAGTGATGGGTCAGTCGGACAGTGACAGTAGCCAATATAGTTCCAACTGAAATCTGTTTCTTATACAGTGGCGAAGCAACTTATACGCAAAACAACAATTGTTTTTTAATTGCCTTTCGCGGCAAACCATCGGTCTGTCCGCTAGAGTAACTGCCCTTTGTCAAAGGGAAGCTACTCTAACCCTAGTCTATGAAACGTCACGGCCACGGTCAGACCTTGTTGACAGTCGGTCTGTCCTGTCATAACGTAAGAAGTGTAGTCAGATGTACACACAGGGACAAAACGAAACAAGGTAATAATTCAAACATATTTCGGCCAAATCCAACTATTTTAATTTGTGAAGAAGGTTTCAAGCCGCAGAGGTCTACAAGCACAGATATGCATATGGCTACTGATCCCGCTTGGCTAGGCCTCGTGCCCTCGCAAAATTGTTTCGAAATTTATATCTCCAAACTTGCCAAAACTTATAAAATGCCTTAGTTACGTCACAGTTAGACACTGATTTTCAGTATTTTAGACTGTTCTTTGGATAATGATAGCAATTATCCTTGTAGTTTATCCAGATTCCCGATGGTTAATTCTGACTCGATCGCCGAATGACGAGGGCGACGCCATGTTTGTTAATAAACAGTAAAAGTAGTCCCTACTTGACCTTTGCTATTTGCATCTCTTTCCGCATATGACCCCAACGGATATCGTTTTTAACCGTTGGCTTTATCCTGCCGAGAAACCTACCCATTATATGATAAATGACAATATCTGCATGCCTCCACTGATATGGTTCATTATGAAAAATATAATGTTACTATTACTTTGAAAAGATCAATTATGAAAAAAATATAACTTTTCCACTGTTCTCGTTCCTGATTCTGAATTCATTTTTTTTGTTCCTTCTGTGTTACATATGTGCTCTTTTTGACAGTATATAGATACTTGCGTGTGTCATCTACAAAATGTCTGGTGCCGTAGCGGATACTCTGGATTAAAGGTGTCTTGTAGAAACGTGATACAACGTCAAACTTATTTAATTTAACAGTATTCCAGTTATCTCGCGGCGTGTCAGCTTAATATGAGTTGAAAGTCCGAAGTGATGCAGGTCTCAGTCGTTAACCTCTTTGGTGAAACCCACGGGCACGGGTATGGTGCTGACAAACCTAGAAACATAATCGGGGCGAACCGGGATTCGAACCCACAATTATAGGTTTCTGGCGTGCCCAAGGGACGCGACTCTGCACAGCTTATTGTAAATTAATACAAGAAGGTCTTATGCGGTGGGACACACCATGCGACAACGTTAACAGAACCCAACACTTTCCACAACATTCTGATAATTATAAACTTACCGCTAGGTTAGGTTTACTTGCTTTGATTGTAAACACAACAGACGTCACAGGCGCCTGCTCTGTTAAAGTGGTTACGTAGGTCCTCGCGTCAAAGACTGGGTACTGTCCTTGATTCACCGAAACCTCCATCACCACGCTGGCAGTCTTCGCAAGGTAGTAGCTGTTATCTGTTGCTTGGATACGGCACTAGAACGCAATAAACACAATAGACAACATGAGAGTAAAATAGTGGGTGAGTTGGGTTTAACGCCGCTTTTAACAGTATTCCAGTTATATCGCGGCGTGTCAACTGAATGTGGGAGGAAAGCCCGAAGTGATGCAGGTCTCAGACGTTAACCACTTCAGTGAAACCCATGAGCAGGGGTATGGGCTGACAAACCTAGAAACATAATCGGGGCGAACCAGGATTCGAACCCACAATCATAGGTTTCTGGCATGCCAAAGGGACGCAACTCTGTTGCTCGCCTTTGGCGAGTGGGCCACCCGTGCCCCCGAGAGCAAAATAGACACCATTTGCCACGGACGTTATCCGAAAGGGGGATACACCAAGGTGAGCTAAAATTAACAAATGGTATTTACGTCATTTTCTCAAAACGGCTTCTTCAAGTTTTAAAGGCAGATTGATAACTATGTCCAATGTTCAATGACCCTATTACGACACATTTAACAACGGCCATTAGCTCTTCCATGAACATGTACGATCAATGATCTGAACCATCATTGCTAGCCAATTGGGGCAAGACAATGTTTTGCCGATTTGATTATGTTTATTTATCATCCAAAACTAGCTCCCACAGGAGATATCGCTTGGGTGAGATCAACCGATATCTACATTGTAGATATTGCTGCAATGAAATTGCATCATAATGCTTAGCAGACCATTGTGCCGTCACTGGTTACCATGACGTCACAATCAAATGACATCACTAATGGCTAAACTACTGAAGCTGTTAGCAGTACTTTTTACACTGAACAAGTTAGAAGAGTGATGATGTTGGATGATAAATAAAATCTCACCCTCGTACGCGTGTCTTTCGATATCAAATATATAAACACTGGATGTTTTCTCCACTTTTATCAACCGGTGTTGATATATTTAATATCAAAAGACACGAGGGTGAGATTCTGTGTATAAATGTATAATTTAATGTTGAGGTAAACTGAGGCTATGTACACTGAGATTGGTGAAGCTTGTTGAAGGTAGACGACGCAGTCGGATGACGCCCGAGGATGCGTCTATAGCCAGAAGTGTGCTGCACTGGTCAGTGCTGACAATGGAGTACGTCACGGTGTCCTGCAAACAGAGACAAGTATGCATTAACGCCGTCACAGTTGTGAAAGACAGTATTGATACAGGTAGGGTGATCGTAGTGCATTGTAGTCTGTAGTGTTGTCTCTGTTCGCTCAGTTAAAGCTTTATAACAGCGATGATGTACACTGTAATATCAGAATCAGAATCAGTTTATTCTCAGAAACCACAAAAGGTGGTACAAGAGCATATTACAATAAATAATTATGCATATGTACAAAAAGCAGACAAGATGGCAATTAATAACAACATGTGATTACCTAGCATTTTTAATACTAATGGACATTTTTACAATGAATCTCGATAATTTTTTTAGATCCTGTGTGTTTGTTGTTGATAAGAGTTTTACAAATTTTATAATATTTGGCCATTCAGTATAATATGGTGAGAGAAATGTTCGCCTCTCTCTTTTAAAATAATTACATCTGAATAAGAAGTGAAATTCATCAGCAATAGATGGGGAATTACATAATTTACAAGTTCTATTTTCCTTTGGAATATTTTTCCATCGACCAGTCTCATTAGGTAAATTATGATTACAGGTTCGAAATCGTAGTATTGGAATTGCTATTCGTTTTGGCAATAGAAGATATTTATGGAGAACCGGAGTGTCCTTTAAATGTTTATAGTATAAGCCTTTAGAACTAGAATTAACGTCACTTCTCCATTTCTGAAAAAAGTGATCTTTAAGTATTTGCTCTATGTGATATGTGATGCTGCCATGTGACCACGATCACAGGTTATATTCCGTCCTGTTTAATTACAACCCTTGGTTTGTTAGCATCATAATCGTGCTAATGGGTTCCACCAAAGTGGTAAATATCTCCAAAGCGGTAAATATCTCCAAAGTGGTAAATATCTCCAAAGTGGTAAATATCTCCAAAGTGGTAAATATCTCCAACCTGCGTATCCGTGAAGATCCGGGTTAGAATCGGTCTTCAACAACCCATACTTGTCCCCCGTGAAGATCGGGGTTAGAATTGGTCTTCAGCAACACATGTTTGTCCCAACAGTCGACTAACGGGACCTGGCTCGCCGACTAGATTGATGCATGTCAGAGTATCGCATTTCCGTATATCGATTCTCATGATGTCAATCATTGGATTGTCTGGTTTAGACTGGATTATTTACAGACCATCTTCAAAATGATGGAATATTGCTGATTGCAGCGTTAAATAACAAAACAACACAAACAAACAACCTGCGTCATTATAGAGTTGATTCCACACTAATAGGACACACTGTTCAAAGCTCATTGACTCTATGTCATTATGATTTTTTTATCATGATCTACGATCGATTTATTCCATATGGGTGAGTGAGTGAGTTTGGTTTTACGCCGTTTTTAGCATTATTCCAGCTGGGCGGAATCACGGCGGGGGACACCAGAAATGGCCTTCACACATTGTAACCATGTCGGGATTCGAACCCGGATCTTCGGCGTGACGATGGAACGCTTTAACCACTAGGCTACCCGACCGCCCCATATGGGGTAGGTTTGTGGATAAGCGTTTGCTTGTCACGCCCGGGTTCGATTCCCCAAATATAGGTACAATTTATGAAGCCCATTTCGTGTGTCCCTCGTCGTGATTTTGCTTAAATATTGATAAAGGCGGCATAAAACCCTACTCAAGCACTCACATTGTAGCGATCGGGTTTCGCCTTGGTTTTGTGCCTTCGATCTTAATGCAGGGATCATAGCACAACATGTGGTAAGTATTCATGGTTTAACCAAAATATTCGCAAATGTGTGCTTCTCCTTGGTACTTTAATATTGGTCGGTCGTTTAGACATGTGTCCACGGCATATCCGAGTTCACATAGATGGTGCAACACATCAAATATTATTATGCTTTAACACGCGCAGCAGCTGTAACAAGTGTTAGGTGATGAGTGCTCCCTACCCCATCAGCATCTGTGGCAGATATTGATGACGTCACCACAGCGCCAAGCTCCATACCGTCTTCTATGCTAGCTTTGTAGCTTGCGCTGACGAAGAGTGGGGAGTTGACGTTCCTCACGACGCTGATGGTCACGTTGGCGGTGCTGTAGTAGTTGGGGTAGCCGTCGTCGTATGCAAGGACTCTCAGCTGTAACAGAAGTCTTTCTGAAGTGTTTGCGGGGAACACATGCTCATGATATAGTTGGAATCGTACAATGAACTTTTCTTTTAGAAGAGAATTATTATATTTATTGAAATGTTTGTGTCGCTCTTTATTCAAATGACATAACTATTATGTAGTTTCTGTCATTTTACGTACAAGAACATAGTGAAGGTTGAAAATACAATGGAATTCGCAAAAGCACGATTTAAAACAATACAAACTTGTACATCCTATTTTGCATAAGAACAGCTTGTTTTTTGTTTTTTTAATTAATGCCAGAATTGATTATTTTTAAAGCAGTCCCCAATAGCATTTATAAGTGTAAGTGGGACGAGCGCAACTTGACGGGACTGTTTAGGAGCTTTAAAACTCTTAACGGCCCCTACTAGTTAGAGTTACCCGCCCTTGCTGTATACTGGATCCGCACATTTATAACGCGTATAGTGGAAAATGTGAAACATGTCTGTTTGTATGGTCTTATAGATAATAGCAAGACGCCATTAAGAGCACAGTGCACGATAGACTCTTTTTCAAATATGCAAATATATAATATTTTTTTAATTTGTCAATCTACATAAAAAGGTACACACCGTATACTGGCGATCTGTTCCTTGCTTCAGGTCACGGGTGACGGTCACTGACCCCGTGACCTTGTCCACATCAAAGAACACCGGCGCCAGTCCATACCCTTCCACATCGTACGTGACTCGTCCCTGTGTAAATATAATGTACATAAAATCACCCTCCATATGCGGCAATAATAACACACTGAATCCATGTGTAGCCTGTGTTCTTTTCGACGAATATGCTAGGCGGTACCTTGAATTTGAGTTACCAGTTCTTGCAGTGTACAGTATCCGCACAATTTAATGCGTATGGTGGAGGTGAGGTGAAATGGGGTTTAACGTCGCGTCCAAGATTATTGCACTTATATAGCGACGTGCATGCACGCGTGTGTGTGTGTGTTTGTTGCTGCTAGTACTAGTCCGGACTGATGCCGATTTATAGTGCTAGCTCACTGAGATACCAAGCCTCAGTTTGACATGAATACCCCACTCAGACACAGTATACTGACTCCGAGCCAACCAGTCCTTGTTTTACCTTAATGCCGAGCACCAGACAGGGTAACAACAAGTACCATCTTTTAACGTCTTTTGGTATGACGCGGCCCGGGATCGAACCCCGGACCTTCCGCTCTCCGGGCGGACGCTCTACCACAAGACCACGTTGGTTTTACGTATGGTGGAAAATGGCGCGAGTGAAGCGCGACTATTAGTTGTGGAGGGTGGAGAGTTACCTGTTAATTAAACCGATAGTCTTACAACTCATTTGAGTATGAACATTTACAAACAAGGAAGGATTATTACCCGTATTTGTCCAGCACCTTAACAATGGAGTGCAACCTTTCCCTATGCTGGGATCCCATGGGAACTCCCAGTACGCCACGAGTGTCGTAAGAGTAGACTAATGAGCCGAGGTTGCTGGGCCCCATTTTCACTTGTACCATATGTTCCCCTGTGAACCATTGCCTTGCCTTTGCATGTGTTTGTGACGTGTGCCACCGGTGGGGCAGGATACGTTCCCCTTTTCAAGAACACCTGGTACCACCACTATTTGGTAGCGAGTGAGTGGGTTTGGTTTTACGCCGCTTTTAGCAATATTCCAGCAATATCACAGCGGGGGAAACCAGAAATGGGCTTCTCACATTTTACCCATGTCGGGAAACGAACCCGGGTCTTCGGCGTGACGAGCGAACGCTTTAACCCCTAGGCCACCCGACCGCCCCTATTTGGTAGTGCTTCATTACACAGGCTTATAATAAAGTCGAAATCGTACCAAGGATTTCTTATAGTTCTGGAAATGTTTTTATTTCAATATTGGACCTGGTTGTTTGTATGTCATCGTTCTCTGACCGCAAGGAGGGTTGCTCATACAATCAGTCACTAAACCTCGACTTTCTACAGAAGGCCGTATTACAGCTGGACTATTGACTGCGGCATAAAATAACATTCACTCATTACTCACTGGGACAAAATAGATTCATTGGATACTTGTGAAGATGTATGAATGAACGAGGTGGACACGTACCTGCAGAGGGGTTACAGCAGTTACGTTCGTCACTGGCGTCCCTGCAAGCGCGTCGTCTCTGATAGTGACGTCATATTGACTCGCTGAGAAGATGGGTTTGCCTGACATCACAGAGACCGCCAGTCCCACCTCTGTTGTCTTGGAGGGCCGACCGCTGTCTGTGATGGTCACAGTGTACTGGAAAACACACAGACGCACATAGCCGATCAAGAAACATTATATGTGGCCCAGCAGGAGAAAAGGGCTAGGGTGCTAGGATACAATTGTGTTGTGACGTCATAACGTCGTAACGTCATAACGTCACCTTCTTCAGCGAAGGTCGCCATGTGTGCGGACTGAACAAAAATATCTTAAATTTCTTTCGTTAGTCTGTAATGTAATAAAAACATTATTTCAAAATCTTAGGGTATACATGTCTACTTTCAAATCATCAGACATTATGTCTAAAAACTGCAATTATTACATATACGTCAGAAAATGAGTCTAAACGTTTGATGTCATGTATCTCTGTTATAAATATGAATTGAAGCTTGTGAATTGATTTTTTGTTCCGAAGATATTGTGGATTTAAGTTATAATGAAATGTCAAAATGTGTTTGTCACCCATAAGGTCCCTCATCTTATGGTTGGTGACATATATACATGAGTTGGTTTTACGTCACTTTAGCAATAGTCAACCCTAAACACCGGGGATACAAATATTGATTTCACACAGTGCACCCATGTTGTGAATAGAACCCAGATATTGGAACAAAACGAACGATTTAACTGTGCTACCCCGTTTCTCTTCTTTTACAAAATACTGGTATAACAACTGTTCATAAGAAGAATGTATTGTGAAAATACTATATCGATGTTTATTCTGTGGAGGGGTTCATCTCCTGAATCACTTTAATCACATAAATTGTACATGTGTGCATCCTTCTGTGGAGAATAGGGTAACACACGAGTCTACAAAGATACAAAAACAACCGCAATTAAATCTAGCCCGGAGAACTAGTCTCGGGTAGTTATTTTGAAGGGTGATTGTCGCAGTGCCAGTATATATCGATATTGGTATGTGTAAGTAGTTTAATGAAAATATATTTGTAGCAGTTGTCAGGGGCACATATTGAGATATAAGTAAAAATATATCACGTGCTGTCGTGGCCAGATTAAGAGCATTCCATGAGGGTTTTGTACTCCAATTAGAGTTATCTCCCCTTGTTGTAAACATGTATATGAGAGGCTTCATCATTCGGGAAGTTTCTGGATTGTACAATTTCTAGAACTTGGACCTGTATAAGAGCGACATGAGGGCGATTCTAGGCCTTTTTCAGCGGCCTTGCTTCTTATCGACTTGCCCAGTGCAGATACCGATTTAGAAACTCGCTTTATCTGCCAGGTTTCAACATTATATTGGCTTCAAGCAGGGAGACAGTCCTCTTTCAGGACCGTTAACAGGGACATTATTCTGTATATTTGCGAGTGCACATGCACTAATTTAGGGCCGGTAATTATTATTTTTAAATATTTTCAGCGGCCTTGCTTCTTATCGACTTGCCCAGTGCAGATACCGATTTAGAAACTCGCTTTATCTGCCAGGTTTCAACATTATATTGGCTTCAAGCAGGGAGACAGTCCTCTTTCAGGACCGTTAACAGGGACATTATTCTGTATATTTGCGAGTGCACATGCACTAATTTAGGGCCGGTAATTATTATTTTTAAATATTTTCAGCGGCCTTGCTTCTTATCGACTTGCCCAGTGCAGATACCGATTTAGAAACTCACTTTATCTGCCAGGTTTCAACATTATATTGGCTTCAAGCAGGGAGACAGTCCTCTTTCAGGACCGTTAACAGGGACATTATTCTGTATATTTGCGAGTGCACATGCACTAATTTAGGGCCTGTAATTATTATTTTTAAATATTTTCAGCGGCCTTGCTTCTTATCGACTTGCCCAGTGCAGATACCGATTTAGAAACTCACTTTATCTGCCAGGTTTCAACATTATATTGGCTTCAAGCAGGGAGACAGTCCTCTTTCAGGACCGTTAACAGGGACATTATTCTGTATATTTGCGAGTGCACTTGCAGTAATTTAGGGCCTGTAACTTATTGATTCCGCCACTTATTGACCAATGGTATTGTCTTTTGTAATTGTAAACCTAAAACTGTATATTTCAATTTAATGAATTGATAATTTATTGATCCTGTGTGGTTCTTCACTGATGTCACAATTTAGTTTAGTGCGAACTGATTTCTGGGTTACCATCTGTGTTTAAAATGGATATCTGCTCGTAACTATATGTAAATATATCACATACGCCTTGCGTCGATGAGACCGAAATGTGATTTGTTTACATATCCTTAAATGTGAAAAAAACGTACGAAAAATCTTTTGCCGCCGAGTCCAAGTAGGCTCCTTGTAGCGGAGATGTCGCCCGTATCGTTAATGCTGAAGTAGCTTTCGCCGTCACTGAGCCGGTATGTCAGATCGTCCTGTTAACGAATACATTACAAGCTTATTTTTTATATTTATTTTTCTATTAGATGAATACATCAACCTTTGCAAATAATATTCTAATAATTTCGATTTCAACTACCGATAGCGTGTAATGCAATAAGAACCGTATGAATTAATAACTAAAAAGTGAAATAATTATGTATGCATTAACAGTTATTGTTAATAAAAATACTGTATGTATTAATCATTGTATAATACAATAATTACCGCATGCATAAATCAATGAATAGTGTAATATTATCGTATGCAGAAATCATTGTATGGTGAAAACGTTACAGTATGCATTGTTCAATATATAATGTAATGACTACCGTATGCATCAATCACGGTATGGTGTAAGAATTACAGTATGTATTAATCACAGTATGGAGTGATAATTATCGCATGCATTAACCGCAGTATGGAGTGATTATTATCGCATGCATTAATCGAAATATGGAGTGATAATTATCGCATGCATTAATCACAGTATGGAGTGATAATTATCGCATGCATTAATCACAGTATTGAGTGATAATTATCGCATGCATTAATCGCAGTATGGAGTGATAATTATCGCATGCATTAATCGCAGTATGGAGTGATAATTATCGCATGCATTAATCGCAGTATGGAGTGATAATTATCGCATGCATTAATCACAGTATTGAGTGATAATTATCGCATGCATTAATCGCAGTATGGAGTGATAATTATCGCATGCATTAATCGCAGTATGGAGTGATAATTATCGCATGCATTAATCGCAGTATGGAGTAATAATTATCGCATGCATAAATCGCAGTATGGAGTGATAATTATCGCATGCATTAATCACAGTATTGAGTGATAATTATCGCATGCATAAATCAGTGTATATAAAGTGCAAAAATTACGGTATGCAATAATCCGTCTATAACGTCAGTTTGTTTCATGATATTATTCTTGTGTGGCTTAATTATTTTGTCATACTTAATGTAAGGTCACAATAACTATACACGTTATAATAACTATACACTTCATAAGTGCCATTATTTCTGAATACCATAATTACTTTATTCAATAATTAATGTAATACTATGACCAGTGTGTGTCCTAATTACTCAATGCCGTAACATGCAAACCGACTTAAATCGAATTTTGACCCAGTTGGTAATCTCACCCCGTCCAAGTCTGTCGCGACTATTGTAAACAGCACAGTGTCCAGACTGGCCACCTCGGAAACGTTGACACTGTACAGAGCTTGAGTCGCCAAAGGACCATTGGGGTTCCGGGCCACGTTGATGGTGACTGTCACAGTTCCCCGCGTGTCGGGCGCCGTGGCATCGAAGGCAACAATTCTCAACTGAAAATGAGATGATTAATTTTCAAGGCTTCCTGAAAACAGGTGCATCCGAAGTATATAGGTGAGGTGAGGTAAAACGAAAATATTATGAGGACATTTTCACGTGAACGTATTTTGAGCTAGATATATAAATTTACATCGTGACGGCATGGATATATTGTTTTGATGACCGATGTCAGCAAGATCAGTTCTTTCACAGCGGACGGAGCTGTGAGTCGGAAAACAGGGGGTTGATATTATGAGCAACCACTCAGGACAACACGCAACCAAACACGTCGCAGACCACCCGAACCAATTTTGTCGCCTCTACGACGTTTTAGGGTGCTAGCGAACTATTCTAACCCGGGTCCCTAGAGGGGGAACCACATCGTGAAATGATGTAGAAGCAGAGGGTACTCACGTCGTATCGACTGGAGGCGAGGGTGTCCATTGCCAATGGTCTTATCAAGGTAATACGACCGAAGGGGCTGAGGCTGAAGAAGTACGGCGACGGATATACTCCGGTCACTTGATACATGAGTTGTCCCTGCGACAGATACAATAACATGTACGTAGGTTTCTATGAAGCCACCTCCTACTATTTACTATCATTTCAACTTCGTCATCTAAAGTCAGCATCGTTAGGGGAAAGTGTTGAGTTTCGAGCGACCAATTTGTGATCAAACTAACAACTGGAACAAATGTGTATTAAACAGAAATAAAAATTATCAGTGAATTATGTGATTTAAATAAAAAAAATGCCAAATGCATTTATCAATCCATCAATTGTTCCATCTCTTATTACTGGGAATATTTGATATCCACTTAGTGCCAAGTATATATTAAGGAGTATAACATTATGGATACACGTTCGATTAATATAATAGTGTATTAAGCCGTAACATCAAATACATTGTTCAAGTCTTTGAAAGGCATTAAGAAGTGATACATATAAGGAAGAGTGAGTGAGTGAGTATGGTTTTACGCCGCCTTTAGCAATATAACAGCAATATCACGGCGGGGGACACCAGAAATGGGCTTCACACATTGTATCCATGTCGGGACGTGCGAACGCTTTAACCACTAGGCTACCCGACCGCCCCCATAAGGAAGAGAATTTATGGATGTCAACTTCTATATTATGAGGAACAAAACGTTTCCGAGTATATGCTTACTCCTCCCCCGATGAAGGAGTAAGCATATACTCCGAAACGTTGTGTTCCTCATTATAAAGAAGTTGACATCTATAAATTCTCTTCCTTAAATACATTCATTTGTTATTGTGTGTGGGAATGTACACATATAATGTAAGACATTGTCAACTGAAGTGTGTGAACAACCTTGTCCATGCGATTCTCACCCTCAGATCGTTGTCTATCGCATATACAGTGAACACTGAGGACTGTACGGCCAGGGTGTCCGGTATAGATATGTTATAAGGCGTGGAGCCAAACTCCGGGTAAATTACATCCGACCGAATGTTCACTGTCAATACTGCAGTCGCCATCCTTGGAAACAGCATCCGATCTACGGCTTTCACAGTGGTCTGAAAATCATCAATAGTAGCCATCCTAATTAATAATAATCATACAAATAATAGGCGCTATAAAAATATATTAAATTTTGTTTGTTTGTTGTTCAACGCCGCACTCAGCAATATCCCAGCTTTATAAGGCGGTCTGTCAATGCTAGTCAGACATTCACGTCTCCGATACTGTGAGCAATACTCCACGCCGTCGGGGCACGATGGCACGCAATCAATCAAGGCACAAGTCTGACACTCCATCCATGTGGTCTCCTGTTACGGCTAGCATGGGATGGTGGGACCAATTCTAACCCGGAATCCCCACAGAGAGAAAATAGGCAGTATACAGAAAAATAATACATTCATTATTATAGAATAAAAGAAATTCGACGCTCATTTTGGAAACCTGTTTTTCTTAAGATTCGTGTTTTATTTTAAGAGTTTGCATGTGAAACATGTTCTACACAGGCCGCACTTCTACATCTCTTTGATAGCGCCTGAAGCATGTTGCCAGTGATGTGAGCAACACTATATACTTCCTGGGAGTCTCTTTCCTTCAAAGGATAACCCACATTATGCAAACACTGACCACACACCTTAATAAGACATTGTTTTTATTCGGCCCGAATCTTAGTGTGTTCAACCGAAAGAGATATAGTGAAACAACTTGTTTTAGAATCGGTTTATGCTTAATCATACACATATGAAAGTTGTTTGCTATAATTCTGAAGACAGTTTTAATCAAGATCTCGAAACAAGCGCTTTAAAATGAAATGACGACAGCCACAGCCACGTTCAAAGTGTTACCGTATATGTCGTAAGAAATGCTCACCACGATTTGTGAAATGTTTACGTTCCTGAGAGATTTCGTCAGTATCACAGAGCCGGTTACAGGGTGGATGTAGAGGTAATCGCTCCCGCCGTCTATGCTGTATGTAACGTTGTCCTCCTGACAAATACAGTAAAACACAGTGAGTGAGTGATTTGGGTTTAACGCCGCTTTTAACAGTGAGTGAGTGAGTATGGTTTTACGTCGCTCTTTAGCAATATTCCAGCAATATCACAGCGGGGGACACCCGAAGAGCGCTTCAGACATTTTACCCATGTCGGGAATCGAACCCGGGTCTTCGGCGTGACTGTAAAATCGCGGCATGTCAGCTTAATGTGGGAGGAAAGCCCGAAGTGATGCAGGTCTCAGACGTTTACCACTTCGGTAAAACCCACGAGCACGGGTATGGTGCTGACAAACCTAGAAACATAATCGGGGCGAACCGGGATTCGAACCCACAATGATGGGTTGCTGGCGTGTCTAAGGGACGCAACTCTACACAGCGAATTACGGCGCCTTAGACGACTGGGCAACCCGTTTTCACTGGAGTAAACAAAGTTACCTTGGAGTAAAAAAAGTTTCCTTAGAGAAAACAGTTATCTTGGAGTAAAACCCAGACAGATTTAATCTATCCTGCGAGACGAGGTATAAACAGTTTTTCAGAATTTTCTTGTATTCTGGGATCACGACAAATTGTTGAATATTTTTATCAGGTATAATGGCTACTGCTTTGATTCAGCTTTCCTGTACGTTACTAAGTAAGTTACCGATGGTTAATCCCTGCAAAGGCTACATGATAGTCACCATAACAGCCCTACTTCCAACGTGCCAGCACTTGATGACGAGGGCGATAACTAAATAGTAATCTGTCCACCATAACAACATTCACATCCTCGACAAACATAATTCATGAACAATAAAGTTATGAAACAAAAATATTAAACAATACATAAAAAATAATATAATATGAATTGAATTTAAATTGAATTAATTTAAAATAAATAAAAATATTTATGAAACAAATATTAATAAATGAATTTAACATGTATCACAAGAAGAGTAAATACATTATAAAAACTTATGACGGTGCTGAGATTCTGAAGAACGCCGCACTCAGCAATATTTCAGCAATATGACGACGTTCTGTAAATAATCGGGTCTGGACCACACAATCCTGTGATTGACATCATGAGCATCGATCCACGCAATTGGGATACGATGACATGCATCAACCAAGTTAGCGAGCCTGACCACCCGATCCCGTTAGTCGCCTCTTACGGCTAGCATAGTCGCCTGCAACGGCAAGCATGGGTTGCTGAAGACCTATTCTACCCCGGATCTTCACGGGTCTGCGGTCTGTGTACTATATCATACAGGTACCAACCCTGTCCCAGTCAAAGGTGGAGACCGCAATGATCTCCTCCCCAATCTGCCGGTCAGGAGAAATGGTGACGTCGTAGGGGGCACTGATGAAACGAGGGGCGTTGCCGTTGATCCTGACGTTGATGTTCAGTGTCCCCTGCACTTTCGGCACAGTGGCGGAGCTGTTGGTCTTCCATGCTTTTATTTGAAGCTGTAATAAATGTTCATGCAAGTCTGTAACAACCAGCAATGAAAGACCGAATTGATAAAAAAAACTGCGAATATTGTTTTTTTCAAATTTATGAATATCATATTTCATGATTATTAGCCTAATAATCATGAAATTTGATTTTATCAATGACAAATCCCTATTCCCTATTTGTACCTTCCAGGTGTGGCTGCTTCAGCAATATTTATTACTTATTATTGTTATTATTATTATCATTATTATTATTATTATTATTATTATTATTATTGTCGTAACAGTCATATAAACTGCCGGGTTGAAGAAACTACACACACATGATTGATAGTGCTTAAAAACGAAACGAACAAGAAATGGATATCCGATGGTGATGTATAACATACGGGTATCATAGTCGTGTTTTGGACCTATCGTTTGCAGTGTTTCAGCGAACGTCTTGCTACCATTGGCATTTTTTGTGGTCAAATCCAATTTTTTTTGCAAGAATATATTTTCTTTTGCACGACAGTGTAATGTTAAGATTGGTTAACCACGGATCGAGGTGAGGTGAAATGGGGTTTAATGTCGCGTTCAAGATTATTGCACTTACATAGCGACGTGCATGCCTGTGTGAGTTTGTGTGTGTCTGTCTCTGCTTGTACTAGTCCGAACTAATGTCCAGTTTACAGTGCTAGTCAACTGAGATACCATTCCGCAGTTTATGAATACCCCTCTCAGATACAGTATACTGACTCCGAGTCGGCCAGTCCTTGTTTTAGCCCCTTCAGACCGAGCGCCAGGCAGGGTAATAACAAGTACCATCTTTTAACGTCTTTTGGTATGACGCGGCCGGGGATCGAACCCACCGCTCTCCGGGCGGACGCTCTACCACTAGACCACGGAGCCGGTCTCCACGGATCGACCGTTAGTGTCCGCTGATGAAGTGACTCGTTGTTCCTGCCAGGGTAAAGACGGACTACTCCAAACACCCCAATTACCGTAAGCGTCTGTGTTTTGATGTCGCGGAGAGACGCTGAAACCATCACGTTGCCGGTGTCGGAGATGTTGAAGTACTGCACGGCGATGATGCCACCCACTACTTCATACTGTACAGATCCCTGATCATGAAGAAATACACAAGAAACGGTTACTTGTACTTCACCTGAATTAAACCTGAAGGCATTGATAATATGTTTGAATTATTCGCATTGCAATAAATCTCAAATAATGAATAAATCAACATACACTGTGAATCAATGCTACTAGAAGGAGGGTCACGATGACTAGGCATAATCGGAAAAAAATAGAACAAAAATATATAAAAAGTGACCATTGTACGATTCCGGCTATATCATAAGCGACCACTAAAAAATAGTAAGATACCAGGTGTTCGCGAAAACGTTAATGTATCCTGTCCCACCGGCACCCGTCACAAACACATGGAAGAGCAAGTCAATTGTTCATCTAAAAATCACGGGAACATATAGTACAATTCAAAATAGGGAATTGCATCGGACATAATTTTTGTCACTGGTGCGTCGCATTTTGAAATGCCTTCCACACGCCCAATTGCTTCGGGTGTGCACGGGTGCCTAATCTGCCATGCATAGGATCTGATGGTCGTGAGCTCGAATCCTGGTATGTAAGCACCGTATCCGTGCTCATGGGTTTCAGGGGTCTACTTCTAGAACATGCGTCGATGATGTCTAAACTAATTTGAACACAAAATGACCCAAAGTTAACACTTCTTACCACACGATTTGGATCGATGGCTTGCACGGTGAAGACAACCTCCCCGACTGCCGTGCTTTCGTTGACCGTGACAGTCGAGGGCAGGTTTACTATGACAATGGGTACATCCCGTTCAATAGTGACGTTGACAACCACCCTGGATGTCCTCGCCACGCGCCTTTGGTCGCTCGCTTCGACCGTGAACTATTCAAAGGAAAATGCATCTTTATAGAATAAAGTGTAAAAGACTCTTTCTTACCAAGGAATTTCAATCCGTACCACTTTTTGTTTGTTTGTTTGTTGTTTAATGTCGAACTCAGCAATATTCCAGCTATATGACGGCGGTCTGTAAATAATCGAGTTGGGATCAGACAATCCAATGATTGACATCATGAGCATCGATCCACACACCTGGGATACGATGACATGCATCAACCAAGTCAGCGTGGCTGACCACCCAATCCCGTTAGTCGCGTCTTACGGCAAGCATGGGTTGTTTCACACCTATTCTACCCCGGATCTTGACGGGTTCTGAACTACTGTTGCAGTTTGTGGGGACAATGTTTGCTGATTGCCACGTAAACAAAAAACGCCAGGCATTCCAGAGTGTCTTTCTTGTGAGCATATAATGATACACTTTCATATCTTTAATGGAGATACACTGTATCCCTTTTGAATAAGAAAAGGATACGGTAATGGGGGCATTATGTTAAAGATACAGTGATGATATTCAAGTCTGATAACACAGGAAGAGCAAATCGTTGGAAATGTCTTTGGCACACTGCTGCTACCCACGGTGACACAAAAGTTGAGAGACAGACGATAAATAACTTCATTTCAGGATAATTTATGTGCCGAAATGTTTGAGAAATCCAACTGAAAAACGGTTTGCAACAAAAGAAAACAAGAGGTCTCTGTAGAGGTTGGCGCTCCGCCATTATGAAAAGTATTGTAACAGTGCTCATACCATTGGCGTATCTGTGCATTCATTAACCATAACAATCCATAAAATGTAGATAAAAGACAACATGTCTTACAATATATGTGTTGTCTTGATACGTGGCGAGTGACTGTCGAACATAGATGTCGCCGCTGACTGGGTCGATGTTGACCAAGGACGGGTCGCCGGGGCTGCGGATGATCTGGTACTGAACGGCGTCCTGTGGACAGAGATGAGAGTACATCAATCACGGAGATGACAGGTACACCTTGTATCCGTACAATTCCTCACAGGTAGTTGTCTTCAGAATCAACGCTTTTTGGACGATCATTGTTAGGACCATAAATGATTCGTTAATCCGAAAATGTGTTAGCCCGGATGAATTACCGGGATCACTACCTTCTGGATTAAAGGGTTTACGCCGTTTTTAGCAATATTCCAGCAATATCACGGCGGGGGACACCAGTAATGGCTTCACACATTGTACCCATGTCGGGAATCGAACCCGGGTCTTCGGCGTGACGAGCGAACGATTTAACCACAAGGCTACCCGACCGCTGTATTCAATATTCTTTTTGGGGGATGGGTTGCACAGTTGTCTTAGGCTATGCAGAGTTGCGCCCCTTGCTGCGCCAGAAACCTATGATCATGGGTTGGAATCCCGGTTCGACCTGATTATGTTTCTAGGTTTGTCACAACCATACCTATAGTCGTGGGTTTCACCAAAGTGGCAAATGTCAAATACTATCAGAATTTCGGACATCCTCCCATCAAACTGACACGCCGTGATACAACTGAAATATCCTTCAAAACGGTTAAACCAAGTTCACCAACTCATTCATGTTCAATTTACCCCGTCAGCGTCCGAGGCGGTGACACGGAGGATGGAAAAGCCACAGTCAACGTACTCGTACACGGTGACCGCGTAGTCGGAAAGGCTGAAGACGGGGGCGTTAGTGTTGTCATTGGCCTGGGTATTGGAGATTCTGACAGCGGCCACTGTAGTCGCAGTATTTCCCGGGTACGTCGAGTCATATGCCGTCACCTCCACCTGTTGATGAAATACAGGTACGTCAAAGGTTCAGACTGAATCATTTTTGTAAAAATATATGTAAAAAGGTAAAAAGGACCTTATGGCTAGGATACATTTGTGCTGTGACATCATAAAGAAAGACATTTGACGTCAACCTTCGTGAAAATGTGCTGATAGAAGAAGAAATGTTATTTTTCTCTTGTTCATTCCTAATGTAATCAAAATCCTATAATAATTTTAAAATTAAAATAAAAACATTTTAAAAATTTTCAGTATTCACGTTGATTAATCAGACATTTTGTCTAAAAACTATTGCTACATAAATAATATTATAAAACGTATTTCAAGTCTGAAAATGGGACTTTGCAAAAAAATGAGTCGAATTTTCGATGCCGTGTATTGCTTTAATAAATAATAATTGAAGCTTGTACATTGTGTTTCTGTGTTTCTAGGATATCGTATTTGTAAAATATTAAAAGTCAAAATGTGAATTTTCACCCATAAGGACCTTCTCTCATGGTTGGTCACACATACACTGATGAGGACGCTAGTCTTTTGATAGAGCCAGTTTCTACACATATGATCAATTTTACGCTTGCCGTTCCTCGCTCAGTGATGGTCGTGGCTTAGAATCCCACATTTATCCCGACTACGACCCTGGGTATAAAAGATTACTAGTCATGGTCATTGGACGAAGCACAGAAGGAAACAAGATGTCTATAACTTTCTTGTCTCTATAGGACCACCTCCGTGGTCTCTAGCCTACTTATGAACACCACCTTAGCTAAATACTTCAGGACCGCCTCCGTGGTACAGTGGGAAGAGCGTCTGCCTGGAGAGCGGAAGGTCGGTGGTTTGATCCTCGGCCGCTTCATACCAAAAGACGTTAAAAATGGTACTTGTTGTTACCTTGCCAGACGCTCGGGATTAAGGGGATGAAATAAGAAATTGTCGGCTACTGTGTCCTAGTCGGGTATTCATGTTAAACTGCCATACGGAATATCAGTGGTCTAGCACTATAAAACAGATACTAGTCCATAATATTACAAGCAGACACACACGTGCACGTCGCTATATAAGTGCAATAATCTTGAACGCGACGTTAAACAGCATTTCACTTCATCTCACCTGTCACTATACAAGATGACATACCGTGATATACCTAAAAATAACGTTGAAGACAACGTCACACCAATCAAGTATTATTTCTCACTTATATTTAATCGGATTGCTCGAGGGGATATACAGCCCGCATTAAACATACACTTTAAACAAAAATAAAACTGGTATGACTGTTGATCCCCGAGCTGAGTACAGAGGACCCCATTTCCTTTGTCTTGCAACAAGGACGGCGTGGTGGCCAGTGGGTGAAGCGTTCGCTCATTTAACTCGTTTTGTGAAGCCGGTGTGGTATTGCTGGAATACTGCCAAGAGTGGAGTAATACCATACTGACCGACTCACTCGCTCGGCGTTGCAAAAGTGGCCCAATATCTGTTCATAAGCCCCAGTCAAAGCCAGCAGAGACACAAAATTTCAATACACCGATACGTTTAAAAATGATTTTAACCTGTTTTGGGTGCAGCAATTTTGAGTTTAACATACGCATGTCTTTAGCGTCTACATGTAGTCTGTGGTATTTTGAAACATTCTTTTAAACTAAATCTAGATACGTAAATATTCATACAATAAGCGGGAGTCGACATTGAATTAACAAAAGGCATTGGTACGGCATTTTTTGTAGATTTAGTTACATAATGTTTTTGGGAGATTTTGACTGAGTGAGTGAGTATGTTTTTACGCCGCTTTTAGAAATATTCCAGCAATATAAGGGCGGGGAACACCAGAAATGGGCTTCACACATTGTACCCATGTCGGTAATCGAACCTTGGTCTTCGGTGTGACGAGCGAACGCTTTAACCACTAGGCTACCCGACCGGCCGTGTGTACTTGCACTTGCCGGAAATATGGCTTAAAGGTTTCGATTTTGTTATACCAGATACGGGCTCTTGATAATGTTTCAAAAAGGGTAACAGTTTGCTGTAACAAAACTAAACATTAAGGTTACCGAGCTTTCGACATTGTGACCGTTTGTAAGTTCCAGAGAGTTCGTAGACGCATTATTATTATTATTATTATTATTATTATTATTGGTATTGAAACATGTACCCACATCAAACCTCTCCACATTGGTGAGTGTTAGGCGTCTCCTGGTGAACACCCTTCCAGTGTCAGCGTCGATCCCAAAATAGGCCTTTGCTAAACTGTCTTCATTTATTTTGTATTTCATAGCTCCCTGAAGTCAGAAAAAGATTTGCATTTGTAAAACACAGTTGCCCTCGAAGCAACAGAAAAAAAGTCTGAGACATGGTGCATGGTAACAGACATCCGAGGAAAAACAACAGTTAAACTGGGGAAAACAAAAAGTAAGCTAGGGGATACGCCATAGTGAACATATATGGAATTCACCACGAGGAAAAGGAAAGAGGTAATACCGTGGACATAAAGATGCAGGGCACAGGCGGATCCAGGGCGGTCCATCCCACCCTTTTGGAAACCAAATGTAGTAAGTTGTTGGCAGTAAATTTGACTGAGAGAAAATTTTGATATTGTGGACCCCTCCCTTTTAAAAATGCTGGTTCGCCCTTGCTAGAGACATGTTCATGACGACAATGGGGACAGGACAATGAGGACAGAAGGGGACCCCCACAGGGAAAGAAAAATGGGTGAAAACATCCTGAGGGCAAACTAACAGTAACCATGGAGATGGGATGTGTATCCTGAACACATGGCTCGCGAAGGCTACCCCTACTATTATGACACACTGGTGTAATGTATGAAAGATTTGGTACTATATTTATTATCAATAAATTTAGTACTTATAATCTCACCAAGAGATCGTCGTCGATCGCAGTGACGGTCATGACGGTGGTGTTGACGGCGACAGTGTCCAGGAGGTTGGTGGAGAAAGGCGCGTTGATGAAGCGTGGGGAAGATGAGTCTCTGCGTAACAGCACCCTCACAGAAACATCCGTGTATTTCTGTGGCACTCCGTTGTCAGACATCCTAACCATCACCTGTAACGAAACAAGGTGAGGTGAGGTGAAATGGGGTTCAACGACAACAACGACGTGCATGCATACGTGTGTGTGTGTGCCTGTGTGTGTGTGTGTGCTTGTACTAGTCCGGACTATTGCCGATATAATAGTGTTAGCCCACTGAGATACCATGCGCAGTTTGACATGACTATCCCACTCAGACACAGTATATCGAGCCGACCAGTCTTTGTTTTAACACCTTAATGCCCATCGCCAGGCAGGGTAACAACAAATACCATCTTTTAACGTCTTTCGGTATGACGCGGCCGGAGACCGTACGATGGAACTTCCGATCTCCGAGTGGCCGCTCTACCACTCGACCACAGAGGCGGTCTGTAACAAAACAAACCCATAACTGTACTCTAATGAATACTTTCATTTTATTTAGCACATCGCTGCTACATACACCTATGTTGAGTGATGTAGGAGGAAGCCCAAGAGCAGGAGTATAGTGCTGACAAACCTAAAAACATAATCAGGACGAACGTATCACGAAAGGTTTCTGGCATGTCTAAGGGATGCAACTCTGCACAGCGTATACTAGCGCCGTAGGCGACATGCCCTCCCGTGTTTCCTGACTCTGATACCAATCGTGAACCTCTTGCTCAAAACGATCCTACCGCTGAAACTATGCGATTCTTAATATTCGTAATGCTAAAGGGTCACTGGAGGCCGACTGGCTATAGGCCTCGGCATGAGTTGTGCAGAGTTGCGTTCCTTGATCGTGCCAGGATACGCTGATCAATTCGTACAGATTAAAATCCTTTGCTTTCTAGATCCATTCTAACATGTTCATCTCCGCTATAACGCCGCGATACAACTGAACGCTGACACACTCCTCACGTTAAATTCCACTCACTCAGTGCTAAGGTCCCCGGGTGCAAGTCAACATACCCACAAATTGCATGTTTACCAAAGAATGGTTGCATATTATTTGTTTCACTGTAATATCTTAATTAAATTCTTATTCCAAAGAGTGGTTAATATCGACAATAATTTCTACTCTTTCACGAAAATCGTCTGAACAAATACGCATTCCTTGTTTTGATGAATAAGGCTGTCAACATCGCCTTACCGTAGAGGGGACCAACGATGACGTGAGATCGCTCCCCACTGTCAAGACTCCTGTCCTGTCGTCTATTTTGAAGAACTCTTGAGTTACATTGTCACCTCGGACTATCTCGTACGATATGGTATCCTGTAAAAGACACATAACATTCAGAAGGAAACAAAGAAGAACGAACAAAGGATAACTCAAGCTCCCAAACACCATATAAACTTTACCCATACATGCTTTAACACCTTTACCAAACATGCTTAAACACCTTTACATACATGCTTAAACACCTTTACCATACATGCTTAAACACCTTTACCATACATGATTAAACACCTTTACCTTGCATGCTTTAACACCTTTACCATGCATGCTTAAACACCTTTACCATACATGCTTAAACACCTTTACCAAACATGCTTAAACACCTTTACCATACATGCTTTAACACCTTTACCATACATGCTTAAACACCTTTACCATGCATGCTTAAACACCTTTACCATACATGCTTAACACCTTTACCAAACATGCTTAAACACCTTTACCATACATGCTTTAACACCTTTACCATACATGCTTAAACACCTTTACCATACATGCTTAAACACCTTTACCATACATGCTTAAACACCTTTACCATACATGATTAAACACCTTTACCATACATGCTTAAACACCTTTATCATGCATGCTTAAACACCTTTACCATACATGCTTAAACACCTTTACCATACATGATTAAACACCTTTACCATACATGCTTAAACACCTTTACCATACATGCTTAAACACCTTTACCAAACATGCTTAAACACCTTTACCCTACATGCTTAAACACATTTACCATAGATGCTTTAACACCTTTACCATAGATGCTTTAACACCTTTACCATACACTGACTCCAGACATTATTTACATACACTACAAGTCTGGCCAGCCAGGAGAAACACATTCTCCCCGTCCATGGTACACATTACTGACACACACAGGGAATAATCCAGACACTCTTACCCCGTCCATGGTACACATTACTGACACACACAGGGAATAATCCAGACACTCTTACCCCGTCCATGGTACACATTACTGACACACACAGGGAATAATCCAGACACTCTTACCCCGTCCATGGTACACATTACTGACACACACAGGGAATAAGCCAGGCACACTTACCCCGTCCATGGTACACATTACTGACACACACAGGGAATAAGCCAGGCACACTTACCCCGTCCATGGTACACATTACTAACAAACACGACGGGGAATAAGCCACGCACTCTTACCCCGTCCATGGTACACATTACTAACAAACACAACGGGGAATAAGCCAGGCACACTTACCCCGTCAATGGTACACATTACTAACACACACAACAGGGAATAAGCCAGGCACTCTTACCCGTCCATGGTACACATTACTAACACAAACAACGAGGAATAAGCCAGGTACACTTACCCCGTCCATGGTACACATTACTGACACAAACACAGGGAATAATCCAGGCACTCTTACCCTGTCCATGGTTCACATTACTGATACACACAGGGAATAAGCCAGGCACACTTACCCCGTCCATGGTACACATTACTAACACAAACAACGAGGAATAAGCCAGGTACACTTACCCCGTCCATGGTACACATTACTGACACAAACACAGGGAATAATCCAGGCACTCTTACCCTGTCCATGGTTCACATTACTGATACACACAGGGAATAATCCAGGCACACTTACCCCGTCCATGGTACACATTACTAACACAAACACAGGGAATAAGCCACGCACACTTACCCCGTCCATGGTTCACATTACTAACAGAAACACAGGGAATAATCCAGACACTCTTACCCCGTCCATGGTTCACATTACTGACACAAAAACAGGGAATAATCCACGCACTCTTACCCCGTCCATGGTACACATTACTGACACACACAGGGAATAAGCCACGCACACTTACCCCGTCCATGGTACACATTACTAACACAAACACAGGGAATAAGCCACGCACTCTTACCCCGTCCATGGTACACATTACTAACACAAACACAGGGAATAAGCCACGCACACTTACCCCGTCCATGGTACACATTACTAACACACACAACGGGGAATAAGCCACGCACTCTTACCCCGTCCATGGTACACATTACTGACACACACAGGGAATAAGCCAGGCACTCTTACCCCGTCCATGGTACACATTACTAACACACACAACGGGGAATAAGCCAGGCACTCTTACCCCGTCCATGGTACACATTACTGACACACACAGGGAATAAGCCAGGCACTCTTACCCCGTCCATGGTACACATTACTAACACAAACACAGGGAATAATCCAGGCACACTTACCCCGTCCATGGTACACATTACTAACACAAACACAGGGAATAATCCAGGCACACTTACCCCGTCCATGGTTCACATTACTGACACACACAGGGAATAAGCCAGGCACTCTTACCCGTCCATGGTACACATTACTAACACAAACACAGGGAATAATCCAGGCACACTTACCCCGTCCATGGTTCACATTACTGACACACACAGGGAATAAGCCAGGCACTCTTACCCCGTCCATGGTACACATTACTGACATACACAGCAGAGAATAAGCAAGGCACTCTTACCCCGTCCATGGTTCACATTACTAACACAAACACAGGGAATAAGCCAGGCACTCTTACCCCGTCCATGGTACACATTACTGACACACACAGGGAATAAGCCAGGCACTCTTACCCCGTCCATGGTACACATTACTGACACACACAGGGAATAAGCCAGGCACACTTACCCCGTCCATGGTACACATTACTGACATACACAGGGAATAAGCCAAGCACACTTACCCCGTCCATGGTACACATTACTAACACACACAACGGGGAATAAGCCACGCACTCTTACCCCGTCAATGGTACACATTACTAACACACACAACGGGGAATAATCCAGACACTCTTACCCCGTCCATGGTTCACATTACTAACACAAACAACGAGGAATAAGCCAGGTACACTTACCCCGTCCATGGTACACATTACTAACACAAACACAGGGAATAATCCAGGCACTCTTACCCCGTCCATGGTTCACATTACTGACACACACAACGGGGAATAATCCAGACACTCTTACCCCGTCCATGGTACACATTACTGACATACAACAGGGAATAAGCCACGCACACTTACCCCGTCCATGGTACACATTACTAACACAAACACAGGGAATAAGCCAGGCACACTTACCCCGTCCATGGTACACATTACTAACACACACAACACAGGGAATAATCCAGACACTCTTACCCCGTCCATGGTACACATTACTGACATACAACAGGGAATAAGCCACGCACACTTACCCCGTCCATGGTACACATTACTAACACACACAACGGGGAATAAGCCAGGTACACTTACCCCGTCCATGGTACACATTACTAACACACACAACGGGGAATAAGCCAGGCACACTTACCCCGTCCATGGTACACATTACTGACATACAACAGGGAATAAGCCACGCACTCTTACCCCGTCCATGGTACACATTACTAACACACACAACGGGGAATAAGCCAGGCACACTTACCCCGTCCATGGTACACATTACTAACACAAACACAGGGAATAATCCAGGCACTCTTACCCCGTCCATGGTTCACATTACTAACACAAACACAGGGAATAATCCAGGCACACTTACCCCGTCCATGGTACACATTACTAACACACACAACGGGGAATAATCCAGGTACACTTACCCCGTCCATGGTACACATTACTAACACAAACACAGGGAATAATCCAGGCACTCTTACCCCGTCCATGGTTCACATTACTAACACACACAACATGGAATAAGCCAGGCACTCTTACCCCGTCCATGGTACACATTACTAACACACACAACGGGGAATAAACCAGGTACACTTACCCCGTCCATGGTACACATAACTAACACACACAACGGGGAATAAGCCAGGTACACTTACCCCGTCCATGGTACACATTACTGACACAAACACAGGGAATAATCCAGACACTCTTACCCCGTCCATGGTACACATTACTAACACAAACACAGGGAATAATCCAGGCACATTTACCCCGTCCATGGTACACATTACTAACATACACAGCAGGGAATAAGCAAGGCACTCTTACCCTGTCCATGGTACACATTACTGACATACAACAGGGAATAAGCCAGGCACACTTACCCCGTCCACGGTACACATTACTAACACACACAACGGGGAATAAGCCAGGTACACTTACCCCGTCCATGGTACACATTACTGACACAAACACAGGGAATAATCCAGGCACTCTTACCCCGTCCATGGTACACATTACTAACACAAACACAGGGAATAATCCAGGCACACTTACCCCGTCCATGGTACACATTACTAACACAAACACAGGGAATAATCCAGGCACACTTACCCCGTCCATGGTTCACATTTCTAACACAAACACAGGGAATAAGCCAAGCACTCTTACCCCGTCCATGGTACACATTACTAACACAAACACAGGGAATAATCCAGGCACACTTACCCCGTCCATGGTACACATTTCTAACACAAACACAGGGAATAAGCCACGCACTCTTACCCCGTCCATGGTACACATTACTAACACAAACACAGGGAATAATCCAGGCACTCTTACCCCGTCCATGGTACACATTACTAACACAAACACAGGGAATAATCCAGGCACACTTACCCCGTCCATGGAACACATTACTAACACAAACACAGGGAATAATCCAGGCACTCTTACCCCGTCCATGGTACACATTACTAACACAAACACAGGGAATAATCCAGGCACTCTTACCCCGTCCATTGTTCACATTACTAACACAAACACAGGGAATAATCCAGGCACACTTACCCCGTCCATTGTTCACATTACTAACACAAACACAGGGAATAATCCAGGCACACTTACCCCGTCCATGGTACACATTACTAACACAAACACAGGGAATAAGCCACGCACACTTACCCCGTCCATGGTTCACATTACTAACACAAACACAGGGAATAATCCAGGCACACTTACCCCGTCCATGGTACACATTACTGACACAAACACAGGGAATAATCCAGGCACTCTTACCCCGTCCATGGTACACATTACTGACACACACAGGGAATAAGCCAGGCACACTTACCCCGTCCATGGTACACATTACTAACACAAACACAGGGAATAATCCAGACAATCTTACCCCGTCCATGGTTCACATTACTAACACAAACACAGGGAATAATCCAGACACTCTTACCCCGTCCATGGTACACATTACTGACACACACAGGGAATAATCCAGACACTCTTACCCCGTCCATGGTACACATTACTAACACAAACATAGGGAATAATCCAGACACTCTTACCCCGTCCATGGTTCACATTTCTAACACAAACACAGGGAATAATCCAGGCACACTTACCCCGTCCAAGGTACACATTACTAACACAAACACAGGGAATAATCCAGACACTCTTACCCCGTCCATGGTACACATTACTAACACAAACACAGAGAATAATCCAGGCACACTTACCCCGTCCATGGAACACATTACTAACACAAACACAGGGAATAATCCAGGCACTCTTACCCCGTCCATGGTACACATTACTAACACAAACACAGGGAATAATCCAGGCACACTTACCCCGTCCATTGTTCACATTACTAACACAAACACAGGGAATAATCCAGGCACACTTACCCCGTCCATGGTACACATTACTAACACAAACACAGGGAATAAGCCACGCACACTTACCCCGTCCATGGTTCACATTACTAACATAAACACAGGGAATAATCCAGACACTCTTACCCCGTCCATGGAACACATTACTAACACAAACACAGGGAATAATCCAGGCACACTTACCCCGTCCATGGTTCACATTTCTAACACAAACACAGGGAATAAGCTAAGCACTCTTACCCCGTCCATGGTACACATTACTAACACAAACACAGGGAATAATCCAGACACTCTTACCCCGTCCATGGAACACATTACTAACACAAACACAGGGAATAAGCCAGGCACACTTACCCCGTCCATGGTACACATTACTAACACAAACACAGGGAATAATCCAGGCACACTTACCCCGTCCATGGTTCACATTACTAACACAAACACAGGGAATAAGCCACGCACACTTACCCCGTCCATGGTTCACATTACTAACACAAACACAGGGAATAAGCCAGGCACACTTACCCCGTCCATGGTACACATTACTAACACAAACACAGGGAATAAGCCAGGCACACTTACCCCGTCCACATCAGTGCCGTTAACGGTGAGCAGGGATGTCCCAGGCGGGGTGTTCTCCGGGATGCTGGTGGTGTAGAAGGGCTGGGACGAGATGGGCGTGTTGGCATTCCGTACTACTGAGACTGACACCGTTGTTGTTGCAGCATTGGCAGGATAGGCCGAATCGTATGCTTTGATCCTAATCTGAAGGAAATGACATATCGCAAAGATACAGTTAATATACAGAACCCATGCCTGGCCGGTACATATGCAGAATCGTATACTTTGATCCTAATCTGAAAGTATGACATTTTAAGAGATACAGTAAATATACAGAATCCATGCCTTTACAGTACACATACAGAACCGTATGGTTTTATCCTGGTCTGGAAGTATGACATATTGTGAGATACACTTAACATACAATATTGTAGAGATACAGTAAATATACAGAATCCATGCCTTTACAGAACACATACAGAACCGTATGGTTTTATCCTGGTCTGGAAGTATGACATATTGTAGAGATACAGTAAATATACAGAATCCATGCCTTTACAGTACACATACAGAACCGTATGGTTTTATCCTGGTCTGGAAGTATGACATATTGTGAGATACACTTAACATACAATATTGTAGAGATACAGTAAATATACAGAATCCATGCCTTTACAGAACACATACAGAACCGTATGGTTTTATCCTGGTCTGGAAGTATGACATATTGTAGAGATACAGTAAATATACAGAATCCATGCCTTTACAGTACACATACAGAACCGTATGGTTTTATCCTGGTCTGGAAGTATGACAAATTGTGAGATACACTTAACATACAATATTGTAGAGATACAGTAAATATACAGAATCCATGCCTTTACAGTACACATACAGAACCGTATGGTTTTATCCTGGTCTGGAAGTATGACATATTGTGAGATACACTTAACATACAATATTGTAGAGATAGAGTAAATATACAGAATCCATGCCTTTACAGTACACATACAGAACCGTATGGTTTTATCCTGGTCTGGAAGTATGACATATTGTGAGATACACTTAACATACAATATTGTAGAGATACAGTAAATATACAGAATCCATGCCTTTACAGTACACATACAGAACCGTATGGTTTTATCCTGGTCTGGAAGTATGACATATTGTGAGATACACTTAACATACAATATTGTAGAGATACAGTAAATATACAGAATCCATGCCTTTACAGTACACATACAGAACCGTATGGTTTTATCCTGGTCTGGAAGTATGACATATTGTGAGATACACTTAACATACAATATTGTAGAGATACAGTAAATATACAGAATCCATGCCTTTACAGTACACATACAGAACCGTATGGTTTTATCCTGGTCTGGAAGTATGACATATTGTGAGATACACTTAACATACAATATTGTAGAGATACAGTAAATATACAGAATCCATGCCTTTACAGTACACATACAGAACCGTATGGTTTTATCCTGGTCTGGAAGTATGACATATTGTGAGATACACTTAACATACAATATTGTAGAGATACAGTAAATATACAGAATCCATGCCTTTACAGTACACATACAGAACCGTATGGTTTTATCCTGGTCTGGAAGTATGACATATTGTGAGATACACTTAACATACAATATTGTAGAGATACAGTAAATATACAGAATCCATGCCTTTACAGTACACATACAGAACCGTATGGTTTTATCCTGGTCTGGAAGTATGACAAATTGTGAGATACACTTAACATACAATATTGTAGAGATACAGTAAATATACAGAATCCATGCCTTTACAGTACACATACAGAACCGTATGGTTTTATCCTGGTCTGGAAGTATGACATATTGTGAGATACACTTAACATACAATATTGTAGAGATACAGTAAATATACAGAATCCATGCCTTTACAGTACACATACAGAACCGTATGGTTTTATCCTGGTCTGGAAGTATGACATATTGTGAGATACACTTAACATACAATATTGTAGAGATACAGTAAATATACAGAATCCATGCCTTTACAGTACACATACAGAACCGTATGGTTTTATCCTGGTCTGGAAGTATGACATATTGTGAGATACACTTAACATACAATATTGTAGAGATACAGTAAATATACAGAATCCATGCCTTTACAGTACACATACAGAACCGTATGGTTTTATCCTGGTCTGGAAGTATGACATATTGTGAGATACACTTAACATACAATATTGTAGAGATACAGTAAATATACAGAATCCATGCCTTTACAGTACACATACAGAACCGTATGGTTTTATCCTGGTCTGGAAGTATGACATATTGTGAGATACACTTAACATACAATATTGTAGAGATACAGTAAATATACAGAATCCATGCCTTTACAGTACACATACAGAACCGTATGGTTTTATCCTGGTCTGGAAGTATGACATATTGTGAGATACACTTAACATACAATATTGTAGAGATAGAGTAAATATACAGAATCCATGCCTTTACAGTACACATACAGAACCGTATGGTTTTATCCTGGTCTGGAAGTATGACATATTGTGAGATACACTTAACATACAATATTGTAGAGATACAGTAAATATACAGAATCCATGCCTTTACAGTACACATACAGAACCGTATGGTTTTATCCTGGTCTGGAAGTATGACATATTGTGAGATACACTTAACATACAATATTGTAGAGATACAGTAAATATACAGAATCCATGCCTTTACAGTACACATACAGAACCGTATGGTTTTATCCTGGTCTGGAAGTATGACATATTGTGAGATACACTTAACATACAATATTGTAGAGATACAGTAAATATACAGAATCCATGCCTTTACAGTACACATACAGAACCGTATGGTTTTATCCTGGTCTGGAAGTATGACAAATTGTGAGATACACTTAACATACAATATTGTAGAGATACAGTAAATATACAGAATCCATGCCTTTACAGTACACATACAGAACCGTATGGTTTTATCCTGGTCTGGAAGTATGACATATTGTGAGATACACTTAACATACAATATTGTAGAGATACAGTAAATATACAGAATCCATGCCTTTACAGTACACATACAGAACCGTATGGTTTTATCCTGGTCTGGAAGTATGACAAATTGTGAGATACACTTAACATACAATATTGTAGAGATACAGTAAATATACAGAACCCATGCCTTTACAGTGCACATACAGAATCGTATGCTTTGATCTGAATCTGAAAGTATGACATTTTGTAGAGATACACTTAATATACAGAATCTATGCCTTTACAGTAAACATACAGAACCGTATGGTTTTATCCTATTCTGGAAGTATGACTTATTGTGAGATAAACTTAATATACAGAATCGTATGCTTTTAACCTAATCCCCCACCTCCAAAATGCCTCCGCTGTGGCAACCACTGAGCTAGTTCAGGAGAGGAGAAAAAAATTCAAGTGCACAAATCTCAAATCTGAAACTGCAGTCACTGCCACTTGTGTCGTGAGTCAGGCACATTGTCCCGCAGCAGTAGCTCACCTGAACGGAGAGTTTATTGGGGTATTTCCGTGGGTGACATGCCTTTATTGTGCAAGCATTTTCTCCATTTCTCGCAGTTTCTCTCATCCCTGTCAAATTCTCAAGGTGACTGCTCGAAAACAGATTTTTTTATCTGTCAGTAACATGGTGTTGTGCTTCCCAAGACGTGATATTCTTCATACACGTGTTGAATACGTGTTAGATGTCTTCAGCAACCCATGCTTGTCGTATGGGGCTCCTGGATTTGGTTGATGTCATCGTATCCCAATTGCGAAGATCGATGCTCATGGTGTCAATCACTGGATTATTTGGTCCAGATTCGATTATTTACAAGCCGCCGTCTCATGGCATGAATATTGCTGATTGGGGCATTAAACAACAAAATAAACCATCCCACATAGGAATATCTTTGAGGCCACGAACATTTCGATTTGTCGAGTGTCGACAAAATATCAGTTGCAGTAGATTTACAACTCACTGAAGAAGTGATTAGATTTAGACAGAGGCGCTACACTGGCCTACTTGCGTCGATAACACTCACTGTATATGAGATGGAGCTATCCATCTTGAGATCTCTCCTGAGAACAATCTGACCAGTATCAGCTGAGACACGGAAGAACAGCGTCGCCGCCTCGTCGCCCGTCAGCTCATACTGTATTCTACCCTGAAGACAGTCGTGTTCGAAAGAGCATGTTAAATAGTACTGGTCATATTGAACAAATGAACAAAATGTATCATTTTTTTATAAAAAAGACATCGTGAAATTTGTTGTAAAAAGATTAACGCGAAACTACTGGGTTTTCTAAATGTGTGATGTAAAAAGATTAATGCGAAACTACTGGGTCTTTTTTAATGTGTGATGCAAAAAGATAAACGCGAAACTACTGGGTTTTTTAAATGGGTATTGTAAAAAAAAAAGATTAACGTGAAACTACTACAGTCCTATAACATGGGATTCTCCCTGTGTGATAAGATGACATGGTTCTCGTTGGTGATGATAAGACTGGTCTTGCCTGTAAATCGTTGTCGGCTGCAGAAACAATGATGAGACTGCTGTTAACTGGTGACGATTCTAACACAGTCACTCTATACTGGGTGTTTGTGAATCTAGGGGACTGGGTGTCCCGTCGGACATTTATGGTGGCAGTGGCGATCGCCCTTTTCTCAACATCTCTCTGGTCTCGGGCAATTAGTGGAAGCTGGAATGATAGCAAGCCTTCTTACATTTGTATATGTAATTTATTATTCACGTACATGTATAGATGATATGACATCAGCGAGTAACTAAACCGCGCTCAACGGTATTACAAATACATAATGCAAATGCTATTTTGACGTCATCCTTATGACGTCACACCAATACTAATGCCACATCGCATCACTGTTGATGCCACGTTTACGTCAGGCTACCTTACGACACGGTTTATTATGGACTACATGTAGAGATTATTACAATCGTAACAAACAAAATTGGTTATTAGTAATATTTAAACATTACCATATTCAGACTTTTCATGTAACCTGAGCGATTTTGGTGATTTGGGGAAAGTTTCATCGGGTTATATGAACACTGTGAATATGGTATGGTACCCAATACCAGTTTCGTTTTTATCACAGATACCATAAATGTTAGAAATGTAAACATATTTAGCAAATAAATAATAGTCGATTTATTCTTCCAGCAATGAACAAATGTTATTAATAACGACAACAATACGTAAATATACCGTACGTGGAGATCAACATAGGAAGGAAATTTCAAGATTCTTGAAATGGCCGCGCCCACACTGGTGGCAGCGATGTTACCGAGAGTGTAACGAAGGTGTCACGCGCTGGGAAGGAGCTTGCATTCAAATAAAGAAAGGGAAGTCACTCTCGTCATTCAAATAAAGGAAGGGAAGTAACTCTTGTCATTCAAATAAAGGAAGGGAAGTAACTCTTGTCATTCAAATAATCCCCCCAAGCAGCACGAGCACGTTCTATCATTTATTTTAATTTCATGGATTTCTCAGAAAATCGGTATATGCTTCTCAGTCATATCTATATGTACATGTTACTTATAACTATCAACATGTAAATACAATATCAAGTTGCACGCACCAAATAAACCTGACGTCCGGTTGTGTCAGCGGTCAGGGAAGTCCGAAGGCTAATGGTGCCGGTGTCCACGTCGATTCGGAAAAGGTCTGTGTTCGATCCTCTGCCAAATTCATACCTTATGCTGTCCTGTTGTAATAGACGATAACGCATTATAAGATTCGGATTCGGATTTGAAAATTCGGATTAATTGGGATATAAGAATCTATATATGAAGGATTTTTTGGCTGCATCAATTGCTTGAAGTGAATTACAGAATCCTTATTTGATCATCTCAGGACGTGTGCGGTAACTGTTCCTTGGTAACGGTTGATTGACTTCCGTTGTGCTTCACGTGACATGAGTGCAGTTTTGGTACTAATATTTCAGCAGTATCTTTATCAAAAGATCAATATATTTCCAAAATATACATAGAAGTTGGGAATGTATGAACACCAAGAAAGGATGGTGCTTAATTTTTTCCCATTGTATGTATAAATCTGATGATAAACCAAATTGGATCGGGGACACTTGAATGCTTCCTTGTTAATAATGGTTTGGTGTTATCACTTTAAAGAGATATTAGTCAAATGATCATCTTACGCCGTCGCTGTCCACGGCCGTGGTGTTCAAGATGTCGGTGCCGGCAGCGGTGCTGTCCGTAATGGTTACACTGTATGTAGAAGACGCCCAGACTGGACCATTGGGGTTTCTGATGACGTTGACCTGCACTGTCCCCATAGTGACCGCCGTGGGGGCTGCCGTGTCGAACACTGACACCTGGATCTGTTGTGGGGTGAGTGAGTGAGTTTGGTTTTTAACGCCACTTTGGTCAGTGTCTGTTTTATCGCAGCGTGATAGGCTCTACAGGATCGTGGTATTAACCACGTTGGTGAAAGCACCGAATATGGACGTGGAGCTGACCGACCAAGGATCATTGACCTGAGGTCCTGATTCAAACCCTCCGTTAGCGGATCCCAATGATTAAAGGGGAACAATTCTGCATAGCAAACAACAGCAACATTGTCCACTGGACACCTTTGCCAAGCTAATCCGAAAACGATGCAAGGACGTTAATGAATATGAACACGCATATTGATTCACGACCTTTATAAAACACAGTCTCATGTCAAGCTTTAGTATTTATACGAGCCAATTATATTCGGAATAAATAGTCACATGAGCAACCACTTATATATTAACTTTGGTTCGATACAGACGATGTTTCGCTGTGTCCAGGTTCGATATATCCGGAATTGAATATATAATTATAATTGTGAGTGAGTTTGGTTTAACGCGGCTTTTAACAGTTTTCCAGTTATATCACGGCGTGTCAGCTTAATATGGGAGGAAAGCCCGAAGTGATGCAGGTCTCAGACGTTTACCACTTCGGTGAAACCCACGAGCACGGGTATGGTGCTGACAAACATAGAAACATAATCGGGGCGAACCGGGATTCGAACCCACAAGCATAGGTTTCTGGCGTGCCCAAGGGACGCAACTCTGCACAGCGAATCGACTGAGCCACCCGTGCCCCCCTATATATAATTATAATGCGCTACCTCGATGATTTGAGTTGGTGTATACACCGCATACAAAGGTGACAAAGGCAAATTTCAATTATTGGACACAAGAAGATCCTTTCGCATTATCCACCGAACATTGTGTCGCTACATTGGTTTTTTGTGTCAGATGACAGCCTGTTGACGTATTGACTTATATGTATGTAAATGTTCCTTACCGTGTATCTCGACACACAAGAATTAATCAAGGAGGAGTTCAGTGTGACCATGCCTGTATTTCTGCCCACGTCGAAGTAGGCTGGTGCACTGAGTTTTCCGCTGATCTCGTAAGCAAGAGAGCCCTGTTGGAAAGTAATATATAGCGTCATATTGGAGAAATGTGTACAGAGTAAGTCCCATACTTACGACAGTCGTCCAGCTACGATCACTTTGTGAAACGGGCACCAGGTTTATCTTGGGGAAACACTTTGACAAAACGACTTTCATAATTATTATCAACATTATATTTCAACCGAGTTCTGTACACTCACCAATTCCTACACAAACTCTAAAGTAATAATAATATTAATCAAAGAGGTTTCTTTCCATGCTGACATTCAGACTTGGAAGTCTTGGAGTAGTAGTTAGTAGCATTAAGACAATAACTGGCCTGTATCAATTCCACCAGGGCGGTTTCAATGCTCAAATCAGGCTTATATAATAATTGATGTAATCACCTCATCGTAAGCGTGCCACACAAAAAGTTTTAAATAATTTTGCAAGCATAATATTTTAGCGGAAGCCCATCAACATTCACTACTAATTCCGTTATGGGGTGAAAATTGAAGCCATAAACAGAGACCATGCATGGTATCTTATACACTACACAGTGTGTACCCCACTGAACTCTAACTCTACCACGAACCGGTAATGGACAGCTTGATTGTCTTATTGATAATGCTATATTGTTACCATATTCAGCTCTAGTCGGTACACATTCAACTTAACATAATTTTCTTCACACCTGTTAATTTCATTGGTTTCTTCGTTTTATTCTTATCATTGCACATAATTTATACCTTATATATCTATCTATCTTTGCACATAATTTATACCTTATATATATCTATCTATATATATATATAAGGTATAAATTATGTGCAAAGATAAGAATAAAACGATATAATTTACATATAAATTATATATATCAACATGTATTTGTACTTAACAAATAAATATTTTTGGAGATATTTTTGTAGTGAGGATGATCACACAATTTCATGAAAAAAATATTCTTAAAACATAATCATCATCCCTCACAGTCTTTGGTCAGTTACAGAACTGAAACGTCGTTACAAACAATAAAGAAGATGTTTTCCAAAAAGTATCACGTCTTCAATCATTGTGTTTGAAAGTACGTTGTGTTTGTTTTAAGGCGGTTTATCGCCGCACTCAGCAATATTCCAGCTATATGACGGCGGTCTGTAAATAGTCGTGTCTGGACCAGACAATCCAGTGGTTGACATCATGAGTATCGATCCACGTATTTGGTATATGATGATATGCATCAACCAATTCAGCGAGCCTGACCACCCGATCTCGATAGTCGCCTCTTACGACAAGCATAATCGCCCATTACAGCAAGCATGGGTTGTTGAAGACCTATTCTACCCCGGATCTTCACGGGTGGATAATACATTGTGACAATACCTTAACCAATTATACGATTGTTGACGTATTAAGTAAAATGTCGCTAAAGGAAGAATACAAATATGAGGAAAATATGTTTACCCTCAAGTCGCTGTCTTGCGCAGTGACCATGACAACAGAAGACCCTGGTGGGCTATTTTCTAACACGGTAACTGTGTAAGGGTCTCCGATGAACAATGGCGGCGTGTCGGACAAGACAGAAATGGACACGAATATGACACACGACCGGCTGTACTGGTCAGCCGCACGGACAGAGAATGTGTAAGTAGCCCTGATATTTGTAAAGGCACGCCTGAGGAAAAGTTTCCCACTCGTCGATTCCAGAAAAAACTGACTTCTGTCTTCACTGTCAATGTTGGCAAAGGCGTAAGTGAGGTCATCCTGCAAGAGCATTATAAGGTATAGATACACATGGCGTAAAAGCAATAGTAGACTTAAATTATTTATTTCTTCATTATAATATGTTCAAAACCCCTACCCGAGCAAGCAGATTAAAAAGATTAGATCAAGACACTTTTAACAGTTTTAAACATAAACCACAAAAAAACTAAAGTCCCTTGATCGCGATCTTCTGTCGAACGCTTCACGACAGGTGATCGGGTGTCGATACACATCGTGATCGAGGGGGTATTAGCTTTGAATTGTTTGAAAAATGGAACAATAAGTTATCATTATCTTCAGCCAGCAGATTTTACTTCAGTTCTGGACAACTTACCCCATCAGCATCCGTTGCATTGGCATCAGCTATGACGTCACCGGGGGCGGTATCTCCGGTTACGGTGGTACTGATGGGGCGAGGTTGACAGACCGGCGGGTTGGGGTTGACGTTCACACTGATCACGACACTGGTTGTTGCTTTGTTTTGTGGGAAGCGGCTGTCATATGCGTTCACAATCAACTGCAGAATACAAAGGACAAAGTCTCCAGCACATGACGCTTTCATCAGCGGGAACAGGAAGCAAGCAGTCAAAACTGTCATGTTCACAAAACGAGTGACGTTATGACTCGAAGTTACGAGATTAATTAAACTGATTCTTTTTACAATCACTCATTTCTGCAACAGTTTGTAAAAAGTTATCTGGGAAATTTGTTTAAATGAAAACTGGGGTAAGAATTGAATTTTCAACTACATAAACCCAACCATGTTTGAAATATTGCGAAAAAAGCAAATTTATTCATTTTCAAAGATACATGTAAGATGTCTAAGACACCATCAGTGGTTGCGTAATATGCGATTTTTATTAATTCTAAAAAAAAAAATTAAAAAAATAAAACCATGAAGAAGTATTCTTTGAGTGCTGACAAAGTTCACTTTTATATATAATATCGCTAACTTAAGATGTTTCCAAATGACAATCAAATTTATGATAAAATCAACCGAGAGGTATGGTTTATTTAACGTAGGCAAGTTCTAAACTCACATCTTGGGTCTAAGTTTCACCGACCACCAATAATGTATCTGTTTTGAAATTAAACCCTGACAGGGCCGGCTGATTCGAGGGTTCAGTCACATCAGGAGGTCAATGGTGGTATAAAGGTCTAAAGTGCTGTAATCGGTTGTGCAATAATGCTTGTATTTCCGTCCTGGGTTCGAATCCCTGATTTTAAAGATCATTATCAGTGACCTGTGTAATTCGTTTTAACTCTTGGCCTTGAGCTTTGACCTGTTGTCTACCACGTAGATAATACGCCGTCATATTGTTAAAATAGTTATATTAGAAACTTCAAGTTTCACTTTCTCTCCTGTATGATAGTCTAGTCACGGCTGTCACGTACCGTGTACCTCTCTGTGTCACGCGGCAGTCTCCCGGTCACGGTGATCTCCCCTGTGTCATTGTTAATACCAAACTTGTCCTTGAAGTACTGTCCGCCAATATCGTATTTTAAATCTCCCTGAAAACATTAAACAGTAAAAACACTTAGTTAAAGGGGCACGCATGGCCCAGTGGTTAAGTCGCCATAATGCGCTGTGCAGGGCACGCCAGGAACCTATGATTGTGGGTTCGAATCCCGGTTTGCCCTGATAATGTTTCTTGGTTTTGTCAGCACCATACCCGTGCTCGTGGGTTTGGCTAAAAATGATAAATGTCTGAGACCTACATGACTTCGGGCTTTCCTCCCACATTAAACTTTCACGCCGTGATATGACGGGAATATTGTTAAAAGCGGCTTTAAACTCACTCAATCACTTCCAAAAGATGCTTTGTATATGCATAGCATCATTCAAAAAGGTATTTTATTGTACATATTGTTAATAATCCTTTGAGATAACCCCGACCTCTGTGAATGTTTACTTTTACACCCTTGTCTACATTGAAGGGGTAGCTCAGCGGTTAAAGTGTTCGCTCGTCACGCCTAAGGCCCTGGTTCGATTCCCCACATGGGTACTATGTGTGAAGCCCATTTCTTGTGTCCCCCGCCGTTATAATGCTTGAATATTGCTAAAAACGGCGTAAAGCAGTACTCACTCACTCTACATAGCAGGTTTACTGATACATAGACTTTCTTCTCTATGATAAAGGCGACCCATGAAGATTCGGGGTAGAATAGGTCTTCAGCAACCCATGCTTGCCGTAAAAGGCGACTATGCTTGTCGTAAGGGACAACTAACGGGATCGGGTGGTCAGGCTGATGCATGTCATCGTATCCTAATTGTTAGGATCGATGCTCATGACATCAATCACTGGATTGTCTGGTCCAGACTCGATTATTTACAGACCGCCGTAACTGTTCGAACAGTTAAATCACCCACCCTACAGCCCAGACTTAGCCCCAAGTGACTATTTCCTGTTCCTGCAAACGAAATCTGCCCAACGTGGAAGACACTTCCTTATGACGAGGACATAAAGGCTGCCACAGAGGCGTGGTTAGAGGGCCAATCTGCGGATTTCTATAAAAGTGGTATTAAAAGCTTGAAGGACAAATGGAATAAGTGTATTGAGGTTAATGGAGATTATATTGAAAAATAATAGTGCAAACGACTTGGTTATTCTGCGACTTGGTCTTATCTTGAAGTTGCAAAACTTATTGAACGCCCCTCGTAGCTGGAATATTGCTGAGTGAGGCGTTAAACAACAAACAAACAAATAAACAAACAAACAAACAAACTATGATTAAGGTTAACTTACACCTCCAATGACATTATCCCGGTGTAATAACTAATTCTGAAACGTCCACATTAATATATTTATTTTCCACAGAGGTGAACCTACGTTTAAGTCGAAGTCCAGTGCGACCACGCGCATGACGCTGTCGCCCTTTGATGCTGAGAAGTTCAGGGTTGCCATGTAGGGAGTTCCCTCGAAGTAAGGTACACCGATGTCTCGAATGACATTGATAGTGAGAGTCCCCATCGGCTCTGGTTCTTGACTACCGACACCGCGGGCGTGGAGATTCAACTGCAGCAAAGAAGCACAGTCAGATTTACAGTGAAACCTCGTTAATCTCGTTATTCTTTGTATGTATTAAGACTTTTGATACAAAACGGTTTCTGAACAAATCTGGCGAATGATAGACAAAGAGACATGTACTGACAATCAGTGGACAGATATGAGGAGGGTTGGTAGAGAGGTGAATGTTTGCATGGCAAGAAATGAATATACAGTAAACTACGGTTATATCGAACTCAAATGGACCACTAATTTGAGTTCGTTGTAAGCATATATACAACATATATAAAGCAAATGTCCGGAACCAAAAATAAAGTTCGTAATATCCGTCAGTTCGTTTAAGCGTGTTCGTTATAACGTATTTTACTGTATATGAATATTCACATGTGAGTAGTTGATATATACATGTGAATATTTGATATAAACAGGTGAATGTTGATATACGCAGGTAAATGTTGATATACACAGGTGAATGTTGATATATACAGGTAAATATTGATATATGTCAGGTAAATAGTTGATATAAACAGGTGAATGTTCATATACACAGGTAAGTGTTGATATACACAGGTGAATGTTGATATATGCAGGTAAATGATGATATACACGGGTGAATGTTGACAAACACGGGTGAATGGTTGATATACACAGTGAATGTTGATATACACGGGTGAATGTTGATATACACGGGTTAATGTTGATATACACGGGCGAATGGTTGATATACACAGGTGAATGGTTGATATACACAGGTGAATGGTTGATATACACAGGTGAATGGTTGACCACGGGTGAAGGTGGACTGCTTGGTAAAGATGCGCGGTCGACTGGAAAAGATGGATGATCCTGTTAAGACTGAAGACGGGTTAACTGACGATTGTGATCTCATATCTTAACTATGTACCTGGTATGTATTACTTGATTCCTCTCCCAGACTTGTCATCAGGAACACTTCTCCTGTGAGGGGATGCATGAGGAACAGATCGCTGCCAGGCCCACTGATGTTGTACAGGATCATATCCTACAACAACAACATCAACCAGCGACATCAACACACATTCAGGATCAACCCACGACATCAACACACATTCAGGATCAACCCGCGACATCAACACATTTTCAGGATCAACCCGCGACATAAACACACATTCAGGATCAACCCACGACATCAACACACATTCAGGATCAACCCACGACATCAACACACATTCAGAATCAACCCACGACATCAACACACATTCATAATCAACCCATGACATCAACACACATTCAGGATCAACCCGCGACATCAACACACATCGAGGGTCAACCCGCGACATCAACACACAATCGGGATCAACCCACGACATCAACACACATTCAAGATCAACCCACGACATCAACACACATTTAGGTTCAACCCACGACATCAACACACATTCAGGATCAACCCGCGACATCAACACACATTCAAGATCAACCCACGACATCAACACACATTCAGGATCAACCCACGACATCAACACACATTCAGGATCAACCCACGACATCAACACACATTCAGGATCAACCCACGACATCAACACACATTCAGGATCAACCCACGACATCAACACACATTCAGGATCAACACATAGCATCAACACACATTCAGGATCAACCCACGACATCAACACACATTCAGGATCAACCCGCGACATCAACACACATTCAGGATCAACCCACGACATCAACACACATTCAGGATCAAATCGCGACATCAACACACATTCAGGATCAACCCGCGACATCAACACACATTCAGGTTCAACCCACGACATCAACACACATTCAGGATCAACCCACGACATCAACACACATTCAGGATCAACACATGGCATCATTACACATTCAGGATCAACCCACGACATCAACACACATTTAGGATCAACCCACGACATCAACACACATTCAGGATCAACACATCGCATCATTACACATTCAGGATCAACCCACGACATCAACACACATTCAGGATCAACCCACGAAATCAACACACATTCAGGATCAACCCACGACATCAACACACATTCAGGATCAACCTACGACATCAACACACATTCAGGATCAACCCAAGACATCAACACACAATCAGGATCAACCCACGACATCAACACATATTCAGGATCAACCCGCGACATCAACACACATTCAGGATCAACCCACGACATCAACACACATTCAGGATCAAATCGCGACATCAACACACATTCAGGATCAACCCGCGACATCAACACACATTCAGGTTCAACCCACGACATCAACACACATTCAGGATCAACCCACGACATCAACACACATTCAGGATCAACACATGGCATCATTACACATTCAGGATCAACCCACGACATCAACACACATTTAGGATCAACCCACGACATCAACACACATTCAGGATCAACACATGGCATCATTACACATTCAGGATCAACCCACGACATCAACACACATTCAGGATCAACCCACGACATCAACACACATTCAGGATCAACCCACGACATCAACACACATTCAGGATCAACCTACGACATCAACACACATTCAGGATCAACCCAAGACATCAACACACAATCAGGATCAACCCACGACATCAACACACATTCAGGATCAACCCACAACATCAACACATTCAGGATCAACCCACGACATCAACACACATTCAGGGTCAACCCACGACATCAACACACATTCAGGATCAACCCACAACATCAACACATATTCAGGATCAACCCACGACATCAACACACATTCAGGTTCAACCCACGACATCAACACACATTCAGGATCAACCCACGACATCAACACACATTCAGGATCAACAAATGGCATCATTACACATTCAGGATCAACCCACGACATCAACACACATTTAGGATCAACCCACGACATCAACGCACATTCAGGATCAACACATGGCATCATTACACATTCAGGATCAACCCACGACATCAACACACATTCAGGATCAACCCACGACATCAACACACATTCAGGATCAACCCACGACATCAACACACATTCAGGATCAACCTACGACATCAACACACATTCAGGATCAACCCAAGACATCAACACACAATCAGGATCAACCCACGACATCAACACACATTCAGGATCAACCCACAACATCAAAACATATTCAGGATCAACCCACGACATCAACACACATTCAGGGTCAACCCACGACATCAACACACATTCACGATCAACCCACAACATCAACACATATTCAGGATCAACCCACGACATCAACACACATTCAGGATCAACCCACGACATCAACACATATTCAGGATCAACCCACGACATCAACACACATTCAGGATCAACCCACAACATCAACACATATTCAGGATCAACCCACGACATCAACACACATTCAGGGTCAACCCACGACATCAACACACATTCAGGATCAACCCACAACATCAACACATATTCAGGATCAACCCACGACATCAACACACATTCAGGATCAACCCACGACATTAACACATATTCAGGATCAACCCACGACATCAACACACATTCAGGATCAACCCACAACATCAACACATATTCAGGATCAACCCATGACATCAACACACATTCAGGATCAACCCACGACATCAACACACATTCAGGATCAACCCACGACATCAACACACATTCAGGATCAACCCACGACATCAACACACATTCAAGATCAACCCATGACATCAACACACATTCAGGATCAACCCACGACATCTACACACATTCAGGATCAACACATGGCATCATTACACATTCAGGATCAACCCACGACATCAACACACATTCAGGATCAACACATGGCATCAACACACATTCAGGATCAACCCGCGACATCAACACACATTCAGGATCAACCCACAACATCAACACATATTCAGGATCAACCCACGACATCAACACACATTCAGGGTCAACCCGCGACATCAACACACATTCAGGATCAACCCACAACATCAACACATATTGAGGATCAACCCACGACATCAACACACATTCAGGATCAACCCACGACATCAACACATATTCAGGATCAACCCACGACATCAACACACATTCAGGATCAACCCACAACATCAACACATATTCAGGATCAACCCGCGACATCAATACACATTCAGGATCAACCCACGACATCAACACACATTCAGGATCAACCCACGACATCAACAGACATTCAGGATCAACCCACGACATCAACACACATTCAGGATCAACCCACGACATCAACACACATTCAAGATCAACCCATGACATCAACACACATTCAGGGTCAACCCGCAACATCAACACACATTCAGGATCAACCCACGACATCTACACACATTCAGGATTAATACATGGCATCATTACACATTCAGGATCAACCCACGACATCAACACACATTCAGGATCAACACATGGCATCAACACACATTCAGGATCAACCCGCGACATCAACACACATTCAGGATCAACCCACGACATCTACACACATTCAGGATCAACACATGGCATCATTACACATTCAGGATCAACCCACGACATCAACACACATTCAGGATCAACACATGGCATCAACACACATTCAGGATCAACCCACGACATCAACACACATTCAGGATCAACACATGGCATCAACACACATTCAGGATCAACCCACAACATCAACAAACATTCAGGATCAACCCACAACATCAACAAACATTCAGGATCAACCCGCGACATCAACAAACATTCAGGATCAACCCACGACATCAACACACATTCAGGATCAACCCGCGACATCAACACACATTTAGGATCAACCCACGACATCTACACACATTCAGGATCAACCCACGACATCAACACACATTCAGGATCAACCCACGACATCAACACACATTCAGGATCAACCCGCGACATCAACACACATTCAGGATCAACCCGCGACATCAAATCACGTTCGGGATAAACCCGCGACATCAACACACATTCAGGATCAACCCGCGACATCAACACACATTCAGGATCAACCCGCGACATCAACACACAATCGGGATCAACCCACGACATCAACACACATTCAGGGTCAACCCGCGACATTGACACACATTCAGGATCAACCCGCGACATCAACACACAATCGGGATAAACCCACGACATCAACACACATTCAGGGTCAACCCGCGACATCAACACACATTCAAGATCAACCCGCGACATCAACACACATTCAGGATCAACACACGACATCAACACATATTCAGGATCAACCCAGGACATCAACACACATTCAGGATCAACCCGCGACATCAACACACATTCAGGATCAACCCATGACATCAACACACATTCAGGATCAACCCGCGACATCAACACACATTCAGGATCAACACACGACATCAACACATATTCAGGATCAACCCATGACATCAACACACATTCAGGATCAACCCACGACATCAACACACATTCAGGATCAACCCATGACATCAACACACATTCAGGATCAACCCACGACATCAACACACATTGAGGATCAACCCACGACATCAACACACATTCAGGATCAACCCACGACATCAACACACATTCAGGATCAACCCACGACATCAACACACATTCAGGATCAACCCACGACATCAACACACATTCAGGATCAACCCACGACATCAACAAACATTCAGGATCAACCCACGACATCAACACACATTCAGGATCAACCCACGACATCAACACACATTCAGGATCAACCCACGACATCAACACACATTCAGGATCAACCCACGACATCAACACACATTCAGGATCAACCCGCGACATCAACACACATTCAGGATCAACGCGCGACATCAACACACATTCAGGATCAACCCGCGACATCAACACACATTCAGGATCAACCCACGACATCAACACACATTCAGGATCAACCCATGACATCACCACACATTCAGGATCAACCCGCAACATCAACACACATTCAGGATCAACCCGCGACATCAACACACATTCAGGATCAACCCGCGACATCAACACACATTCAGGATCAACCCACGACATCAACACACATTCAGGATCAACCCACGACATCAACACACATTCAGGATCAACCCGCAACATCAAAACACATTCAGGATCAACCCACGACATCAACACACATTGAGGATCAACCAACGACATCAACACACATTCAGGATCAACCCGCGACATCAACACACATTCAGGATCAACCCGCGACATCAACACACATTCAGGATCAACCAACAACATCAACACACATTCAGGATCAACCCACGACATCAACACACATTCAGGATCAACCTGCAACATCAACACACATTCAGGATCAACCCACGACATCAACACACATTCAGGATCAACCCACGACATCAACACACGTTCAGGATCAACCCGCGACATCAACACACATTCAGGATCAACCCGCGACATCAAAACACGTTCAGGATCAACCCAGGTAATATCATATGGAATCATATTTTCGTGTACTAAACTTATAATTAAAACAAATAATTATGTAACAATATATATACACATGCGCAATAAGTTAAATACTCAATTGTATTGTCACTAATGCACTCATACGTACGTTTAGTGAAACCTTTAACTCGAAATCCGTCATCGTATTAGAGGAACTAACGTTACAACGTTATGGGGAAATCATTATTGGCAATATGGTCTCATATCGGTAACTCGGTTTTCTCGAATAGGGATAAACCAGACAATATTTCCGATGGAGCTCAGAGTTTTGACTTAACGCTGTTTCACTGTTTAAAAATTGAACGAATATAATAAGTCACAAATAATCAAAAGGGATTCGAGATAATAAGAATCGTATAACGTTGGACTGAAACTCACCCCCTCCCTATCCACGGCAGTGGTAGATATGAGACTGGTGCCTGGCGTCTGATCCTCATACACATTGACCGTGTAGCGACTGGGGGAAAACACCGGGTCGTTGTTCTGTCGTACAACGGTGACATTCACAGACGTTGTTGCTGACGACAAGCCATCCAAACCTTTAGCTTCAACCAACAACTGCAAGGAAAATACAAGTTTGATCTAGGAGAGGTTAGTACAAGGGCAATAAATAAAGTCAACACTTGAGGTCGATGATGGAGTGAGTGAGTATGGTTTTACGCCGCCTTTAGCAATATACCAGCAATATCACGGCGGAGGACACCAGGAATGGGCTTCACACCTTTTACGCATGTGAGGAATCTTCGTGACGAGCGAACGCTTATCTTCTAAGCTATCCCATCGCCTGGTCGCTGATGGACTTTCCGAGAGACATCTTATTTCACATTGGATCATCTTACCATTTAATGCACGCTCAAAAATGAATTTAGTCTACCCTAGCAGAAACTTAAGAAATATATAAAAACGCCGCTTTGTACGAAAAAATAATAGTGCCACTTTTGTGGCATACAAGTATCTATGTGTTTAAATCGAATTTTCTCATTATTTCAATTATTTGTTTATTTTTCTCGAAATTTCGAGTTTGTTCTCCTTACTTGCTTTTTTCGTATTTTCAATCATTTTCTCGTTACTTTTGTTCTCGCAAATTCGATTATTTTCTCGTTATTTCAACTTTATTAAAAAACCTCGAAATTTCATTTTTTCTTCTCGTTGCTACAATTATTTACTCGTTATTTCAATTATTTTCTCGTTGCTTTAAGTTTTTTTCTCGTTACTTCGATAATTTTCTTGTTATTTCTAGTTTATCTTAAAATCTCGGTGTGCGATGACGTAAATGACAATAAGGATACAAAGTTCGTTTGAAATTAAAAAAATAGTTACCTGGTAGGACGTTAATTTATCGGGGTCGGACGTTAATTGTGTTGATACATATATCGCCCCTGTTGTGATGTTGACGTCAAAGAATATCGGTGCACGGTCGGTGCCAATTAAGGAATATCCGACTGTTACCTTAGAAAAAAAACACATGGCAAAAAGTTACAAACTATACATAACCCGTATAATAAAATCAAAATATGACCAACTGAGAAATATTGAACACATGGCAAGATGAATAAATTTTTTACCGACTATTAAGAGAAAACCCTTTCAGTTATATGAGAATATAATGTAATGTGTGTGTGTGTCTCTCTCTCTCCCTCTCCCTCTCTGTGTGTGTGTGTGTGTGTGTGTGTGTGTGTGTGTGTGTGTGTGTGTGTGTGTGTGTGTGTGTGTGTGTGAAGTGGGTTTAACGCCGCTTTTAACAGTATTCCAGTCATATCACTGCGTGTCAGCTTAATCGGAGGAAAGCCCGAAGTGATGCAGGTCTCAGACGTTTACCACTTCGGTGAAACCCACGAGCACGGGTATGGTGCTGACAAACCTAGAAACATAATCGGGGCGAACCGGGATTCGAACCCACTATCATAGGTTTCTGAGTCAGGAAATGGAAGCAAGTACACGTTTATCATGTTGGTAAAAAACACGAAAGATCCTTACATGACTAAGGGACACAACTCTACAAAGCAAATTTTATCGCCTTAAATCACCGGATGACCGGTGTGATCGTTGTATATCAGCGCATCTGATAGTCGGTATTGATAAACAGATGGAAATATGGACGAAAAAGACTTGATAAGTATTTTGCCAGGGCGTCTTACCGCTTGTTCAACCTGAACCTGTGTGACAGTCCTGCCGACATCTTGTTTGTCGGTGATCGTTACGCTGATATCTGACCTTGCGAAGGTCAACTGTTGCGTGGGCAGAACAAGGACGTTAACCAGAGCAGTATCAGATCGAGGCTTAGGTGCCTTGTCACGTGCTTCTATCTGACACTAGAAATAGAAACATGGTATTAGTTGGTAGTTGTACACTGATGCATTCTTTAAATCGGATATGTAGGTAGGTTTTTGTTACGTCCTTCATAAACCGAATTTATATTTGGATATCATATATAAACCAAATAGTAAAATAATTAATTTCACTTTGACTTTGTGCAATCTACTTGTTCTCATTTACCTACTTATGAATTAACCCGGGAACATCGGGGTTAGAACAGGTAAGAACAGGTCTTCAGCAACCCATGCTTGTCTCTCTTGGTTGCTGCATGTCATCGTATCCCAACTGATTTCCGAATTTTGTGGATCGATGCTCATGATATCAATCACTGGATTGTCTGGTCCAGACTCGATTATTTACAGACCGCCGATTTATAGCTGGAATATTGCTGAGTGCGGCGTTAAACAACAAACAAACAAACAAACTTATGAAGTAATTAAATGAAACCGTCAGTATTTAGACCTGTGGTGTCTAATGAGTTATGGCGTAAAACAACAAACTAACAATATACTCACAGTGAACGTTGTTGTGTCGGAAAGATCCTTCAAGAGGTAAACCTCGCCTGTCTCTCTGTCTATGGCACAGAAGTCATTGTTGGAGCTTTCGGAGTCTTTGAGCAAGTATTCCACATCACCGTTGTCCCATACCTGTCGTCAAAAATAATACATGAGATGTAATAAAAGGAAGATCTCATTTTGGAAGACATCGCGGTTCAACAGATAGAGATACCACGGTGGCCCATAAGGAATATGGATTCTGTTTTTCAATATGTTGATATTCCACTTACTGTTATTGTAACCTTTTGCAAATTAACACTTTGGAAATACTTTTCACCGCCATGGGAATATTAACACCGCGGTGGAAATACTTTTCTGTATTTTCATATTTGAAAAGCTTATATCACCAAAGTACATGAATATGTTTAATATAATTGCAACTGTACGATAAAATGGACTTCACAAGATTCTCAATTTCCATTATGCCATTCTAGTGTTGAGACATAATCAATAGCCGGTTGACTCTATGTCTCTGTCTCTGGAGATATATGACAATGGACATGGCCAATACTGATTTAATGTAAGTTCAGTCCATGGAGGAATGACAACCTCCGTGGTCTAGTGGATAAGGCGTCGACCGGGAGAAAGCAAGGTTGGTGGTTCTTTCCGAGGGACCATCAGACCATAAAACGTTAAAATCTTGCACTTGTTTTTACCCAGCCTGGCGCCCGGACATTAATGTTAAACAAAGAAAACGAAAGGGAACGAAACGAAACGAAAGACTTCTTTGAATTCCAGTAACATCACGGCGTGTCTGGATACAATGAGAGGAAAGCCCGACGCGATTCTAGTTTTGAGTCATTACTTAACTCCACCAGCGCGGGTACGGACACACCAAGAACTATAGGACAAATCCGGGATTCGAACAAACGATCATCGGATCCTGGCACGGCTGGAACGTCTCTGTATGTCGACGTGCTAAACCTTCAACCACTGGGCCACCGCGATAAAAACAAGGGGAAACAAGTACTGGTCTATTTTTGTTTTAGTACCGCCTCCGTGATCTAGGTACCTGGTACTCGCCATTAAGAGGATAAAACAAGGATTGACTGGCAAACTGTGGCATAGTACATCAGTCGGTTTGCACTATAAAACAAGCTTAAGCCCGGACAAGTATAAACAGCCACACACAGAGACACAGACACAGACGCGAGTATAAGTGCAATAAAATCCCACCTCACCTCACCTCACCTCACCTCAGCCCACCTATTCTCACCCCACCTCACCTCACCCCACCTCACCCCATCCACCTCACCTCACCTCACCTCACCTCACCTCAGCCCACCCCTTCTCACCCCATCCCACCTCACCTCACCTGCAGGTATGTCAAGGAAGACGTTAGGTTAACCTACCGTGTCCAGGTCGACAGCGCTGACGGTGGTAAGCACGGTGCCGCGGGACGTTGACTCTGGTATAGTAATGACGTATGAAGACATTGTGAACACTGGGTCGTAGTGGTTGTTGGTGATGTTGATGTTAACAACGGTGATGTTTTCACGTGGAGGTGTTCCTTCATCACGGGCAACAACTCTTGCCTGGCCAAACATGAATAACAATAACTAATTAATGTGAGGTATCGTGATACTAAAAAGGTATTGTTGTTGCAAAAGTCGTATGAACAACACAGACAGGTGTATCCTAAATAATTGTCGTTTTAGCGGCAGTAGTAGTAGTAGTAATGGTAGCAGTAATAGTCGTGGTAGCAGCAGCAGTGGTTTGTTTGTTGGTTGTTTAACGCCGCTCTCAGCAATATCCCAGCTATAAGACGGCGGCCTGTAAATAATTCGGTCTGGACCAGATAATCCAGTGATTGACATGTTGAGCATCGATCTACCTAACTGGGATACGATGACATGCATCAACCAAGTCAGCGAGCCTGACCACCCGATCCCGTTAGTCGCCTCTTACGACAAGCATAGTCGCCTTTAACGGCAAGCATGGGTTGCTGAAGACCTATTCTACCCCGGATCTTCAGGTGCAGCAGCAGAAGTAGTGGTAGTAGCGGTAGTAGTAGTAGAAGTAGTAGTAGTAGTAGTAGTAGTAGTAGTAGTAGTAGTAGTAGTAGTAGTAGTAGAAGTAGTAGTAGTAGTAGTAGTAGAAGTAGTAGTAGTAGTACTTACAGACAGGACAGACTTTCTGGTATCGGTCAGGTTAGCGATAGTGACAATGTCTCCCGTGTCAGGATCCATCCTGAAGAAGTTTAGGGTCTCCGTGTCCCCAGTCAGCTCGAAGCTAACATCTCCAAAGACAAGCTACAAATACAAAAAATAACAATTTTTAAATAGCGCCACAATACAATGAAAAAGTATAACAATGGCAAGTGACACGATGGACACCAGATACCAGGTATCAGAAAGGAAAACACACAAACATCCAATTGCTACTGTGTCCTGTACTCACTGCATCGTTGTCTGTTGCCGTTACCGTGTATACGATCACCCCCGTGCTGACGTTTCCCATGACTGAGATGGAGTCCGTGTTGTTGATGAACTGGGGGGTATACCGGTTCCGGATGATGCTGATGTAAGCTGTCACTTCTGTTGTTGCTGAACGAGAAGGATTCCCTCCGTCCATCGCCCGGACTTGAACCTGGGCGAAGAGGTGAGGTGAGGTGAGATGGATCTGAGGTGAGGTGAGGTGAGGTGAGGTGAGGTGAGGTGAGGTGAGGTGAGGTGAAATGGGGTTTACCGTCGCGTCCAAGATTATTGCACGTGTGTGTGTGTGTGTGTGTGTGTGTGTATGTGGCTGCTTGTCCTAGTCCTGACTGATGCCGATTTATAGTGCTAGCCGCAACATTCCCATAATCTGACGTGTTTAGTAGAAATGAAACAAGTTCAAACATGTCAATTATGAAAAAGGTGTATAATATATGTTGATTTTAGATGTGCAGATCATATTCAGAGGCATTTTTCTCACACAGGAAGCTAAAAATGAAAGTATACCTTACTACGATAGACACTGATATATTTCGTTCCATTGAACAAGTCCGACTATATCATGAGCATGTGTTTATGAATCACTATCAAATGGTAATGAAACAAGGTGTTCGTGAAGGCGTTAAGATGGTCTTAAACACGAGCTCCATATTTATCTCTGGTTTGTTTTTTTATCGAAAGTACACCAGCATATATATTAGCAAGATAGTTGCTTGACACAGTGAGACTGCTAAGTACCACATAGTTTGTCAGATTGCATGGATCTTCCATGAGGGAACGTTGAAGGGTCACGTGTCCTCTATGGGGGTTGATAGTGAAACAGTTCATCGCGTCCTCACTGCCAGAAATCGAGTACATCACAACGTTGTTGGGAGCCTGTCAACAATAGTTAAAAAACATTGTGATTTGGATTGTAATACCATTTTTAAAAAAAGCATCTCAACACGAAAAATAAAACGGAAGATATACGGCGTGATAATGTAGGGAAAAAAATAGTGGATATCGATAATATTTCGCGTAATATTGATAAATTGATTGAATTTACACTCTAAACACCAACAACAACATCCTTATAGAAATATAACACACGTACACAAAAAGTAAACATTATTTCAAAAATTAAATTAAGCAGAAATACAACAGACAAACATCAATATAAACAAGTACATGGAAATGAAACAGGAAAACTTGTACACAATATATTTGTTGTTATGTTTTCATAAACACAGCTGTTGAGAATTTTTGCACTTTGAAACAAAATTGAGTGAGTGAGTTTGTTTCTATATGATGCTCGAAGTGATACCAAGAGAGGGGGCACAGGTGGCCCAGTCGTCTAGGGTGCCGCGATTCGCTGTGCAGAGTTGCGTCCCTTCGGAACGCCAGAAACCTATGATTGTGGGTTCGAATCCCGGATCGCCCCGATCATGTAACTAGGTTTGTCAGCACCATACCCGTGCTCGTGGGTTTCACCGAAGTGGTAAACGTCGGAGACGCAACACTTCGGGCTTTCCTCCAACATTAAGCTGACACGCCGCGATATAACTGGAATACTGTTAAAAGCGGTGTTAAACCAAACTCACTCACAGAACCAAGAGCATGGATACACACTCACTCACTCACACACGAACATTAGGCCTCTAAAAGTGTTTGTTTGTTTGTTGTTTTACGCTGCACACAAATATTCCAGCTATATGACAGCGGTATGTAACTAATCGAACCTTGGCGAGACAATTCAGTGATTGACATCATGAGCATCGATCAACGCATTTGGGATACAATGACATGCATCAACCAAATCAGCGATCCTGACCACCCGATCCGGTGAGCCGCCTTTTACGACAAGCATGGGCTGCTGAAGGACAATTCTACCCCGGAATCTTCACTGGACACCTCTTAAGTGAGATGATGAGATAAGGTTACGAGCAATAGCGAACATAAGTATTACTACAAGGTAAATATCACCTCTAAACTGACATGAATCTGGCACCGACCACCATTGAACGACATTGATATTCATTGATATAGGACCTCCAAGGTAAGATGGTCAGGTAAGGTGAAATGGGGTTTACGTCGCGTCCAAGGTTATTGCACTTAAAGAGCGACGTGCATGTACGTGTGTGTGTTTGTGTGGCTGCTTGTACTAGTCCGGACTGATGCCGATTTATAGTGCTAGCTCACGAAGATACCATGCCGCAGTTTAACATAAATACCCCACTCAGACACAGTATACTGATCAGTACTTGTTTTAGCCCCTTAATACCGAGCGCCAGACAGGGTAACAACAGGGTATGACGCGGTCGGGATCGAACCGCGGACCTTTCGCTCTCCGGGCGGACGCTCTACCACTAGACCACGGAGGCGGTCCTCCAAGGAATGACCAGTGTAGCCGGCTCATATATGTGTGACATATACTACTCAAAAGAAGTTCAAGAACACAATATGTGTGTAGCTTATACTCCTCAAAAGAAATTCATGTTACTATCGCTAATCTGTCATGCCATGTAGTTATTATATCATGGCTTGACAGATAAAAAAATCTTGTTATATGAATGAATCGGAAGTCTTTAATTTCTTTTGAGTAGTATAAGCCACACAGATTGACAGATGAACTATAGTGATCGAGTGTTCTTTCATTTCTTGTGAGTAGTATACACTACAAACTCTAAACCGATGCCTTCTTTCTTTGTCTTTAAGGCATGTGAGGGAAACTGAAAACCCTCTACAATGTAAGAGCTGTTTAAGAATACGGTCATCTTACGGCGACGTCTCTGTCGATAGCAGTCGCCGTCAGCAGGGTCCTGCCAATGGCCCATGTTTCAGGTATGGTGTCGAAGGAGTCCTGCGTTATCATTTCGGGAGCGAAAAGATTTCTCATGACATGGACCGTCGCCAATGTTGTGTTGCACAGTCGGTCCAGATCACATGCTTCCACCAACAGCTGAAATAAACAGGAAGAACCAGTCTTATTTGTTCTGGAACCTGAAGGTGTAATGTCACTAAGAGAGTTGGCTGAGAGAGCGATGCTGTTGTGAGGAGTATTTCAGCCACATAATGGTGTATATGCTCAATGTGGGACCAAGGATCACTTAGGACCAAACTGGAGTTCGAGGTCATGAAGTGTCTGTGGGTTCCTTTTTATCATATTTTATCAAGTTACTTTAACAACTGTACTTTCTGTGAAATATTTTCACTACAGAGACTAGATGTTGGTCTACATGATCCCCAAACGGCACCGCAAAAGGTTAAACTGGTTAACTCTGACGGGCAGCGGTACCGCTTGTGATGAGCGATAGCGCTAACATGTAGCGAGGATAAGCTTAGCCTTGCTCCAAGGCTTCCTGAAAATTATGTCCATGGATGTGTAGTAATTCTCTCCTCCTAATAGGCAAGTCTAGATATGTGGACATTACTAAAGACTCCAGTCTCTTATAGGGACAACTTGTTATTGTTTACATCATCTAGAATTAATATTTAAACTAATATTTATTGCCTTAGAGACTTGTGCAAGTCCAGTAAAAGATCGTCGCTCACGATACGACCCTTGTGTAATCACTGCTGCCGGGAATAAGATATAGCTTCACATGGCCAGGGCTGTTTTAAGGAAATATTTTTCGGACTCTGACTTTTAGACTTTCAGATTAAATGGATCATGTTTCTATAATTCGACTTCTGAAACCAAGACACTCAGTTGATGCATTTGTCATAGATGCTACTCCGGAACAGATAACCAGCAAGGAAAACGATAATTCTTGGAATGGCATAGAAATTGGGTAACGTAATTACAAGCAATTGTTTGGATCAGGATGGGGTTTTAATGACACTTTCTGGCTTTCCTGTGCAGATAGAATCATATTTATTAAACATACTTCGTTAGAAACTATAGATATGAACTTTGTTGACCCTTTTCGTGATTAATCTGATCTGAAGTATGAAGTAAAAGTTTTTTCACCTTATTTAGAACATTTAAAAAGATATATACCGAAATTTCGAGTTTTTTTTCTCGTTAATGCAAATACTTCATTTTCTCTCTCTCTCTCTCTCTCTCTCTCTCTCTCTCTCTCTCTCTCTCTCTCTCTCTCTTTCTCTCTCTCTCTCTCTCTCTCTCTCTCTCTAAATTTTGTTCACGTTACTTCGATTATTTTTTGGTTATTTCGATTATAGCCAGACAAACTAGAAATAAAGAGAAAATAATCGATCTCACTATTTTAAAAATACAGTAGATTATGCTACCCAAGAGGCACCATTAGGCTTTCGTACAGGAGCGCTACAAACCCGAACATATCGAACTCTCTATTGCGAACGTACCTCGAAAGACGGTTTCTGTGAATTAAACAGCGGACGACTGATCCTCACGTCCCCACTATTGCTGTCGACTGTGAAGAAGTCTTGTGTATCATCTTTGTTGAGCAGCTTGTATCTGACTTGTCCAAAGGGGGTGCTCTGGTGAAGAGAATTATAATCAGTGATATATTTACTGGAAGAAAGTCATGAGCGCCTTTCTATATTTTCACACAGCCATCTTTTGGTGAGGTGAAATGGGGTTTAACGTCGTCGCGTTCAAGATTATTGCACTTATATTGCGCCCTGCATTTACTTGTGTGTGTGGCTGCTTATACATAGTCCGGACCAATAGCGCAAGCTCACTGATATACCGTGAGTCAGTTTAACATGAAAACACCGCTCAGACACAGTATAATGACTCCTACGGAAGCGTAGTAGGGCCACGGTGAAATTTATTTGTCTAAGTATCTCCTATGTAGGACTTCCTATCTCCAACGTTATTATTCTAGGCCATACTAAGTCCTACGTAGGAGATAGAAAGTCCTACGTAGTAGATACTAAGTCCTACGTAGGAGATAGTAAGTCCTACGTAGGAGATAGTAATTCTAGTCCATACTAAGTCCTACGTAGATAGTAAGTCCTACGTAGGAGATACTAAGTCCTACGTAGGAGATAGTAAGTCCTACGTAGGAGATAGAAAGTCCTACGTAGGAGATACTAAGTCCTACGTAGGAGATAGTAATTCCAACGTAGGAGATAATAAGTCCTACGTAGGAGATAATAAGTCCTACGTAGGAGATAATAAGTCCTACGTAGAAGATAGTAATTCTAGGCCATACTAAGTCCTACGTAGGCCATACTAAGTCCTACGTAGGAGATAGTAAGTCCTACGTAGGAGATAGTAAGTCCTACGTAGGAGATAATAAGTCTTACGTAGGAGATAATAAATCCTACAAAATTTTCACCGTGGCCCTACTACGCTTCCGTAGACTCCGAACACACAAGTACTATCGTTTAACATCTAGTCGTGACGCGTCCGGGGATCGAACTCCCGATATTCCGCTCCCAAGGCAGACGCTCTATCCACTAGACCATGGAGGCGGTCGTATCTATAGGACATGTCCAGGTATGACGTTGATGTAGAAACACGTCTAAGATACCACCGATATCTGCTGGAAAGTTTGGGAAACGCTTCCACTGAGATTTCACAGCTGGTCGGAAACACGGAATGGCATCATACCATACAAGCAGTAGAGGGCGTGATGGAAAGGGTTAACGAATAATTATTGCCATGAAACAGCTAAAAACATGTAGATTATCGAATTTGATTTCAATGTGACTGTCACTTTGCTTACAAATGCAAAATATAATAAGAGACTTCGACATATACTGAAGAAAAACAATTAGGGATCATGAATATTTTGATGATATTTTTGTTGTTGTGAGCACTGAGCACACATTTTCATAAAGATATCCCCCCAAATAATCATGATCCCTGACGTTTTCCAGTTGGGCTAAGGGACGCAACTCTGGACAGCGAAGCACCGCGCATAAGACCACAACCTTCATCAGGTGTAGTGCATGTATGTAGATATATAAAAGTATAAATGTACTAAACACCCTACTCTTTTAACAGTGTTAACATTCATTTTCCTTCCTAAACCAGTTCCCTCAAAGCAATGTATGCTGAGAAAAATAGGGGAAAAACCTAACTGAGCTAGTGACACATATTTATGTTAACTTTACTTTTACACCGATCTAAGTGTTTTGTTTGTTTGATGTTTAACGCCGCACTCAGCAATATTCCAGCTATATGACGTATATGTATGTATGTATGTATGTTTGTATGTGAGTGAGTGAGTGAGTGAGTGAGTGAGTGAGTGAGTGAGTGAGTGAGTGAGTGAGTTGGGTTTAAGCTTTGAACAATATGCCAATTATATCACGGCGTGTCAGCTTCATGTGGGAGCAACGCCTGAAGTGATGCAGGTCTGAGACATTTACCACTTTGGCGAGGTCGGACATGGTGCTGAAAAATTATAAGGCGAACCGGGTTTCGAAACCACGACCATAGGTATATACAGTAAGCATTATTGATAGATAAGCATGTGATATACACACGTGCACGACCTGCAGTTGGTCCAACAGTTATACTCACAGGCGGATCCCGATCTGTTGCAACAACTTGCATTACGATAGTGTTGAGTGGTGCTCTTGACGTCACATTTTGAGTTATGTCGTCGTCAACGAAGGAGGGAGCGAAGTTGTTGCGGGTTACGCTGATGGTGATAATTGCTGCACTTGGTGAGCATAGTGGACTTGCGCCGCCATCGCACGCATTGACAACTCCATTGTATACCGTTTGTTTATCAGCATCTTCTCTGAGGTCCCTCGTCACAAGCACTCGCCCAGTCCGATCGATGGCGAAGAAGTTGCCAAATCCCCCGGAGCCAGCGACGTTGAAGGTCACAAAATTGTTTGGAGCCTTAAATATCACACAATAGAATTACAGAATTATCACAACAAAAACATGTGTTGGCATAAATACATCTCTGCTAAAAGCAGAGTCGATTGTACAAACCGACTACACCATGTGCATATATTCAGAAATCACTATCAGAAGGTGAGCTTATCCTGTCACAAACACATGCAAAGGCAACTTTTGAGCAAGAGTCGTATGATGCTCTTAAAGAACGCCAACATTGTAATGCTTAAGTCATAAGAGACATAATGGTTGAGGTCGCTATTTTATCAGCATCATTACAAATCAGGATGATGATGATGATGATGATGATGACGATGATGACGATGATGATGAATTTCCATGAGTTTAGTGATACGTTAATGTTTCATGGAAATCTGATACATCTGGGTCGTGACAACTTACCGACACGTCAGCATCTGTAGCTAAGACGATGGCGATGGGTGTGTTCAGTGTCTGTGTGGACAGAATGGCCACAGAGTAGACAAGAGGAGAGAAAATGGGCGGGTTGAGGTTTCTTTGTATTGAAACCCCAACTTCCGTTGTTGCAGAGAGGGGCGGACTACCTCCATCCTTCACCATCACGAAGAACTGAAAAAAAAAGAATTAAACGTGACACTGATTTAACAAGAAATGACACTTTTTAGTAAGTAGGCATCTTCCCGAGGCAAGAGAGTTAACTGACTTTGAAAGTCCAGTTTCCACCCTTGCCGAACTAGGCTGGAATTCCTGGGCTCGATCGTAGCGCCACCAGTGGCTATTACCAGTTATGTCCTTTCTATGTCTCTCCTATTGACCAATCAGATTCAACCTCTCGTATCACTTGCATTTGCTTCAAACAAAACGGTGGCGCCCAGTCAAGACGATCTGATTGATAATCAAGATCTATATTGTGATAAAACGAGTCTTACATCTCGAAGTGCATGAAATCACGTGAGCACCTTGATTAAAAGCATGAAAAGATTGAGAAAATATCTGTTGACAACGAGTTAGCGGTGCACATGCTTTGCAAATCCTGCAGTCGACCGAAATCTGCGTGACACTTTACGAACCGGATTTCGATTTCGGTGCGCGATTTTGATTGGACTATGCATAGACTCGTTAGTCCAGCCAAAATGTAACTCCATAATACAAGCCTAGTTCGGCAAGGGTGGAAACTGGACTTTTATAGTCAGTTAACTCCCTTGCCTCGGGAAGACGGTAAGTAGTGTCTGAGAGAACCTGGTGTGACGCCGTAAAGAAAAAACACGCCATAACAAACAACAGATCAACAATGTTAACACTGGTCCATGAATTTTGAATCTACAATCAGCGGATCCTTACATTGTTAAGGGATGCAACTCTGCAAGATGAATTGAGAAGCTCAAGAAGCAATGCACCTATGCAAATAGTACTTCATTTTGACTTCAGAGCAGTACACCAACAAAGGAAAATATATTTGTGCGTGTGTAGAAATATTTCCTGACTTAATGTGTATCGACCAAGACTCCATGATGACTGGTTTATATAGGATTATTACCGTGTACTGTTCACGCCGATCAGTCTGTAGAGATGGCTTGACCGTCAGAACACCAGTATTGGGGTTGATGTCGAAATGGGTATCGTCTTGCCCAAACGTAGAGAATGTCAGCACGTTAAACGGAGCCTAAAGTACAATGAAAAATACAAGTAGCATTATTGTTTCCGAGATATTCGTCATGAGATATTACAAAGAATCAAATAGAATTGTAGTGTGATATTCATTTTATCACAAAAACATTGACACTTTGGCAAGACACAAATTGTGTACAGACATCAAACTTAATCTGTATATCCATTTCTACCATTCTCACATCTACCCCCCTTACATCCATCACTTCACGCTCTGAATTCTACGTCATGAATCCCTGCTCTACGTCATCACTTTCACATCTACGTAATCATTCATCTTACGTCTGAACCACTCTTTGACTTCAAAGTCAACATTCTCTGTCATAAACATTATCGTTCTTTCACATTTACGTAGCCACTCTTTGACATCCACGTCACCACTCTTTTACATCTACGTCACCACTCTTTGACCTTTACGTCACCACTCTTTGACATTTACGTTACCACTCTTTGACATTTACGTCACCACTCTTTGACATCTACGTCACAACTCTTTGACATCCACGTCACAATGCTCTTACAACTATATGTACGTCGAGATGCGCCAACAGCTACGTCGTTATACTCTTACAACTACCTCGTTATGCTCTTACTTTATGACTACGTCATTATGTTTTTACAACTAGGCCATAATGTTCTTACAACTAGGCCATTATGCTCTAACAACTATGTCAAGATGCTCTTAATACTTCCTCATAATGCTCTTAAACAACGTCATAATGCTCTTACAAAAACGTCATAATGCACTTACAACAACGTCATAATGCTCTTACAAAAACGACATAATGCACTTACAACAACGTCATAATGCACTTACAAAAACGTCATAATGCACTTACAACAACGTCATAATGCTCTTACAAAAACGTCATAATGCACTTACAACAACGTCATAATGCTCTTACAAAAACGTCATAATGCACTTACAACAACGTCATAATGCACTTACAACAACGTCATAATGCACTTACAACAACGTCATAATGCTCTTACAACAACGTCATAATGCACTTACAACAACGTCATAATGCACTTACAAAAACGTCATAATGCTCTTACAACAACGGCATAATGCTCTTACAAAAACGTCATAATGCACTTACAACAACGTCATAATGCTCTTACAACAACGTCATAATGCACTTACAACAACGTCATAATGCACTTACAAAAACGTCATAATGCACTTACAACAACGTCATAATGCACTTACAAAAACGCCATAATGCACTTACAAAAACGTCATAATGCACTTACAACAACGTCATTATCGGTGGCTAAGACGCTGAGCACTCGTGTGCCAGCCGGAGCTCCTCCCTGGATAGTAGCAAGGAAAGGGTTCGCGGTGAACACCGGAGCATGTTTGTTCCGTCTGACGGTGAGGAACACATCGACGGTACTGGACCGCTGAACCGCTCCACCATCAACAGCCGTTATCTGAGCCTGGGGAAACAATACACAAGGATGTGAGGTAAGGTGAAATGGGGTTTTTTCGCGTCCAAGATTATTGCACTTATATAGTGACGTGCATGTGTTGGTTTTGTGTGGCTGCTTGTACACAAGAGAGATAGCTCACTGAGATACCATGCTGCAGTTAAATATGAATATCTCACTCAGACACAGTATGACTCCGAGCCGACCAGTCCTTGTTTAAGCGCCTTAATGCCGAGTGCCAGACAGGCCAGGTAGCAACAAGTACCATCTTTTGTATGACGCGGCCGGGGATCGAACCCCGGACCTTCCGCCCTCCGGGCGGACGCTTTACCACTAGACCACGGAGGCGGTCCATTACACAAGGACAATTCACACTTTGTATATAATGAATATATGTGACATAGATATTGGAACCCGGTAGCGCCTCTGACCAACATAACAGTAAGAGAAACATGGAAGACAAAACACAATAACTGGCAATATTCATACAAAGACAAATGAGTCAGCTACTTGCAACCGTAATGCCACTACAATATTACTCTATTTAGTCTCATTGTCACAGGGGCGGTCGGGTAGCCTAGTGGTTAAAGCGTTCGCTCGTCACGCCGAAGACCCGGGTTCGATTCCCGACATGGGTACAATGTGTAAAGCCCATTTCTGGTGTCCCCCGCCGTTATATTGCTGGAATATTGCTAAAAGCGGCGTAAAACCATACTCCCTCACTCACTCACTCACTCACTCACTCAATGTCACAAGATTCCAAGTTCGATTCGGATCTAAAGCTCGGATTTCACTTGTTCAAAATCAAACGTTGATCGTTGTCACTCTGAGGAATAATGCTGTTATGTACATGGATGGTCTCCCTTTGTGAAGTATGTCACGTGATATTTATGTGACGTTGCGTCTGTGTGACGTTATCCCTGGTGAGTTTGGAAGTTGTTGCCAGAGGAAGCTGTTCCCTATGACTTATGTAGCCCAGTAGTCAACGTCGGCGCGAGTAGCCTTCCTTAGCAATGCAAGGATACGCTGACCGAATACCAATTTTAGCAAGATTATGATCCTTGATCGTTCAAAGCCACACCGTGTTTGTGGGTTTCACCAACTTAGGAAATATCTACGCCCTGCTACCCCGAGCTTTTATCTTACAATATTCCGACACGCCGTGGCCTATCGGACACAATACATGGACACAACGTATGAAGCCCATTTCTGGTATGCCCTCCTGTGATATTGGCGAAATATTGCGAATAGCGGCGTAAAACCAAACTCACTCACTATCACAAATACTGTTCGACACTGTGTTTAGAAAGTAAACAAACACAAGACATGTTTACATATAAACAGCATCACTACAATTGTTTGATAAGAATCTTCGTATTAGTGATTATCAAAAAATGCCACATATACAGCCAGTGTGTTAACAAAGGAAGAATTCAGCCAAAACCATGCATCAGTGCTATCAACTTTTGATTTGACTCTAAAACCAGAAGACATGTCTTTTGTACTGGATTCCAAAGCTCCAAAAACATCCGTACAAAGAGAGATATATTGCTGGGTCCAGCAAACGTACCACCAAATCTGTGTCAAAGATTAACCATAATCCTTACCAAGTAGGAATCCTCACTGCAGAAAGCATCCAACAGAGATTTTTGAATTGATATCTCTCCTGTCAGTTCATCAACAGAGAAACACTCCGCCAGCTGGAAGGTCAGTTTATACCTGACTCGGTTGTTGGGGTCCTGTGGGGAATAGAATTGTCCGAAAAAGTTCAAATGGAGTGAACAAATTATAAAAAAAACACATACCACGTAAATATTTACATACATTATCCTCATCAGAGCAACTCGGGGTAAATGGTTCATCGTAGCTCGGCGGTTGTTTCATATATCATCCATGAATATTTTAGGACTCGAAATGAAGCGAAATGCATGAAATATCAGCCTTACAGAGAACCTGAAGTCAACCAATTGCACAGATAACATGATCATATTTTGAAAAATTAATAAAACCATTTCATTGTTCTAGACAGTGCAGGGGGGCACGGGTGGTCCAGTCGTCTAAGGCGCCGCGATTCGCTGTGCAAAGTTGCGTCCCTTGGGCACGCCAGAAACCTATGATTTGGTAAATGTCTGAGACCTGCATCACTTCGGGCTTTCCTCCCACATTAAGCTGACACGCCGCGATATGACTGGAATACTGTTAAAAGCGGCGTTAAACCCAACTCACTCACTCACTCTAGACAGTGCAACACCATGGAATTACATTGTGCCATTGACCAGTCAGTCTTAAGAATAGGCAAATGTATATTTGTTAACTTGCATTTAACTTGTATATAACAGATGCACATTAGACATCGAGAGATTCAACTCTTATCTGCTTCCAGGTAGGACATCTTAGGTCATTATTGGACTTTATATCAAGGCATTATTTAGAAGTTGACGGATGACAAAGTTGAAACAAGTTATGGACAACAACTTCTTTAAAGCCGACGCAGTTGCTGTATAGATTCTTATACCGTTGGGACTTGCTTGACAACGATGTTAGGATCTATACTGAAACGTGTGCAATTTCATTCCCAAATAGGAAACCATGAGGGATAATGCATTGATCGAATGCACGGGAAATATAAATTTTCTTTATGTTTAAACTACTTAATGCTACCCCCAGTTAATTTTGCAATGCAATAGGTAATACAAGACAATAATGCTCTACTTGGTTTTACTAAAAGTAACTGTTATACTATACATTTGATGTAACTGACAACGAATAATAAGTATGACGATGTGGAGATATATTTTGGAAAGTCACACTTCAAATGTGCTTTCTTTGCAAACCGTTGTATATATCTAATAGGGAATCAGCATGCACTATATCATAACTTGTGTTAAAAACATAATAATTGCCTGGCAAAATTGTATTTTAAAATTTTGACTTTGTTTAACGTAATTTTGTTCATATATTATTACAACTTTATGTCTCCAGTGCAGTTTAAACCTTCAAAAAAAGGGAAAAAGGAAGAGTTTTCAGATGTAAAGATTAGAAAATTTATCATAATTACCATGACAGTTTCCTTCTGCCTTTAAATATATATAGTATCTAAAGCATACATACCGTTATATCGGCGTCCGTCGCTGTCACTGCTATTATGGGAACATTATATCCAACTGTCTCAGAAACGGTGGTCGTATATTGTGTTGAAGAAAACACAGGGGCGTAGAAGTTGGTCAGCACCGTTACCCTTGCAACTGTTCTGTTGCAGAACTTGCCTGTGTCACAAGCCTCAACCCAGAGCTGTAACATAAGATAGTGGAGCACTTACCATTCTGTGTATAGTATACATGCGACATTCTCCAGAAAGGAATTATATGAAAACAACGCTGATGAACTTAACGATGATATGGCCTTTCGGTTGGGACGAGTTCCTGACTCGAATTATGACTCCTCTTATATGACGGGGTTCCCAGGTAAATATGTGTTCAGGAACAGATGTATTAAGCACAACCTCATCTTATATGATGGGGTTCCCAGGTAAATATGTGTTCAGGAACAGATATATTTAGCAGTATCTCCTCTTATATGATGGGGTTCCCAGGTAAATATGCGTTCAGGAACAGATATATTAAGCACTATCTCCTCTTATATGACGGGGTTCCCAGGTAAATATGTGTTCAGGAACAGATATATTTAGCAGTATCTCCTCTTATATGACCGGGGTTCCCAGGTAAATATGTGTTCATGAACAGATGTATTAAGTACTATCGCCTCTTTTATGATGGGGTTCCCAGGTAAATATGTGTTCAGGAACAGATATATTTAGCAGTATCTCCTCTTATATGACGGGGTTCCCAGGTAAATATGTGTTCAGGAACAGATATATTTAGCACTATCTCCTCTTATATGATGGGGTTCCTACGTAAATATGTGTTCACGAACAGTTATATTAAGCACTATCTCCTCTTATATGATGGGGGTTCCCAGGTAAATATGTGTTCAGGAACAGATATATTTAGCACTATTTCCTCTTATATGATGGGGTTCCCAGGTAAATATGTGTTCAAGAACAGATATATTAAGCACTATCTCCTCTTATATGGCGGGTTTCCCAGGTAAATATGTGTTCGCGAACAGATGTATTAAGCACAACCTCATCTTATATGATGGGGGTTCCCAGGTAAATATGTTTTCTTGAACAGATATATTTAGCAGTATCTCCTCTTATATGATGGGGTTCCCAGGTAAATATGTGTTCGGGAACAGGTGAGACAAGATAAGGTCAATGTGTTCACAAACGTCTTACCTCAAACGTCCTATCCGTTGTGACAGGAGGCACTGCCTTGATCGTGACGTTACCAGTGCTCGAGTCGATATGGAAATAGTCCACTGTGTCGTCTATGTTGAAGAGTTTGTAGTTCACGGTGTTGTCAGTAATGTCCTGGAGGTAAACACACAGTCAACAAGAGGCAACTTTTGCGAACACCTGGTGTAATGACTTATTTTCAGTGATCCATTCATTTACTTTTCATCACGATTTTGCCTTTTACGCCCTGAGGAATCTGTTTAAGCAGATAATCGAGGCTGGTTACTCTCAGGCGATGACGTTTTGAATTTGTGAATATGTCTTTGCCGTGAGCTGCTCAACCTCCGATAACTGCACAATCTGCCAGTGAAACGTATTGTTTTGTTGTTCTTAGTTAAATATTAAATACTTTATGCCATTATATATTTGGTACATACATAGGTATGTATTGGAACTTCAAACAAGGATCCGAACGTGGCAAAATTTGGCTAGACCAACGTTAGTTGAGTCTAGGAACGCTACAATGTCCCTTACAGTATTCCATAGTCTAGTTTAACTGTTTTGTCTTCTTTTTGGTAGGTTTGATAATGAAATATGAATGTGTAATTATTGTTTTTAGCATTCTTAACCTCATATTTTAGCCATTTTTATTCCGATAAATATTAATTTTATATATTATTGTATTTACAAATTTAATTAAACCAAAAACAGATATTTATGTCAAAATTAATCTTTAACAGTACGATCGTCATAAAACATAAATATGCTATATGTAACTATCATAAACAAAAGTTGTTATTTTCTTCATCCGAATAAATAATCATCATCAGAAACTTTAATTATATGTTACTTGAGCACCAGTCGTCAGTGTTATTTGTATATCTTTATGTATCTTTATGTATCGTTATGTATCTTTATGTATCATTACGTATCACTCCCTTGTGCTGTCCCACTTACCGTATCCCTGTCCACAGCAGCTATCTTCAGAACCGAATATCCAATCTCCATCTGCGTTGAATTGATGCTGACAGTGTAGTCGTCAATGTTGATGAAGGAGGGGGCATTGTCATTGCGTACAATGTTGACGACGACGGCGACGAAGGTACAGCGTGGGTTGGAGGCGGCATCACAGACTTGGATCCCTCCATTGTACTGGCGTGTCTGACTGGGATCCGTCTGTATGTCTTTCTTCACGGAGATCTGACCATCGTCCATGTTGATGATGAAATATTCCTTAAACTTCACGTCTCCCGTGATCGAATATCGGACAACATTGTATGGCTCCTGAGGAGACGAAAATATTGTGTAAATAATACATGTTCACTGACTGTACAGTCTTCAGTGTCAGTGGTGTGGGGTTTGTAAAATGTAATCAGTTTGACAAGGGACTAAGATATACCTATACATAACTAAATCTTTGAAAGGCATTTAGAGTGAGTGAGTATGGTTTTACTCCGCTTTTAGCAATATTCCAGCAATAACACGGCGGGGGGACACCAGAAATAGGCTTCACACATTGTACCCATGTCCGGAATCGAACCCGGGTCTTTGGCGTGACGCGCGAACGCTTTAACCACCAGGCTACCCGACCGCCCCTGAAAGGCATTTAGAAGTGATGCACATAAGGAAGAGAATGTATGGATGTCAGCTTCTTTAGTATGAGGAACATAACGTCTCATCAGGTCATCAGGTGAATTCTCTTCCTTATACATAACTAGATACATAATTATGTGGAATAAATATAATATCAATTTATATAATGTCTAAATATAGTTATGATTATTTTTTGAGTGATTCGAAATGATTATGTTGTGTGTCTGTGCATGTTTACCTGCTACTGCTCAATGTATGGATTCATCTCGTATGAGTGAGTGAGAGAGGTGGGTTTAACGCCACTTTGAACATTATTCAAGTTATATCACAGTGTGTCAGCTTAATGAAATCCCGATGTGGTTCAGGTCTTAGAGGTTTACCACTTTAGTGAAATCCACGAGCACGGGTATGACAAACCTAGAAACATAAGCGGGGCGAACTGGATTCGAATCCACGATAATTTCCGGAGTGTCCATGGCAACTTCGAGACAAAGGGTGTGACACAATGTGATGTGTTAACTGCACGAGAGTGGGCGTGATATGCCTTGTGTTAACTCCGACAAAATGACCGACATTAACTTCGACAAAATCTGACATTTGTTAAATTCGAGAAAGTGAGCCTTACATGAAATGATAGCAATAACTTCGAGTGCGAGTTTGTAATTGGGCGTGCCAGGGAATATATTTCAGATTTCGGCCTTTGAGATAGACACGACCTCGAAAAGTGTTACAAAGGTCATAGATTGACACAGAGATGCGCATTAAATGTGGTTATTTAAATTATAAATTATATTTTGTCCGAAGAAAAAAAAAACAATTGTGTGAAAGGGAATTCCTAGAAATAGTTTAGATCTCACAAGGGTCTTACAGCAATATCTCCGTCAACTGCCGTCAGCTTCAGGAAGGATGGGTACCCGACAGGATGGCTGGAGAGTATACTGGCATTGAAGGATCGGGATGCTAACACCGGTGAATACAGATTCCGGTCCACAGCGATGAGAACAGTGGTTGTGGCACTCAATGCTGGGGTTCCTCCATCCTCGGCTAATACACGGAGCTAAAACACAAATATTGAACGAGTGAGTTGGGTTTAATGCCACCTATAAACATTATTCCAGTTATATCACGGCGTGTCAGCTTAATGTGGGAGGAAACCCCGAAGTGATGCAGGTCTCGGACGTTTATCACTTTGGTGAAACCCACGAGCACGGGTATGGTGCTGACAAACCTAGAAACATAATCGGGGCGAACCGGGATTCGAACCCACAATCATAGGTTTCAGGCGTGCCCAAGGGACGCAACTCAGGACAGCGAATCGCGGCGCCTTTGACGACTGGGCCACCTGTGCCCCCTCAAACACAAATAGGATCCATTATTACAGTAAAGTAGGGTTTAGATTGCTGGCCATGAGTGTCAGCATTCTTGAACAAACTTGTACCCGGTAGGGTCAAGAAAACTTGATTCCTTGAACAAACTTCATCTTCGAGAGGCAAGACAGTTAACTGACTTTATAAGTCCAGTTTCCAGTCCTTTTAGAGTCAGTTAACTCCCTTGCTTCGGTAAGATGACAAACTAGTACCCGTAGGGTCATGTTTCCTTGATATTTTGAACTAATTGGAAAACTAGTTGTTAAATCCTGGAAATATTTTGCAAAGCTTCTCCGGTGTGACTGCCACGCTTCAAATTCAATTTAGTTAGTGCTATGTTAGTGAAGAAATCCGAGAGAATAAGTATTTTTCCTAATGAGCGAGTATGGTTTAACGCCGCTGTTAGCAATATTTCAGCAATATCACGGCGGGTGACACCAGAAATAGGCTTTACATATTTTCCTCATGTAGGATTCGAACCCGGGTCTTCGGCGTGATGAGCGAACGCTTTAACCACTAGGCTACCCCTTCCTCCTTATGAAAGTCAACCCGTGGATTATATAGTTGATTGACGACGTGTGATTACAACACAGCTCACATCTGTCGGAGGTTTTGGGTGTGCTGTGACGCAAATTGTGGTACAAGAAGGTACAAGCCATGCACTCACCGTATACGACGGCGCTTGGTCTGTTGATATCAATGACGTCTCTGTCACCGTTATTACACCGGTATTAGTATTCACTCTGAAGAAACTGGGGCCACGTGCATCACCGATCAGAGAAAAGCTGATGTTGTTGAAAGGTGCCTAAAAATAACAGAACGAAATGCGTTAAAGAATACGGAAGCCTTTTAGGGCCATTAAATGTTCTTCAAGATACTAAATTGAAATTTCAAGATACTAACTTGACATTTCAAGATGTTATGTTGTAAATTCAACTTAGTATCTTGAAATTTCAAGAAAAAACCCGAATGGCCCTAAAAGGTTTTCGTACCAAAAGGGTTCCGTTACAGAAAGTGACGACTGCGCGCGTGTGTGTCGTTGTGTTCGGTTGAGTCTGTTGAAGCCTGTAGCGTTAAAGTGTAGAATTGGGTGCTTTACGACGCTTTTAGCAATATTCCTGCAATATCTCAGCAAAGGAACCCAAACTGGGTTTATTATATTTGGAAATAGCATTTTGTGACTATGACGCTGTACATTCCCACCGCGAGTGTAGTATAAATAAAAGAGACAAATCCCGCTCAATAAGCATAACAACCTTCCTTGCACGATTCCAACAATATCATGAGTTAATGTGTTTATGAATCACTATCAAATAGTGGTAACACCAGGTGTTCGCGAACAGGTGAGCATATCCTGCCCCAACCGTGATACCCCGTCACAAACACATACAAGGCTCGTCAATTGTTCATCTGAAAATGCAGGGAGAAAAGCACACTCAGGAATATTGTCAAAATTGTTCGTTCGTTTGTTTAGTAAAGCGACATTGAGCAATATTCCAGCTATATGACGACGGTCTGTAAATAATCGAATCTGGACATCATGCGCGTCGATCTACGCAATTGGGATACGGTGACATGCATCAACCAAGTCAGCGAGTCTGACCACCCGATCATGTTAGTCGACTCTTACGACAAGCATGGGTTCCTGAAGATCATTTTCAGCTCAGATCGTCACGGGTCGTGGAAAAATGGAATTGCACTGGACATGTTTTTTGTCACAGGTGTGAAATTTATCATAACACTTTTTGAAAGCTTAACTAAAGCATTGAATGTTGATCATTGTTCACACTGAAATCCCGCCAGATTGCATCTGGGAATATACCAGCTTAAGGCATACATGTTAGTTACGTATCATTAATGTGTGAATGTTTTGCATGAGTGAGTCTAATACCAAGTTTAATGCCAAGTCTTTTCAGAAGAAGACAATAATTAAGACGGGGCATACAGCTGCCAAAATACTTCTTAGGCTAACAGAAAATTCTTCTCATATTTATCTAAGTTAGTATATACAAACGCCCAGAAGAATTGACCTATCGCCACCTGATAATCAAATCACACAGCTGACCAATCAGAATGTCCGAATTAATACAAAACCTGAGGTTAGCTCTACTCTGGTTATTGTCTAGCGTTGAAACCATAAATTATAAACACGTAATGCTGTGAAACATAAACGCGCTTCCATACATAATTTTCAACAGATGGTACAGTGGGTGGGGTTAACTTGTTATGCGTTGTGATCGGGTTTTAGTCTCGAGACATCGGTCTAATGTGTAATTGTTAATGTCTTGTACGGAAGCAGACAATCAGTGTAGGGTTTACCTGTGTGTCAGCATCCGCGGCACGGACACTAAAGACCATCGTACCCGGCTTGGCCGTCACAGACATCGCAGCTTGGTATGGCTGTCCCAGGAACTGCGGTGCATGCTCGTTCCGTGTCACATCTATAACAAAGGTCGCAGATGTGGTCGCAGTTCTCGCCGGTGTACCCTTGTCAACAGCCGTCACCGTAAACTGGAGTGGAAGGGGGTGAAGATTCGGTGAAAATATAACCCTATTTGCTTATTTCGTATTTGTCATTCGTCACCACTCGCCCCTTTCCGTAACCTGTAAGAAGCTATTCGGCTTGTCCCGGAATAACACGAATTGGTCACGAATGCGTATTTGTGTCTCAATGCTTTTTGTTTGTTTGATTAACGTCGCACTCAGCAATATACCAGCTATATGACGGCGTTCTGTAAATAATTGGGTCTGAACCACGCAATCCAGTGATTGATATCATGAGCATCGATCTACGCAATTGAGATACGATGGCATGCATCAACCAAGTCAGCATGACTGACCACCAGTTAGTCGTCTCATGCGACTAGCATCGGTTGCTAAAGATCAGTTCTAACCCGGATTTTCACAAGAATCAATGCAATTATTTTTTTTATATTGTTGTATGTAGTCTTTAAGAACAACTTCAACACTTGCGTATTAGAGCGATGTGATTTATCTGACATGAAGCGTGTGTAGGCAACAATAGACTAGCAATACCTCTACTTTCAGGAAATGGATGAGTGAGTTAGTTGGGTTTGACACCGAGTTGAACTGGCGTGTCTGCTTGATTAGGAAGGAAAGCTCAATGTGATCCATGCTTATAAAGTTGATAAAAATGATGAACACGGTATGTGTGTGTGTGTGTGGCTGCTTGTACTAATCCGGACTAATGCCGATTCGATAGTGCTAACCCACTGAGATACCATGCTGCAGTTTAACACAGTACACTGACTCTTAGCCGACCAGTCCTCGTTTTAGCCCCATAATGGCGAGCACAGGCAGGGTAACAACAAGCACCATCTTTAAACGTCTTTTGGTTTGACGCGGCCGGGGATCGAACCCCGGATGTTCCGCTCTCCGGGCGGACGCTCTATCAATGGACCGCGGAGGCGGTCGACAGCTGAATGTGGGAGGACAAAGTTCTGACACCTCCAGAACACGAAGCCATGCTCAGAGGACACTTGCAGGACGCACTGCACAGCGAGAATACATACAGATGGGCGCAAGCAGGCCTCCTTATGGTCAAGCTCGCCCTAAAACCAATTACTACTTATTCACAAGGACTTACCTCGTAACGTCTCGTATCATCGCGAATCAGAGACTGTTTCAGTGATATCACGCCCAGCGAGGGTTTCAGTGTCTCAACCTTGAAGAAGTTAGAAGCCCTGGGTTCCAGGATTGTAAGCTCTATATCTCCCTCGGGGCGCTGTGAACATGTTGAGAGTGAAGAAGTGGTTGCTTTGAGCATTATTTAAGTTGTTAAGTTACTTGCTTTACTTTATTCAGTACATAAACTATTTTTGTGCAAACGAAATACAATGAAGGTGCAAACAGTATAAAATATAACACATTTCTTTGCTTTTCTAAACAAAAGCAGTTTTAACATAATTGCATATTATCAAAGTTGGAGCATTCTTACAGAATTGGCATAAAACAAGTATTTTGCTGTATTTATATTGATAATAGGGTCTTGCGATGACAGTAGTGTATTAAACTTCAGAATATTTTCGATACGGTTTCAGTTACAAACTTTACATTTTCTAAATTCACGAGGAATTTTATAGTGTCGTCCACGTTCAATTTCTACATTGTGAGAACTAAGTCGAAAATGAGTAAATGTGGTCCTGAATTTATTTACAGTAATGCGACTTAAATAGTTACACATAAAATGGATGTTTTAACCTGTGCATAATAAGCCATTTGGGGATTTCAGATAAATTACTATGCCAAACCTGAAAAATGTTTAAAAATACGGTTTCATTACCACATGTTTGAAAGTACCAGACATCACCAAATTCGTATTTAAAATAACAGTTTTAAGTTTCTTTTCCCAATTTACGTGGCCTTGTTCATCGTACAACCGCAACATATTGTACTATTTTTTGGGAAAACGAAATTCCGGCATATCGAAAAGAGAGTTGTTAAGTTTTGTCTGTAATAACAGCTTAATATGTAGACAATCCCACGGGCAGGGTTATGGTGCTGACAAAACAAGAATCAGAGAAAATCTTCTTTTCGAAGCTGCAATTCTAAAGGACGTAAATTAGGTCCCGACCTCCATTTGCTGGTTGCCGTAAAAAGGTAGCTTAGGGCTAAGGTGATTGTAACTCCCATCCCGTGACGTACGTCAGTCGTATCGCTGAGGTTGTTTTGAACAAAGGCACGTTGGTCTTAGAATGTACCACTCCGTTGGCACCACGAGCATGGTGCCCAGAGAGACAAAGGATCCTTAACATGTCAAATCCGGGATTTAAACCAATAATCACCGGATTTTTTTATCACCAGGACATCCATGATAAGGCTTCCGAAGCCATGTATTGTATGAGTGAAAGTTGTTTTCTGCCGCAAGAATAAACTATATTCCAGCATTATTCCAGCTGCGTGTAAACATTGGGCGTTTGAGACAGGCAATCTCATTAAAATCAAATCTAAGCTCTCGCTGCCGCTGAACAAAGATCTGAGGACATCCCATTACGGGTCACGTCAAAACGACCTTTCATCCGACCAATCAAAGCGTCGCTTACCAGATCGTGAAAGTGACAGTCGGAATGTGTTTTCTAATCATGCAACCTCGAAAAGGTTAACACGGTTATTATTCCGAACGACAGTTACGGCCCGTACGACTGTTCCGTTGAGCAACACAGTGACTGACTGCATGAACAACGATTCACGACACGTCACGTATTATAACTAGTGGGTTGCTCTATTTACGACCCGCTGGACCCCATTCCCCCAGCCATCGTTGCGCTACCACTACCGTAACTCCCACACTTAAACATAGATTTACGACAATCGCAACGCTACGATCACTTTGTGAAACGAGGCTCACACTGGGGTCTAGTATATCCAAGGATTCCCCAGCGGTATGAGTGGAAATATTCTCTCCGTTGTAAGTATTGCTGGGACTAATAACCCACAGTGCACGCACAGGGAACTAACCTCTCCGTCTTCATCGGTGACTGTGAAGGTCAACACGTTGGACTCTACGGCAAGCGTCTCTACGATGCGTCTGGTGTGGGATGTGGTTTGGAATGTGGGGTCGTACAAGTTGTAGTCGACTGTCACCTCCACGCCCGTGGTGGCTGAGAGGGGAGGGGTGCCGCCGTCTTCCACCCTCACCCCGAACTGCAACAAAACACGAGATCTTGAAGCACACCACCGTCCTCAACTTCATCATCATCATAATAATAATAATAATAATAATAATAATAATAATAATAATAATAATAATAATAATGCGGACCTCGCATTCGAAATGTCACGCTTGCATCCCAAGTACAAAGTTGTCTGACTCCCCATTGTTCTCGGTGCCTTAGGTTTGGTACCTCCAAATCTGTTGACTGACATTGAGAGAGTACCCGGGTTTGCTACCAGGAATACAGCCCTGCTGATAATCTGGGTAATGCAGAAGGCTGCAGTGTTGGGGAGTCTTCACATTCTCTGAAAAGTTCTGGGTGGGTTTGACAAGGAAGCGCTTCCTGGGAGAAGTCCAATTCGCTGTCTGGGCTGCGTGTAGAGGGGGCAAGGGCCTTGAGCTGATGATGAGCCTAACCAGCCTGACTGTGCCAAGATCACCCAGCCCCTCTTTGCTGCATTTTTATATTTTCATCTGTACATACTAATGATGAAATAATGGGCCCTGGAATTGTCAAAAAGCAAAGGAAAACTTTGAAATATTGGTATCAGGAATGTTTACATGGCGGTGACAACTAGCCTTTATTTCTTGCTGACTCTTTTCTTAAAAGTTTTAGTTCTCATTTACTTCACATTCACATGAACATGTCTTTGAACATTCATGGTAATTTCTAAACCTTTTATTCAATATTATTTTATTCTTTAAAGCAAGCAGATCCTTTGGTCCAAACATGGTCCTTCTCCTACTTACGTCCGTGATATGACGTCTCATTAAGCGTCGTTATGTGCAGTAAGGCAACATTTTGTGAATAGGATAAAAAGATTGGTCAAGTGTATGGTGGAACATCTAACATAATTTAAGTCCCCTCTGATACAATGTAAGTCCGTTAGTTCTTATAAGCCCAGCTTTTCCCACGGTGATATTTACAAAGTTCAGCATATGTAGCAGAGATAGTGAAGAAGTAACAGAGAATTCGGAGACGAATTGCGAATAGCGACAGTGCCGTCTGTGTTAACCGTGTTCCGGTGAATTCAGTTTGTAGAATTGGCATAAAATAAAAATTCTACATGAAATACAATGTTGATAAATGACAGAGTGAGTGAATGAGTATGGTTGTACGTCGCTTTTGGATATATTCTGGCAATATCACGGCGGGGGAATAAATGACAGAAATTGTTCATGATATTTGTGGATTTCTTTTCATTTTTGGAAGAAAAGGCCTACCTTATAACGATACTGTTTAGTCTCGTTCAGATTCCCGACCAACGAGATTTCACCAGTCTCGGCGTTGACAGCAAACATGTCGGAATGGCTGTTACCGCACATGGAATATCGCAGCGAAGAGAACGAGGACACCTGAAATAAAAAGGACACAGGTTATATTATTATTTTGTCTCGTTACTTTTACGGATTAGCAGCACAAACGAAGAATTATCTGCCCTCGTCATGAGCTTATTTAAGAAAACTGACAAATCGCACTGTTTTAAAATTAACAAAATCAACCAAATAATCTGAGTTTCATAAACGTTTAGGATTGAAGATGGTATTGTATTTTTGTGTTGTGTTGTCAAAAGACGGGTGTTATGTTTATAATATAGTACGCATACAACATTATGACTTCTAACTTGAAAACAAACAGGTTTAATACTTTCATGCACACTAGACATACATAGACAAGAATTGACAAAACTGTTAATTTCTACATGAATAATCTTTCAAAGTAACATTAATGGATACTCTATCAAAGGGAACACAAAGGATAATCTTTCAAGGTGGAATTAATGTCATAGATATATTCGACGTAATAAGCGCCCACGGCGATATTTGCTAATATATTGGCACGTGAACAATCCCAATTAGCACCCCTTCCGATTGATCAATGTAAACAAGACTTATTCATTCGCGTAAAATACTTACTCCTGTGTTTATGCACCATTGATTATAAGCAATTGAATTCTGGAAAAATATATCTGCCGTACATAACATTTCAGCCTGTCAGCATAAACCACGAAATTTATCTTTCAACTGAACTCACCAAAATATTTTTTTAATAAGAGCCCCCTATTTCTAATTTTGAGAGCGCCCTGGGCACTTATTACGTCGAATACGGTATGCCTTTATGAAGCATTTCAACAGGTGAAGGTCCAGTATACTCCACTTACACCGTCGGCATCAACAGCAATGAGAGAGAGGATGGCGTCGCCAGGTTCGGCTGTTCTGTTGATGTTGGCGGTGTAAGGCACGCCGATGAAGGTGGGAGTAAACATGTTCCGCACGACGTTGACCTTCACACTGACTGGGGCACTCGACCGGGGTGGCAGGCCGGAATCTGTCACCCTCACTCCGAACTAAAACATCACAACGCGAAAGATGAGAGAGAGAGAGAGAGAGAGAGAGAGAGAGAGAGAGAGAGAGAGAGAGAGAGAGAGAGAGAGCGAGAGAGACCAATAGAAAGGTGAGTGAGTATGGTTTTACGCCGCTTTTAGCAATATTCCAGCAATATCATGGCGGGGGAACACCAGAAATGGGCTTCACACATTGTACCCATGTCGGGAATCGAACCCGGGTCTTCGGCGTGACGATCGAACGCTTTAACCACTAGGCTACCCGACCGCCCCTTAATATTAATACACCACTCAGACACAGTTTACTGACTCCCAGCCAACCAGTCCTTGTTTTTATCCCATTAATGACGAGCGCCAGACAGAGTAACAACAAGTACCACGTTTTATCCACTTTTGGTGTGACGCGGCCGTGGATCGAACTGGGGGATGGTTTAACCACCCACCACATTATACTATGCGGTTTCGAGTCGATGTGTTATGAAAACGTTACCCCAGTACTTACATTGTAGGTTGTGTGTCTGGCCGGGTCAAGGGTGAGTGACCTTCTGACCATCACACTGCCCGTGTTGTAGTCCACTGTGAAGTACTGGCTGCTCTGCTGGTCAGCCCGCGTGTCCACCAGGTCGAAATGCACAGCCGTCTGTGGGCATCGATTTTACCATTTATTATTGAACTAGTAATAAAATACGATATTTATCGGAAAATATACTGTATACATCTCACCTGTAATAATATATTGTTATTAAATGAAACGGAGAAAATGCATAAAAAATAGAACATATGGCATTCCTTTTCCAATTACAAAAATAGCAACAGGTCTCCTTCATAAATAAACAGGTTCTTTAAAAAAATCCCCTCTATATTGTATAACTAATATCAAAATATCAAAAAGAACTTCGAAGCTTTATCCGTCGATTACTTATTAAAATATATTAATTACATTATTTTTCCAGAGCTATTAATGAGGCTCCGTGAAAGGAGTCAAACTTCCCAACCGCTCCCGTCATAATGAGGTCGAAATTATTTCTAAGTATTCGGATTTTAAAAATAGAAATAGAACTTTTCAAAACTTCAGTTTAATAGCTTTTTTTTTTTTTTTGTATCTTCGAAATGAAAATGATTTTCAAATATCGAATGAAGGTTTTGAATGGCGAATGCCTCTCTCGACCAATAATATCGATGACATGCAGTATAATAAACGTAGGGGGTCACTAATGTCGGAAATGTCGAAATGCATTCTCAATGTCATCATTTCGGCGTTGGGCGTTAAAATATCTTCATTCAGTGTGAATGGAGACATCCGACGCTGCTTGCCTCAATAGACCACCACGAGTTATCCCCCTTGATTAGTCTCTGTCTCTAATGGAGGACAACGAACGCTGTGAGCAGGTAGGTGTATTTGATGTAAAATGCATACACATGGAGAAAGAAAATGATCGTACATACACATGATTTTAAACTAACGTACATATGCACATGAGAATATTGCCTTCCCGGGCACAAGAGAAGGAAAAACACAACAAGACATAACACACACTGCAGAAAAGGAATAAAATATGTGATGAAAGTACGACACAGTCGGCACATATGGAGAAAGAAAGAGACAGAACATCATTACGGAGAAGGAATGACACACTATACACATATGGTGAAAGAATGACACCTTACATATACATGGAGAAAGAACGACACCTTACAAAGATATGGAGAAAGAATGACACCTTACAAACATATGGAGAAAGAACGACACCTTACATACACATGGAGAAAGAATGCCACCTTACATACACATGGAGAAAGAATGACACCTTACATACATATGGAGAAAGAATGACACCTTACATACACATGGAGAAAGAACGACACCTTTAACTACATTTGGAGAAAGAACGACACTTTACAAAGATATGGAGAAAGAACAATACCTTACATACATGTACATACGGAGAAAGAACGACACCTTACAAAGATATGGAGAAAGAACGACACCTAACATACATTTGGAGAAAGAATGACACCTTACATACATATGGAGAAAGAATGACCCCTTACATATGGAGAAAGAACGACATCTTACATACATATGAAGAAAGAATGACGCAGTTCATACATATGGAGAAATAATGATACCTTACATACATATGGAGAAAGAACGACACCTTTCATACTTATGGAGAAAGAATGACACCTTACATACATATGAAGAACGAATGACACCTTACATACATATGGAGAAAGAATGACGCATTACACACATATGGAGAAAGAATGACGCAGTTCATATATATGGAGAAAGAATGACACAGTTCATACCTATGGAGAAAGAATGACGCAGTACATATATATGGAGAAAGAACGACACCTTACATAAATATGGAGAAAGAACGACACCTTACAAACATATGGAGAAAGAATGACACCTTACATACATATGGAGAAAGAATGACACCTTACACACATATGGAGAAAGAATGACCCCTTACATATGGAGAAAGAACGATACCTTACATTCACATGGAGAAAGAACGATACCTTACATTCATATAGAGAAAGAATGACACCTTACATACATATGGAGAAAGAACGACACCTTACATACGGAGAAAGAACGACACCTTACAAACATATGGAGAAAGAACGATACCTTACATACATATGGAGAAAGAACGACACCTTACATACATATGGAGAAAGAATGACACCTAACATTCATATGGAGAAAGAGCGACACCTTACACACATATGGAGAAAGAACGTTACCTTACATACACATGGAGAAAGAACGATACCTTACATACACATAGAGAAAGAACGATACCTTACATTCATATGGAGAAAAAAAC